AAAAAGGTAGCATTCATCATGTCAGCCTGTTAGTCACTGTTGAAGATAGGCCTCCCCCAAAGACTGCCACGAAGCAAGATCTTGAGACACTTGCATGTATCGACTAGCACATGTGCACAGATCACAATATGTCACTCCATCTAGTTTCGTCTTCCTCTTTGCGATTGCCAATACAAGGCTACCACTCGACAACATTTCTCCGCTATCAGTTATAAGTGGGGTGTAAGTTTCTCGCGTCCGTAGGATTTACCACCTTATCCAAGGCCCACCCTACACGTGTCCCCCGGGTAGTGCCAAACGAGCAACAACGCCGAGTCTTGGGCGGTGGTAAAGTAACCCGATCTGACGAGTCTAACAAGCTCGATAGTTGAAGGTAGGAAATGACCTCAACAACCCGGTACCTCGTGGTTATGTTTCGCGAGGCTGGGGGGTTTTGGCTTAATCATCCGAACCACGAGGAAGACAACCTCAATAATAAATCACCCCAATCCTAAGGTGAGGACTGTGCCGACGGGATGAATGGCTGAAGGGATTCTAGTTCCGAACACCAACCTCGATGGACCAGGTTAACATCGTTGTAAAGTGCCTTCTTACATGGGATGGGCGTAACCTGTAAGCGACCACATTAAATCGACCCGTACTCGTGGGAACCAAAATGGATTCGCATAATAATAACATAAACAATAAAACAAGTAAAAACATACCTTCTCGTTAAGCCCTTCTTCCTGGGCTCTTTAACAAACAAAGAACCAGCTCGCTCAGTTAGCTGCTGTCTACATCGCAGAATACATTCACTGCATCCACCTATGAAAAACCTTCAGATACTCCCTCAAATCTGGTAGATCTGCAGTCGTCTAACACCAACCACCAACACCCGCCATGACAGCGCGTACCTTCGTCAAAGAAAAGAAAAGTGTCACACAAACAGTTTTAATGACCTTCCAGTAGATCTAACGGAAAACACTAACGATCAGATTACTCCAACCTATAGACCTCCACCAATCATCTATGGGATAGAAGATTTAAATGAACTCACGTAACTTCTCGAAACTGTGATTAGTCCCGCCAACTTTAAGTACAAAATTGTAAAAAAGAATAATCTCCGTGTCATGTTAGACACAGCAAGTAGCTACAAAGAGGTTATCAATCTCATAAGACAAAAAGGATTAATTGGACACACATTTACTAGAAGAGAAGCAAACCCCTACTGAATTGTCATAAAAACCTCCACGTCAGCACTCTACATGAAAGCATTATTGAAGAAATCGAAAAAACTGGCCACAAAGTTAAGGGTCAAATAGTAATCTCCCGCAATGGTCCAGATAAAAAAACCATATCAACTTTCTTTGTCAATCTAGAACCCAACATCAACAACAACTGGTGAAAGATATTAAGTATATCCATCACCAAGTAGTTAAGATTGAAGATCCACGCAAGAGGAAAACTCTAGTACAATGCCAAAGATGTCAACAATATGGTCACTCAAAAAATAACTGTATGAGACCATACAGGTGTGTCAAATGTGGCAAAGGACAAAACCTCTGACTGCCCCAAGAAGGACAGAAATACACCCGCGAAATGCGCTCTCTGTTTCTGCGATCATCCTGCAAACTACAAAGGTTTCCAGGTCTACAAAGAAATAGCCTCGAGAAAGCTGAACCGTGGCAGAACGATAACTCAAGACAATGATGCCAAAGTCATGACAACACAAGCACCAGCAAAACTGACTAGAGACCTACCGCAATCAAACCTGCAAAACTGCTCTCAACAGACATATGCTAATATAACTGCAGGAAAAACTGACAAACCGCTGGAAAATACTAACGCCACACAACAAAGCTCTCTGGAACAACTTTTAGTAAAACAAAACGAAAAAATAGACCAACTCCTCCAACAAATTAATACCCTGATGGGACTGTTGACAACAGTCATCAACAAGCTAGCTTAAATGGCGACTCTAAAAGTAGCATAGTAAGCACACTCATTGGGGTTCTCGCTGTAATAGTACTAGAGGCCGAGAATTGAAGCGCTGAGTAGATGAGAATCATCTAAAACCACTATCGACAGGTGAACCAACCTACTGGCCCAGCGATCCATAAAAGTTGCCAGACCTCTTGGACTTCTTTATTACGCAGGGCATATCTCACCTATACACTGGTATTGAATCTAGCCTTGATGGATTCTCAGACCATACCAGTTATTCTTACATTAGGCACAACTCCACTGGTAAGAGAAAAATCCGAATCCCTCACTAATCGGAAAACAGATTGGGAAGGTTTCAGAGGTTATCTCGACGAAAATATTATTCTCCGGATTCCCCTCAAAGACAAAGACGAGATTGATGAGGCATCACGAATCTAATACAAGTAGCAGCCTGGAGTAATACACCGGCTCAAAACGAAACTAGAGTTTCTTACAATAACCCACTAGATATAAAACAAAAGATTCTAGAAAAATCCGCTGGATAGAACAAGGCTAAATAGAGCGATAAAAGAACTAAAAGCCATCCTAAAAGAGTCGGCCAATGATATGGTTAAGAAAAACCTAGAGTGGTTGTCCCTATATGGATTTGGCGTGCATTCACTTTGGAAAGCAACAAAAAACCTAAGCAAGCCACAACAATCTCATCCTCCGATTAGATCACAGAACATGACTTGGGTCAGGACTGATTCAGAAAAAGCCGAGGTCTTCGCATCTCATCTAGCGGCAGTCTTTCAACCAAATGAGAGTTCCGCCGATAAGTCTGACGTCGATGCAATCCTCGACCAGGACTTGCAGATGAGTCTTCCAATATCTCCAACCTCACCGAGAGAAATTTCTATGGAGATAAAAACACTTGAGTCCGGAAAAGCACCGGGATATGATTTGATTACTCCAACCATACTAAAGAATTTCACCAGAAAGAGTATCGTGTTTCTTACATGCCTATTCAATACAATTTTTAGAACCTTCCACTTCCCAACTCTCTGGAAATTTTCCCAAGTAGTGATGATTCATAAACCAGGAAAGCCAGAACATGAACCATCAAAATATCGACCAATAAGCTTAACAACTGTACTAGATAGTACAGTTGTTAAGCTTATTGGTATAACTATGGGAAAGAATATTTTTTAACAGGCTAAATACAGCATCGGATCACTGGTCTGTTATTCCGTCCCATCAGTTTGGCTTCCGCAAGTCTCATTCAATGAACAAGTTCATCGTGTATATCACACAATTAGGCAGAGCTTTGAACGTAAAAAGTACTACTCAGCTGCCTTCCTCGATGTGCAACAGGCTTTTGATCGCGTGTGGCACAGAGGGCTGCTGGCGAAATTCAAAAAGAGTCTCCCACATTCCATGTTCACGCTCGTGGCATCTTACCTCTCTGATCGATCCTTCCAATACAAACAAGGTGAAACGCGATCCAGCTTTGATCATATAAAGGCTGGTGTACCCCAAGAATCGGATCTAGGACCGGTACTGTATAATATATATACATCTGACTTACCGGTTGACAATAATATCACCGTGGCCACATATGCCGATGACATAGCCTACTTGTGCTTGCTACTGCTAGCCGCAGACTTCAGGAGCAACTAAACCCAACTCACAAATGGCTGTGCAAGTGGCGTATACGTGCTTAGTGCAGCAAAGTCTACCCACATCACATTCACCCTGAGGAGAGAAGACTGTCCCCCTGTAAGACTCGGTAACGATATCTTACCGCACTCGGTCTGTGTGAAATATCTTGGCTTCCACCTTGATAGGCGCCTCACATGGAAACACCACATAAAACAAAAGAGAAATCAAGTTAACCACCAGTATCGCAATTTGTACTGGCTCATGGGAAGAAACTCGGTACTATCGATAGACAACAGGCTTCTTATCTATAATTCGGTGTTAAAACCAGTTTGGACATACGGAATGCAGATATGGGGTGTTACAAGTAAAAGTAACATACTCTGTCTACAACGATTACAAAATTGCATCCTGAGGGCAATGGCCCACGCTCCATGGTTCACAACAAATGATGAAATTCATCAATATCTGAACGTGCCGACTGTCATATCTGAGTACACAAACCACTAAGTATATACAATTTTAAACATTTTGTAAAAGCCACCTAATGGGACTAATAAAATATGGAAGAGAACATTGAGGACAAGAATGTGTTGAAATGACTCTTGTTCTGCACTTGCAAGTCCCCTGGCTGCTGTTGATTTTATATTTAAATAAATTTGTATAAATTTGTACATTAAAAAAAGGGATAACAAAACCGCCGAGTTTCTTGCCAGCTCGTCTCTAGTCAGGTGAACCCGTGGTAGTTTTTGACATTTAATGAGAGCTTCAAATAAACCTATACTGAGAATAAAAAAGTTTTGACGTTGAACTTTGACAGTATAGTAAAAACTTTTTTCTCTTCATCAGGGGCTTGTAAAATGTTTTAACAGAAGAACGCTTCATTTAACCATATAAATTTAGAGTAAGAAATAGCTGGTACTAATATAATTGTCTGGTTTAACTCGATCACTGTGTTTTTCGCGGATGCTTACATAAAACGGGATAGTATATTTCTATTAAAAAATCGATAGAGCGATAATAATCTTTACTGTTTTTTAAACCAAAACATGTGCAATTATTAATATATTGCTTTAGAAAACATGAAGTACATGGTTAGTATAGAATTTTATGGTGCTTTATTCATTAGCAGGATGCTGTAAAAGAAAATCGTCAAAATTCAGTGCCTTTTGTTTTTTTTTAATAAGCGAGTAACACCAAGGCCAAAATGAAAGAGTTTTGAAAAGGTCTATGTGTTCGTTCTATAGTATACAATCTTTTGTTTTCCTGAAAAGTATTCATCGAGGCTTTGGCACTGCCATTCGACTCGTTAATTCTTTCACACGTTTGTTACCGTTTTGTATTCACAGTGTAGGAAATATATAAGCTAGCATGTTTCAAACACAATCAGTACAACTCAATCGTGGCAGGATTTTAATTCTTAAAAACAAGTTGGCAATATGTTGAAGATATCATTGGTAAGAATATTTCACTTTTTTACTACATTTATGTTATTTACTGTATAAAGTTATATTTAAGTGTTTATTTTGTCATTAGGGCAAATCTTGCAAGTAAATCTAAATGTAAAACGTAGTAATGATGTTTGTATTATCAACAGATTACTGTCTTTGTGCTGGCCGCCTCCGTTACGGCCAAACCACTAGTGACCTCATATAGTATTATGACGTCTCCAATGACTTCTGCTTCCCTGGTAGCTCCTGTGTCTTCTCCCTTCGCTTCAATTGTTGCCACACCAGTTGATCCAGCGGTGGCCGCATCGTACGTTTCTGTTCCATTTGCATCAGTGTCAGATAATAGATATTCTATTGGTTCATCGTTAAACTGGCAAGACCTCATTGGCATACTGGTAGTTTAATAACATTCTAGTAATTTCATTGTTATAAACATACTTCACCCTTCAAAACTATAATAAAACGTTTATTGTATATACTAATGTGTTAATAAAATTCACTTGTTAGTTCAATGAAGTTTTCGTGTTTTATGTTAAGACCATGGACATGGAACTATTTGGATTTAAGATCAGATCATATTTTTTGAAATACGCAATGCAAATGCAATATGGTTTTTGCAGCAAAATACATTGTGAAACTCTAACTCATAAATATATTTTTATTTAAATATTTTTCTACTGATCTTTTTTCTTATAATATCCTCCAATAGTAGGCAAATATTATTTGTACTGTTAATAAAGGAATTAACTATTTGCTCTTCACAGTAAGTCCTTTGTTAAATCTCAATTTATAGCAAAAACTAACTAATTATTTAGTCGTTGGTTTGATATCGTTGTCCAGTATTTGTTTTCTTAATACGACATCCTGAAAGAGAGTGCTCCAATTGCAATTAAGAAAATCTTGCAGATATTATAGCCAATTCTGAAACCATCCACGAGTTTTTTAAAAAGAAATTATTATGAAAGATTCACCGCAAGAGGACGAGGAGGCTCTGGTTTAGGCTGTAGTAATTAGTAGGACCTACATATTCATTATACTTTCGTCTATGTCATCTGAATAAATAATGAATACGTACACTTCCAAACGATTAAGCGGTTCACGTTATGTTAAGTAGTTATCGCCACCGATGGACATCTACAACACCACACGCAGATATGTTGCAGACATTTAAAAATTTGGGCCCGATTATCTCACTCGCCAGACGAAACGCGAAAGAGAAATACTTCTGGTCTCTGTGAGCACGTGGTACTTCCCCGAGACTGCCCATTGATGCAATTAAGCCGAAAGTGGTTGCGTGGGCCTATCACTGCAAAAAACATTAATTTCTTACATATAGCAAGAAAATTTCAGGGACTGCTTATTTAAATCCTTAATCAATTTATCCAATACAAAGTTCAGTGTGTCTATTATAATATTTTCTGTGGCGTAGTGTGAGACTTTATCTCTAGATTTATTTAAAAACTTTGAAGTAATGAAAAAAAAATTTAATATATTATATTATAGGCCAGTAAAAATAGGCGTTTTCTTTGGTCAGCTCCGCACCAAAGTATCGATCCATCTTATTTAAAAGGATTTTTTGAGATTGTATAAGAAGTACCTAAGTGATCGTTAATTTGTTGCGAATTAATTTAGCGCGAAGTTAAATTCTATATTTACTGTCATATGTATTCTGACCATACGCTAGTACAACATTGACCTTGTAGCTTTCTCTTCTAATTCTTTTTTATTGTTTTGTTATTATTTCTGATTTGTGCCATAGCTCACAAATTATTTTAATGATCTTATTAACTTATTCTATTCACAAAAATTTTAATCTAGCTTCTAGAACGTTTTGTTAACAAAGTTGAATTTTTTTAATATATTGGAATTGTATTTCATGCTATGGCAATTAGCAATCATTAAGGCTTCATAAATGTATCATCTTCTTATAGTATACTTAAGCAAATAAATGTTATTATTATTAACTATTATTAGAAAATACTGATAACAATACTCTTTTTAATTTCTTTTGAGTAACTTTAAATTTTCATATGAATAAATTCATTATTTTATATTCGACGCCTGACATTCTTACACAGCAATCGTGTAAGACAGTAACATTCACATTTGTGTATTGTAAAAGGCGCCTGTAATACAATAGCGGTTTTGAGTGAAACAAACTAAAGCTTTTAGTAAACTTTAATTATGTAATTTTATATCGTAAATTATAGATCACATTTTTCTTAACTCTACATTAAATTTTATTTAATACAGTTACTATAACACATTTGAAATCGAAATCGACGACTACGTGCTGAGCGGTTTTAGATGTAATAGGCATAGGGCGAGGAATACGGGTAAGCAGAGTACGCGACGGGCGAGTAGGCACTGTACGCTGAGTACGCAACGGGAGCGGTGTACGCGGCGGCCACCGGTGCGGTATAAGCCGCCGCTAACGGCGCGGTGTAGCTGAACACCAGAGGCTTAGCTGCAGCGAAAGCCAGGAGAGCGGCGAAGATCAGCTGTAACATGAAAATGTAACATAATAATCGTGTTTTGTTTAATCACTACTTCACCACACGATATCATCTCGTAGGAACACTTACATAATTGGAAAAATATTCATCGATCGTGTAATTTTCTTTTTACTTTACATGGCAACCCAACAGAGTATACCAGATCGTGAATATTTCTCATGCACGCTAACAATATGTGTTGCAGGAATGCGTGTAGCCTAGGGTTTTTTTTTATATACCCATCCAGTTCTGACTAGAACTCCCAAATAGCTCATCCCCGATCAAGAAGAGGATTCATAAAGGATTTTTCCCATTTTAAAGGCTCATAGCATATCATTGGCAGTATGGCTCTCTGGTAATTAACCAGTGCTAAAACATAAATACCTCATGCCGATTTTCTGTTAAAACTTGGTATTTGGTAGTATCGCTGGCTGAGCTGGAATCATATTTTAGCTGGTGCTGTTATGTTAGTTGTTTCCCTACCACGGTTAAAATTGTAACCTACTATTAAACCCCCTTTTTTTTTGTTTACGTGGGGGAAATGCCTACGCGTACCCGCCCAAGCGGGGGCAATGAGCGGGTTATGTCGGACTCGCACCGACTAAAACCCCCACGATGTTCCACCTAGGCGCATATCGGCAGGGTCACGTGAACGCTTACGCATACTTCCGCGACCCTGCCAGCGCTGGCCGCTTCAGCAGCCCCCTCCCGGGGCTTACCTACTATTGCACCCCTAACAATATTGTGCATAAATAAAAATGAAAGGAAACCAAAATAAACAAAGAAAGAAATGAGGATATTACACCAAAACGTTTAATATCGAAAGTTATTATTATGATTACCAATTAATGCTTATATATGGAAAGGGCTGTTTAAATATCTATAAAATTAATGTTTGTTTTAGAAGAATAACTTCAGTGCACTGGCCATTGTTGGCCAAGCGTTATTGGTAGAAAGCTTACAAACCCATAGAGAAAACAAGTAGAATATAATTTAAAAAACTAAAAAACCCGACTGCGTTTCACACTCACGGTAAATACGAATCTAACAACACCTCTAAAGTTAAAATTCATCAAGCCTTTCAGGCTGCAGAGCGTGCCAAACAATTAAACGTACATACATACATAGATACTTTCGAAAAACATAACCCTCCTTCTGGAGCAGTCGGGTAATAAGGGCCATGAAAAGATATCGCTAGAGAAATTTATACAATAAGTCAATAATTCTTAGTATCAAGTAACTTTATAAATAATTCTAGGTATTCGTAAGGTCTTTCAAATCGAAATAAGCATTCATAAGTTATTTCAATAGAAAATATCAAGATTATAAAGCCTTTTAAGTCTGAAGGTTAAATACAGCGATATTTGAACTAGTTTTAATGATAAAATAGAGAATAGAATCAAGTAGGGAGATGTATTCAATATGAAGATGAACACGTCTTTGATTAAGCGATATATTTAAAACGCCTCAATAGGTTTAAAATTGATAGAATTAAATTAGTAGGTGCTTTTCGTACCATACTGACTCTATATTATTTAGTGATTTCGTTGTTATTTTGCTTCTTAAAGGAAACATTTTAAAGGTTACAGGAATTCGATTCGAATATTCTGAATTCGATTTAAAAACCTTTAATTTAACAAAATAAAAGTTTAAACAGTAATAGTACTTAAAATAAACGAACGGGCAGCAAACTCTTCAAAATTAGAAAATTCTATTTAGTAGATATTATCATTATATAACACTAGCTGATCCGGCAAACGTTTTTTTCCCAAATAAATTATTTCTAGGGAATTTGTGAATCTGAACACATAGAAAAAGAATTTACGGAAAGCACGCATGTTTGACAGGTTACAGACACAGTTGACAGGTTGACAGGTAACAGCTTGTATGGGAAAATAAAATTATAGGTATTTCGATTTTCCATGCAATTTTTCCATAATTTCTCAACTAATATTTCAAAACCAAAATTAGCCAAATCGGCTCAGCCGTTATCGAATTTTAACGAGACTAACGAAACACAATTCATTTTTATACACGGTTGCACAATATCGAACTACCAATATTAATTGCCCCACTATCACTGAAACAATTATTATAATTACAAATAGTACTTACGAGTTTGAACATTTTGATTGTTTTGAATGGCTGTTAGACACTGACTACAGTAGTACTATCCAGGCCAATATATAAGGATCTAGCCCGCTGTTGGCACCGGTCTTAGGCCGCTCAACTGCAAGGACGAACGCACATGGGACAAGCGCACATGACTAGAATACAGCATTCACCTATGTCAAATATAGGGTGTTTTCCAAGGTCGTATCTGTGCTATATACACATACTATGTATGTAAAAGACGATAGCTTTGCTTTTTAGTAATCAATTAGCTATTTTATGCGTTTAATGAATACGATACAGATATAACCATTCGAATATAAAAATAAATAATTGACGTACACTAAATCAAAAAAAACACTTATTCAAAGCATTGAGATCGAAGCTACCTTGCCTCAAATGTAAGATCTTGCTCGCCGAAATGTTACAATCTCCGTTGATCTTTGTATATTACTATAAGAATTATCTTAAAAAAATGTATGTTATTACCGAGACAGAGACAGGCAGCATTTTCTCAATAGGTTTGGGGGAATATCGGCGTAAAGTAAAAGTTTCACATTTCTTTCATTCCGTATGTGTGGGTGTAGACAAGACCCACTATCTTATAAAAGCTTAGGGCGTCGGTAATCTCATAAAATCAAGAGTGAAATTGATAAAATAGAATAGAATTGAAAAAATAGAAAAGTATGTGATGAAGAATTTGGGTGTTGTTAGAAAAAAAACCTTAGACCGTTCTAATGTCCTATGCAAACATTTTATTAGTAACCAAAACATAATCTTAGAACCTGGCGAGTTCTTTTAATATCACATCCTGTGTAAAATAAAAATCTAATAGATCGTATCAAGCGCCGTCGTGTAGAACATTCGAGACTCTTCTGCGTTTGACGCATTTAAATTGCGTACATCCTTAATGGATAGCGGACAAAAAGGTCAGGCCGAACTTCGGGCCGTTTTACACTTTTAATAATTATTCTCTGTCATTTGTTCAATTACGACTAAAAGTAAATCAAGGAGAGCGACACAAAAAATGATTAAATTTTAAATTAGTATTTTTAATTTTCTTTACGTATCTTTTTCTATAGTTATAACTCATGTATGGTCAGAATATTTAAAAAAAAGTTCGCGCTATTTGTTTAAAAATAGCATGGTAAACTGCAATAATAAAGACCTTTTGCGGACTTGCAAAAGGTCCTTTGCGTGAAAACCGCTTAAATTATTCATTTACCTCTATTGATATCTGTTTTTTTCGCGAACATTATACACGATTGAATGAAAATATTTTAGGGATATTATCGAGTTTTATTTTTATTCCATACTGAAATTACATATAAATACGAAGCAAACAGTACACTAGCACACCGAAACTGAGGCGCTCAAATTACGCCAATTGTTGTAATTAGATTGAAATTCTATAGACTGCTGTCAATTTCCGTATCAGATGTTCTATATCATCTTTTTTTTTTTTTTTTATGCGAAAAGTTGTCAAACGGGCAGACGGTTCACCTGATGTTAAGTGAATACCGCCACCCATGGACATCTGCCACACCCGAGGGTTACAGAGGCGTTGACAACCTTTTGAAAATTGGGTTCCGGCTACCTCACTCACCAGACGAAACGCGAAAGTATTTGTCATACTTTCACTTTACGCCGGTCTTCTGTGAGGTCGTGGTACTTACCCGGATGGGCCTGCCCATTCGTGCAACAGCCTAGGCTGCTGCGTGGCCCTACCACCGTGACACTCATCCCCCATCTGTCACACTCATCTTCATTGTGTCGTGTCATATAAAGCGGAACAATTTTTAAACGCTGCGCATTATGGAACAAAGATGGATGTTACGTGGACTAACTTTTTAAATTACGTTTATTGTTTTGTAAATTGTGTCAATATAGATTTTTGGTAAAAAAATAATAACATTTTAAGTTTCAATTTCAGGAGAGTTCAGTGGTGATTTCCTCTTTTCGAATTTCTTATGTGTACACAAGCGTCACAAGTGTGACGGAAGAACCGTGACTTTAAACTGTGATCACTGAATGTGGATGTAACGAACAAGAATATCCTTATCATAGGGTGTTCTAAAATTCTTTGTTTTGGAAAATTTAATAACTCTGTAAATATTGATGTTTAAAGAATTTAAATGTTTAATACAACTTTAAAAAGTTATCCCCTATATGTGTGTTCGTTTATTGTTGCGATGGTAACGACACGCTGTATAAAATTTTATCGGAGGTCGATTAACATCAAATGTTATTAATTATACTAATACTAGAAATCTAGCGAAAACCCTAAATTTTTCTAAAAACTTTCATACTTCTTATTTTATTATCCTTACGTTTTCTGTGTAGGAATTCAGAACAAAGGGGAATCAATTTTTCTATTTGAAGAGTTACAATTATTTGATTTTAAGAAGAACTCAATTTTAATTAAAAATTAATGAGAATATTTGATATCTGTTAAATGATGATACATTCTAAATTTATAAAAGTTATGCGGCTGTAGTATAATTTATTTCCATTAAATGCAATCAATCCAAAGTAAATATAAACTTTCACACGATATTTAAGAATATTCCCAATCTATATTTCACATTATGTATTTAAAACGTTGATGCCATTAAAAATTCTTAAATCTTCATCGTCAATGAACGATGAAACTAGCACTTATTGTAAACTGTGCAATTTAATTTTAGATTGAAAACGACGTAATGTCAGTAATGCATACAATAGGTGAGCTGATTAAATTTTAGATGCGTCTATTGCGGTTTTAATGAAATTGTTAATCGTGACGCACGGAGGGTATGAGGGTATGACGTCAGACTTATGTGTTTCTCTCCAAAAGACACCTTTATTCAGAACAATACACTAAACCACTGACTATGATGTCATACTGTATAATTGTCTCGTAATGTTAGATTACAATATAAAAGAGATATAAGTTGTAATGTAAGCTAAAGACTTCATTTATTGTACAAAAGAAAATTTTGTTATAAATATATACATCAATACAGATAAATAAAATGGGAGTGTCTGTTTGTAATCTTAAAATAACCGCTTTTTACTAAATACATATAGATGTATACATGGTACTAATACCAAAATAATATTTTTTACAATTTTTGTCTGCCTGTCTCTCTGTTTGTTACGGCTAATCTCTGAAACGGCTGGACCGATTTGGATGGCACTTTCACTGGAAAATAGCTGATGTTATAAGAAGTAACTTAAGCTTCTTTTATTTTTGAAATTTTATTTATTTTAAATTGTACGCGGACAAAGTCGCGGGGCACAGCTAGTAAATAAATAAATATTTTCGGACACATTTTTACACAACTTTCTTTAGTCCCAAACTAAGCAACGCTTGAACTGTGGATACTATAAAACTGTTGGACATACTTAGACATACTTTTCTTTTGTAAATAAATACATATTACACATATATAAACACCCAGACACTGGAAAAACACTATTGTTGATCACACAATATTTTCCAGTAGTGGGGATCAAATCCACACCCTCTGGCGCAACAGGCAGGTGCACAACTCCACACGCCAATCGGGTCGGTTAGCAAAAGATCTACGTACATTCTGATTAATTTGATGCATATTTAAAGAAATGTTGAAATAATAAATATTTGTTATAGGCCTCTAGCACAATAGTGAAGATGTGATTATAATTTTCTTAACATCTATCACAAATGTTTTTTTTTTCTTTAGATGTCGAAATAAATTATTTTTAATATCTTAAAATAAAAGATAAAATAAAAACCATGATGTCAAATAGATAAGGAACGCAACCATGATTTCAAATATCGACGATATTATGAACATTCATTAGATTCATAAGCGTACAACGTAGCACTAATATATGCCGTTACGATATAAGGTACGGAAAATAAAATACTAAAGGAAATATCAATCCATTTATGTGTATTTGAAATCAGTCGTTGAAAATATATATCAATATATCAAATAGATCATTTTACAAAGGCAATAGGCGCTTTGTAAGCGGCAGCTACAAGTGGTGAGCTGTAGGCGACGGGGGCGGCGTAAGCTGCAGCTACGGGCGCAGTGTACGCTGCAGTGTAAGCTGCTGCTACGGGTGCAGAGTACGCAGCAGCTACTGGTGCAGTGTATGCTGCTACTACTGGTGCAGTGTATGCTGCCGCTACCGGGGCAGTGTAGGCCGCAGCAACTACTGGTGCCGCAGGGTAAGCTACGGAGTGGATGCCAGGCTTGCCAACCACCACAGCGATGAGGGCAGCGAAGATGATCTGTAGAGGATAATAATAGGATATAAATAACCAACATATTGTCCAAATTGTTATATATGTTAGAAGCGCATTTTGGAATAAGCCAAATAAAAGGCGAACAAAGGCTTATAAACTGCAATAGTTTACCTCCTATAGTAAAAATAATTCCTCAATAAATTATAATATAGATTGCTATAGAAGCCAATTAAACTTAAAATTCTATTTATTAAAATTTGATTCACACAAAAAAATATTTTTTTACGAATATTTGTAGCTATTTTCAATTGTTCTATTAATGGGTCTTAATATGAGTACTTTCCAATGATTTAATAATAAATGAATATATTATAGGTTTAATACTTTTGGGTTTCGTCTCGTGAGTGAGTTAACCGGAGCCCACTGTATTAAAAGGTGACAAAGCATACAACAACCTTACGGGGTTGCAAATGTGCATGGGCGGCGGTTATCACTTAAATCACCACTTCGCTTGTCACCTTATCACATAAAAATATTTAATTAAACAAAGTCAAAGACACTTAATTTGAAGTTCAGTTAAATAATCATCTTTATTTTAATATAAAAATAGAGATAGGTAAATACCTGTTTGAACATTTTGAGAATTGTTCGACTTGTTCAGTAGTAGAAAAGAAAATGATGTTGATGTATACGATTCTTGCGTATAAATAGCCCCAGGAAAAGAATTAAATTATTCGTTCTAAGAGGGTGTGTTAACTCACTCCACGGCATCGGTGCTCCGAATTCAAGACTAACTTTTGTTAAATTTAAGTTATGCGAGAGTGAAACATTTTTGAGGTTTAAAAAAACAATTATTTTTTGTAATATGTTAAACATAAATATTCTTTTATTGTTTTGCGTAGTCGACAGTTAGAAAAATAAAACCGGCCAAGTGCGATTCCGACTCGCGTACCAAGGGTTCCGTACCATTATCGACAAATACGGCAAAAAAATCATGTCTGATGTATGGGAGCTCCATTTAAATATTTTTTATTCTGTGTTTTAGTATTTGTTGTAATAGCGGCAACAGAAATACATCATCTGTGAAAATTTTAACTTTCTAACTATCAAGGTTCATACAACCTGGTGACAGATGGACAGACTGACAGACAGCGAAAACATTTTAGTAGTAGGGTCCCCTTTTACCCTTTGGGTACGGTCATCCAGACTTAAAACAATTTTATTGCTTCAAAATGAATTTATTTTCGTTATTTATTTCATAATTTATTTCAATGTTTCATGTCCTTATTCTATTCTATTCTATTCTATTCTAAAAGCCTATTATGAAAATGAATCTTATAGAACTACACTCTGCAGAATGGTGCCGAAAACTTTGAACCTAACCAAAGTTTTAACCTTTTTTAAATACGTTGAGAGTATGCTTTGAGTCTTTAATTATAATTTTTGTTAGTCCTTGCCTTATTCTACGGACTGGTGACATAGTTAAACTCTTAAACTAGTACAAATTCATTAATATAAATTTTGCTGTTTCTGTTTTGCATAAAGTTGACCGCTCAGCATGCCTTGTGCTTCTCGTGAGTTGCATCAGAGGTCAGTGCGCACGTGCCTGGGTTACTACGGTAGCCATTGCGGTTGCATCAACCACCCAGAGGTCAATGTGCCTGTTTCATGTAGGCCTTTATACGGACTGCGCGTCCTTGTGCGGAAAATAATTGTTGTAACACTAATACAGGGCCATGTCTTTCTCGGCGTCACTAGAAGTTTTTTTTTTAATTGATAGTTGTTTTAAGTTTTTAACTTTCTCGAAATCTACCGTTCTTATCAATCAGCTTATTTAATCTGAAAAAAAAATTATGATTAATCTTTTTGATTTCACTTGAATTTTAAATTCAGTTTTGCTATTGCTGGGTCCTTTTATAGATAATAGATTATTTTATCAATAAATAATTAGCTCTTATTATATTTTTACCTGAATTCAGAAAATGGAGAGACTGGCCTACATTAATACCTTATCTATAACTAAATAATTGATACATCCATAGGATAAAAACATTAAGCATGTTTGTTTATTTAAATGCACTTAAATCCGTATTTAGTAATTTTCTATTAAAATAATTTATTTTCTCATTCCTCGTGCAATGGAATTATTTCAACATGAGCTAGCAATCCAATACGGCAAGTAGCGCGCCAGCAATTGTTCGGTATATTAGACTGAATATGGTATATTTTACTAGCGGACTGGACAGATGTTGTCCTGTACACACGTCTTAAATTCGAATTTCGACTAAAATTTCATACTTTTTGAATAACTTTGTGAATATATACTATTCTCGAATCCACCTGAACACACACAAAAATAAATTTCATTAAAATCGGTCCAGCCGTTTAGGAGGAGCTCAGTGGCATACACACCTACAGAATAATTATATAAAGATAATATATTTTTGTTGGTGGTACTTTTTCCCGCTTACTTTGTTTTAGTAAAACTTCTTTACGATTTAGAACTATCTTATTCAACAATAGGGGCAATGGTAACATTACCCCTATTACATAAGTGTAGGATAGGAATCTGCTCCTTCGTATACCATTGTAAAATAGTGTATGACAGAATTCAAACGTGGATGAGAGGGTATCGGAGGGACACATCGCTACAGCCGTCTTTCGACTATCAACAAGGAGAGAAACAATGTGTGATTTCATACTGGCAGACCGAAGATTGACCGCCCAGGAGATTTCTGCAACCTCTTATTACCAAACTCCTACACTACAACTCATACACATAATTGTCAATGGACTAGGATTTTCTAAAGTTACCGCGTTATTTTTATTTTATTTTATTATTTATTACTTATTATTTATTTACAATGTTTTTATTATTTATTATTTACACTGTTATGGGAACAGTCTTCGTTGTTGAACGAATGGGCAAGTCCATCAGGGTAAGTACCACGACCTCATAGAAGACCGGCATGAAGTGGAAGTGCTATGCGTTTCGTCTGGTGAGTGAGGTAGTCGAGTCCCACTTTATTAAAACGTGGCAACGCATCTGCAACCCAATGGGTGTTGTTTATGTCAATGGTCGGCGGTTATCATTTTAACCTCGGGTGGATCATCAGCTCGTTTGCCACCTTCTCACATAATATAAGGATTTTTATTACTTTTAATCTTCGAGTTTAATAGACAACTTGACGATTGTTTTGTTCGGTGCCAGGATTCGAACTTGCGTCTTCTGGGTAACGCGTTGAGACCTCTAAGCAACTGAGCCAAACAATCAGTATCCGCACGGCGCTAAAATCTTCCACGTAGATAGTCGTCGAAAATAACCATCATTTATTTATTTGGTTTTAACATGGTTTCACAAGGTGTTACAAATCATAAATACTGTACAAAATATTACCGATATCAACCAAATCCACTTCACTTTACTATTTATATAAAGTTCAACTTTTTTTTAAAATTGTTTTAGCATTTTCATGTTATTGGGTATTTTATTAAAATTCGTACACACATCATCAAACAATTATTACTAAATTTTGTTGATCTAGGGGTGCCTTTTAGCACAAGTCTATGTTGGTTCCTATTTGGTTATATTATTGACTTCGTTTGCTGTTTTAAGCAATTCTTTATGTTTCCTTACAAAGATGCATATTTCATAATTCATTGTAAAAGTATCAGCCTATACATATTATATTGAATTAAAGGCGAGCGCCCGGACTGAGCTATCACGGCTCTGTAATTCATTGTATCCTTTATCTATTTTCAGCCGACTTCAAAAACTGAGGAGATTCTCAGTTCGACTGGATTTTTTTTTAATGTTTTTTACCTCAGAACTTTCGACTGAGTGAACTTTTTTTATTTGAAAGCTGGTGCTTCCCATGTGGCCCCATATTAATTTCATTGGCATTCGATCTCGGGCTCCGGCGATACGATGGGAATTCCTGAAAATCAATTATAAAATGAATACAGAGCGAGATTTTTGTAGTCGGTTTTGTTTGGCGTTAATAAAAAAATTGACTTACTATCAATTTCATGTTAACAACTTATACATATTCTTGAAGTGCACTATAAGTTCTTTTAAAAAGGATCTAAGAGTAGGCTATATATGACCCATAGGAATCGTGTAGTGAGGGTATTATGGCATAGGCCACTATTTTATGGAAAATAATCAATTTTCTTCAACTTGAGCAATTGATAAATCACCACTTAAAACTGCAATCAACTCTTTATGCTAAATCTATGCCGCATTTAATGAAGGGGATTTAACTAATTCAAGTATTCGCAAAATATTTAAAAATTCACATTCTCGTAGTTAGTTGTTATTGTTACATCATTCTCAAAAGGAATATGTATGTCATTTTTGTAAAAGTATTTATTTTACAATATACATCAATAATGTTTTTTTTAAATATGTATCAATGTATTTAAAAACTTCTGTTGTTGATGAAACTATAGTGGGACATAAAGTAAAACATCGAATTCGGTCATGCAAATAATTTAATTCAGTTTATCCATGGTGGTTGCAGAGTGGACATTTTCTTCGAAGTTAATCTTGTTTTTATGTTTCAGCGATAGTAGTAAGCGGCGTAGGGTGAGGCGTAAGTGTACGCAGAGTACGCGGCCACTGGTGCTGTGTACGCTGAGTACGCCACGGGCGCTGTGTAGGCCGCCGCGACGGGTGCAGTGTACGCTGCTAATGGGGCAGTGTATGCTACGGGCAGAACGCCGGGTTTGGCAGCGGCAAGTGCCAGGAAGCAGGACAGGATGAACTGAAATTAAGTTAATTATTTAATACACTTTTTGAGGATAAGCGGGTGATTATTATACATTCATCGTTTAGAATTGTTTTCGTTCACGTTAATTTAATGTAATGGAACAAAATGGTAGTATTTTAATAGAGAAAAGCGCAAGTGCCATTGAAGTTAACAAAGTATCTATAGATACTGTGTAAGATTTTTAAACGTGAGAAGGTGGTAAGGCGGTTCACCTGATGTTAATTGATAACCACCGCCCATGGCAGCCCATTGCAATACCCGTAGGATTGCTGTTGCCCATATTTTAAGAAAAGCGGGTTTTTAGGACTGTTGGTCGGGTGTGGTTTAATAACTTAAAATGAGATAGTGCAATAGATTTTTTTTACTTACCAGTTTGAACATTTTGATGGTTAGTTTGGTACTTGCTGCAGCTGAGCTAATGATAGCAAGATTCTTACAGCGGCCGACTTTATACAAAGCTACGAAGGTCGATTGCGAACAATGCGATGATATTCGATGCCACACGTACTTTGAATTACGATACAAGTTTGTCCTTTACAAGGCTTGCAGGTAAAATTGTCAATGTATCGTTTTTAAAATTCAAAGTACATCGTCACTTTCCTTCAAAATTAGCCGGAAACTAGTAAAAGCCTAACAGACCTCTTTGATTCTTATATTTTGTTATTTTTATTATTAGTTCTTTACGGTATTAGGTTAATTTATTTAAAACATAATATTTCACAAGAATTGTAATTTTGAAAACAATGAAAAAGGTGAAATAAAAATTAAATTTCATGTTTTTTCATTTCATCAATCTCATAGGAGTTCTTAATTATTTTGTGTAGACTCAGTGATTGAAGTAACATGTAACCCGAATTTAGACGTGCAACGATGTGATGCTAATTGGAAAGTGATTTCTGTACATACTAAATTTACAGAAAGTTAATGACTAAACATAGACCTAAATACACTAATGGTTTATTTAAAGCATTAAAAAAAAAGAATAACTTTTATAATATTCACGACATTTTAAAAGAATTGGTGGTTTTATAATTGATTAACATATTTTCGTCAGAGTTATAATGAAAGGTTAATTAAAAGTAATATAGTGGATGACGTCAACAAAACGCGAAAGATAAGAGTATAAGATTGTTTTCTGCTAAATATAACAAATAGCCTACGAAAATAGTAAGAAAATTGTACGGAAGTAAATGAGAAGTGGAGTCTAAGAGTCTGCAAGAGGTGCCCTCCGTAACGAGGTCAGTGGATGAATTCACGAGAAATTCGTAGTCTTATGGCGAAAAGTTAACAAGCTCTCACAGTCGTCGGGCTTAACGTGGTGGATAGAAATAGTTGTTGGAATCAACATTTCCCTGTACTTTTTTAATTAAATGTAATAAGTTAGGAAATGAGCAGGTTCTCCGCTTGATGTCCGGATCAATCGCTGTGGTATAACGATTAGAAAAATTCGTTAAGTTATTTTTATTCAACAATTAAAATCATTAACAAGAATACATTGTTTTAACATGTAATTATATTTCGATGACATCTTGACGCAGTTGCAAAGGTATTGGCTTCTGCGCCGGGTTCTTGAGTTCTATTCCCAAACTGGATCGATTTTTGTGTGACCCACAGATAATTATTTCAGATTGTCCACGTGAAATATAGGATAATATGATAAAAAGGAAATTATCTTACAGTAAGGCAATGTAAAAAAAAAATAATAATTGTCTATCTCTATCTATCTATTTTGCGGATCGAAATCAATATCTGTAGAAGTTAAATCAGTAAAATAAATCTGTAGTATAAACCAGTATTTATGTCCTATCTATGATCTGTAGTAATAACTAAAGCCAAATATATATAATATGGCGGGATTTTTAATTCTATTATTACGAAACTTTTAATTTATAGAGCTTATTAGATAAATAATAGCACAAGAAATATAAATAACGTTTCTTACACGACAACATCTGATTGTCTTGAATTTCATAACAAATTTGCACTGTAAAGTCGTATATCACATATGCTCGTGAACGGCTAACGGCCGTTTTCAATATTCAATGTATAGATAGATTCGGTTACTGAAGACATATTTTTGTTATAAGTATTAAGACTTAAGATTTGATATAAGAAGATAATGTCAAATATCTATTGCTAGTAAATAAATCTATTTGTAGATAGAATATTGAAAGGCAGCCCAGCCGTTAGACGGTTGGCGGGTAAATTGGGTTATTTTTGTCGGTTCTGAGTTAAACCTCCATTTAGCGTGAGTGCCATAGGTGAGAAGTATATACTGGAAAATCAATTTCTCGCTTTGCCCCTCGTTTCTTATGATGCTATCGGTTTTTAATGAACTGTTATAACTTAGCGGTAAGTCCGCGACTAATTACCTATGCTTGACTTAATTAAGGCGGCGATAAACATTGCTATATAATAACGGAAACGAGATCAAATCGTGAAAAGTGAAAGTACACTGTGCAATAATGGCTCCTATCGTGAGTATTGTAGGATTTTTATTGTAGAACAGTTGTCCCAAACTTAATAAAACCGACCGATCGTGGAAATAGGAAGATACTGTTACATAGTTTTTCGAAGCATATTTAAAAGCATAGTAAAATATTAGTGTAATATTTTGTATGTTTCATTTTACAGGTTTTGTTTGTTACTCTTCTCCTTTGCCTACAAGCCAACGGCATGGAAACGCAAGAAAATAATTTACAACAAGGTGTGACCGCCGAACGTCACGGTCTCTTATCTCCCTGGCAAGGGCTCAATGGGGTTCTACCAGTTAACCGATTACCATTTGGTTATGTAAGTCCATTGATCCCTGGATACGGAACACACACAAATTTTGGTAGGGGTGTACCGCAGCTTCTTCATCTTGGATAAACATGGTTATGTATCAATTAAAATGATACTTTATCAAGTAATGTCAATTTGAATCCTTTGTGAATATTTGACTAAAAATATTTTATACCAATTTTTTTGGTATTTATATCTTTTATTTTTTATAAAGTCAATCTTCCACTGTCTAAACAAAATGTTCAATGTAGCAGGGCTGCATTGCTTGAAATCCATTTTTCTTTGAAATTTTTGTCAATAATAATTTTTATCAGTCATTTAGTCTAAATATCTCATTTAAAATATTTTATGTACGTTGTGTACTTATGTCAAAATATTTTCGATCAACATTGGTATGACTGAATTAAAAAACATTAAACACAAAATAATTCATAAAAATACTATGTATGTAATGTAATTATGAGATAAAAATAACTTTATTATCAGTAACATGTAATAATTAAAGTAAAATACTATGCTTATTGGCTTAACTATTATGATTTTATTTATATTTATAAATAAAATACTGTTGTTAGTTGTCAAATTAAATTTAGTTAAAACTGTTTGCTGATCCTTTGTGAATTACTGTCTGTGAACATTTCAAAAACAGTTAACAATTAATATATAGGACTTCTTTCATACCCATTGTTTAAAATTACCCGTGTTACCAGCATGTTATAACCAATATCATAGATAAGGTGCATTCAATAAATTAAAAAAAAAGCATACATATAGAGAAATATCACAAGACCATCAATCAACGACAAAAATTAATACTTATAACCCAATATTTCCTATACTTTTAGTCACCACGAAGTATAATATCTACAAATTAATCAATGGATTTTATTGTATTAAACAGTTTACTATACTTAAATTCGCAATACATTTATATTTATTGTATACATATCAATTTACATTATAATTCACATATATAAAAATATAACATTCTTAACAAATTACATCAACGGCGGAGATAGTAAGAGTAGGGTGATGCGTATGTGTACGCAGAGTAGGCTACGGGGGCGGTGTACGCAGAATAGGCGGAGTAGGCGAGGGGCGCGGTGTAGGCTGCGGCCACGGGCGCAGTGTACGCTGCGGCCACGGGTGCAGTGTACGCCGCCAATGGTGCGGTGTACGCTACTGGAAGCACACCGGGCTTAGCGGCGGCCAGAGCGAGGAAGCAGGCGAATACGAACTGTAATAAATTTTCATTTTTCTTTTTATAAAGACACAATTTCACAAGACATTGCTTCCTTTGATCTTGATAGGACAGAAAGAGATCCACTTTCAACTAGAGTTTTTCATTCGGAGATCATTTGGAAAATGAGCCTATTGCCATGTTAATAAAAACAGTTCGAAAGTCGAGCGATTATTTAAGACATTTCTGGACCGACATAATTTTTAAAACAGTCAAAATGTTAGTAAGCATTTTTTAAAATTGCATTTAAAAATTTGAAAATTTGAAAAACTTTAAAAATTTTATTTAAATTTTAATGATCCGTGATAGCTGTCCGTGTCCGGGCGCTCGCCTTTAATCCAATATACTCGAGCAACCTGAGACCGATCCTCGCAATATCCTCGAGCGAGGATCGATATGCGGGATATGTGAAGTCCGCGTGGTTGACTGTGCCCTGATGCCCTCTGTACAGAGGAGGTCTTTGTCCAGCTGTGAGACATGTACCACTGCTGGGCAAACATACATGTATAGGCTCTCTTTAATTTCGCACTTTGATCCAAAATATGTTAATTTTAATTGCGCTTACCAGCTTGACCATTCTGTTGAGTGGGGTAAAATTTGTTTAATACAAAATGTGTACGTTGAAGCTCTAACGACAATGTAATGTAGAAAAGTGTGGTCCCTCGCTTTATATACATTAGTTGCCTTCTGTTAGGAAACCGTTCGCATGAGCGTGGAAGAATACCAAACAGTTTTACCTGTGGTCGTACAGCAATGTAGGGTCGAGGTTATCTTCGCTTGCAAATGTAGGCTCAATTCAAAACAAAGTTATTGTTTTTTGTGTTTACTTTCTGATTAAACAGGGCCACGCAACAGTGTTGCACGAATGGGCAGGCAGGCTACGGGTTTTGGTAATGTCCATGGGCAGGCGGTTATCACTTAACATCAGGTGAACCGCCAGCTCGTTTGCCGCTTCCTCACATAAAAAAAAATAATAAAGATCGGATTATTGCGGATATGAGAATTCAATAAGATAGTTACTACATTCGCTATTATTATGTATTTTTAATAACTGACTTTCAGTTTATTAACCGACTTCAAAAATTATCAATTCCGGTAATTTTTTTTTTATGTATGTTTCGGCGTAACTCCATCATTTATAGACTCTACATAGACTTATCTTGTTCGAAAGGATTTTAATTCGAAATGGTCCCATTTATATTTCATATAGATCAGATGAGTTTCGGAAACGGAACAGAACTTTTTTCAAAGTGACAGCAAATCAACCGCGATTGCTGCTGTCGCATAATAAACACGCATTTTTTTGCGCAATCATACAACAAAATCACGTCTGTACACTGAAAAAGGTTAAGCAGATTTATTCAGTTGTTTGTATAAATACGTTGGTTTCACGTTTTGAGCTTTCATATGTGCGTTGTAAGCGTCTACTTGTCTGTCAATGGGATAAATTGGAATTGCGACTCCATCGGCAAAATCTCCTATCAACAGTTTTCCTTTTCCAGTTCAAGTCGAGCCGTTGCCAATTCAGCGATTGTTTTTTTTTTTTTGTAAATAAACTTATAGCCAAACGAGTGCGAATTAAACTAAGACAATTATCGTTATTTTTGTCATTTAACCTATAATATATAAGATCTTTTTTTAGTAATCTATTATAGCACTGGTCAAGCCTCTTATTATCTATAATGATATAAGTATAATAAGTATCTATAAATGATATTAATTCCGCTGGGTCCCCGATGAAAATGGGTGTCCCACAAGGATCAATCTTGGGCCCATTATTATTTTTAGTATATATTAATGATCTCCCCTTTTATGCCAGTGCGTTGTGTGATGTTGTACTGTTTGCTGACGATACATCGCTAATTTTTAAAGTTGACCGAAACGTATTAAATTATGACGACGTGAATAGTGCACTTTCACATATCCTCCGCTGGTTTACTATTAATAATATGGTATTAAATGCCAAAAAAACCAAATGTATTCTTTTTACCCTTCCCAGTATAAGAAGGAAAAGTTTTAGTTTAATATTAAATAACGTACCCATTAATCCAGTTGAGTCTGCTGTATTTCTGGGAATTACAGTAGATTCAAAGCTCCAGGGGCGTCCCCATATATCATCTCTTGCGAATAGGCTGAGCTCAGCTGTTTTTGCGATTAGAAGGGTTAGGCAGCTAACAGACATCGACACGGCATTTTGTTTTGGGTAGTGCATCAGATATAAATTCTATATTTATTCTTGAAAAAAGAGCTGTCCTGAAAAGAGCCCGGAATTCACTCAGAGATCATTTCAAAGAGGTTAATATACTCACTGTTGCTTCTCAATACATTTGTTGTAATATTTTGTATATACGACATAACCTTAATTATTACCTAAATAATAGTGACAGACATAAAATAAACACTACAAATAAGGACAAACTTACTACACCATTGTTTCGTCTGCAAAAAGTAAATAGGTCGTTTATGGGGCAAGGTGTGCGCATGTATAATAAAATCCCACAGTCGATATTAAGTCTTGACCAATTTAAATGTAAAATTAAAAATCAATTAATGATTAAAGCATATTATACCATTTTGGAATATTTCGACGACGCCAATGTGTGGAGTTAATACTGTTGATACTCACGTAGTCTAGAATAAGACCATTATACCTGTATATTATATTGTACCCTGGTATTTTTCAAAAAGAGCAACTGTTGAGTTTCTTGCCGGTCTCTTCTCAACAGAAACTGCTTTCCGAACCGGCGGTACCTTACGAACCTATAAACATAATCTTTGATGTAAAATTTGACGATTCATAAGAGCGCGCAAGCGTCTATTTGAATAAATATATTTTTGATTTTGATTTTATTTGAAAAAATTATTTGTTGGTGTTTTTTTGCTTTACTGAATTATTTAGAGCCTTTTTTTTATTTCTTTTATTTTTTCTTAATTTTATTTTTTTTCCTCTTTTATTGTGTGCGTCCTTTTTTTGGTAAATAAATGTATTTTCTTTCTCTTTCTTTCTTTCTTATTTGAAATGCTTAGAAATTTTCTTTCATTATTTGCTTTTAATCGCTTTCCTTTTGCAGTCCCAGTTTCAGTTCAACGCCGTTTTCTCACAGGAGCAGCGTCCTTTGCTTTTACTTAATTAAAGTTAAACCACTAAAAATAAAAAATAAATAATTAATAAAAAAAGGACGATGATAACGACTAAAAAGTTTAAAATAATGGTAAATATAATATAATAGAATCTTGAAAATCTATCTATCTTCTAACAAAATTTAACCATTTTTGGAATAAATTTGGGGTGCTTTTTAAGGTATTTCCATTATAACTACTTTTACCAGTAAACTGTATATAATGTCATTAAAATATTATAACATTGATTCCAAGCACCCCGCGCTTTTGTACAACAGTTTTTTGTTATTAACCGTATTCATAATTAAAATTAATTGAAAATTATTTTATAATTTTTAGTTCGGTCATCTACTAAAGCTTGTTTTTTAGTTTTTGTGCGGGATAACTTAGTTTAATAGTGTTTGTATAAGTAATTTACTAATCAATTCATGTAACGTAAATCGAAATAATTGCTTAAAACTTTGCTTAAAATTTGCTTAAAACTTGCTTATTTTAGATTGTCTATAAAAATGTCTGTATAATGAAATACTATAAGATTTTAATTGTATAACTGTTTTTATATGACTATTAACACATATGTTGTGAAATTAGGGCGATAAAATAATTAGGGAAAAAGTGTAATTTCATAGTGTATCGTAATTGATAAAACATTAAATTTAATTATTTGTTATCTAGTCATAAGACGTCGATTCTTTAAGGTAACGCACCAAGAGGGTGCCAAAGGAAAAATGTAAGCTCTCTGATTGGATACCAATACGACAACCAATCAGAGAGCAGGAATTAATTCCCACAGGGTCGCATAAATATAGCGGCGTTTCGGGGTATCACTCGCTATCCACCGACAGAGTGTTCGAATCACTCAAAAACCAAAACCTCCCGGTCCTTGCAGTCCATCGCATGACCAGTAGGCGCATGCGCACTCCCATAGACCAAGTCATGGTCCACCTTGAGTTGACCCCGGCAGGGAAGGAAATTTTCAACATACAATCCGTGCTAGGACTAGACAACATAGTCGTAGAACCCCCGCATAAAGGCGTGCTCCCAGGGCAATGCCATAAATGCCAAAAATACGGGCACGCAGCCCGTAATTGCTTCGCCAGGCCTAAGTGCGTCAAGTGCCTAGGAGACCACGGCACCCCAGACTGCCCTCGGCCTAAAGATAAGGCACTCTTAGTGAGCTACGGGCCTCCCGCTTGCGTGCTGTGCCAAAAAGAAGGCCACACAGCCAACTACCTCGGCTGTCCCAACGCGCCTAAGCGCAGACCCACCAAACCGGCTCCTCAGGCCATCAGAAGACCACCCGTACCGACGGCTGCCTCCTTCCCACCTCTACGCCCCGCGTGGCAGAACCCTATGGCCCCCGCTTGGGCTAAACCTAACCCGCCTATCATGGCACCCAAATTAGCCGCACAGCCGGCTCCAATTCCTATCCCAGTCCCACCAACACCAGCGACCGGAAGTAACCCCCTGGACTCGCTGAGCCAACTCCTCCGAACCGTCAACATGGCGGAGGTTATGTATTTTGCCCAGCAATACGCTGAAGGCAACTTCTCATCAAGACTCCTACTCCTTAACCAATACCAGCACATAGTTGCTGCGTTATCTGTCTAGAGACCCAAAATGGATAGTACACCCCTAAATAATAATAATAATAATAACACCACCAGTCTCTCTGCTACGCGTAATAATGGCAGAGTCAAACTGCGATCGATTAATGTAGCATTCTACAACGCGAACGGGCTTAAAGAGCAACGCGACGTAATACGTATTTTCTTACGCGACCACCAAATCGATATATTTCTCATTCAGGAGACGTTCCTGAAACCCGCGACAAGGGATCCGAACATCCCCAATTATCGAATAGTTAGGAACGATCGTGTCGGCGCCCCGGGCGGCGGCACACTTATATACTATAAAAAATCTCTCCATTGCGTACCGGTAGACACGCCCGCGCTCACGCATCTCTGTCAGCTGGCTTTAACCGGGCACTCTCCTATCACGATAGCATCAGTTTACCTCCCTTGCAGACCAACCGCAACAATATTGCATTCAGATTTTGAGGCCCTCTTCTCTATAGGAGGAGCCACCATCCTAGCTAGCGACTTCAACAGCAAGCACACCCGATGGAACTCGACACGTACCAACAGTCGAGGCACCGCACTCGACTCGCTATCCGACAGGCTCGACTTTGAAGTCGCTGCCCCCGTTGAACATACGCGCTTTCCTTACGTAGAGGGACACACATCGGATGTGCTTGACATTGCACTCGTCAAAAACATCAGTCTCTCCTTATGCGAACCGGAAGTGATACACGAGCTTCACTCCGATCACCGACCAGTTCTCCTCCGGCTAGGGCCTTCAGCAACAGCCGCTCCCCTAACCAAAACTGTCATCAGCTGGCATAAAATCAAATCAAATCTAAATTAACGAACCTAATCCCCCACAACTAGAGTCAATCCCTAGAGAATTGAATACCAAACAGGACACGGAAACCGCAATTCGAGCCCTCACAAGCCACGTTAACACCGTCGTCGAGCAATGCTCGAGACAGGTCCCGGCGATGGAAGACCATCACTGGGCCCTGCCAGACGATGTGCGAGACTTGCTGAGACGCAAGAATGCGGCCACTCGAGCCTATGATAGATATCCCACCGACTCGAATCGTAGACTGCTACGTAAATTGCAGCGTGAGGTCAAAACACGCATAGCAGACTCACGAAACGATGGGACTCCACCCTAACTTCAGTAAAACCATCCCACGTAGCCTTCTGGAAACTTCCCAAATCCCTCAAGGGTAACGGCATAACAACCATGCCGCCACTAGTCCGTCCGATAGGTACGCCAGCAATGCTGGACGAAGAGAAGGCCGAATGCCTGGCTGACAGCCTAGAGTCTCAATGCTCCCCCAGTCCGCTTCCTATCGACCCCGAACACCTCCGCAAGGTGAACGAAGAGATAGAAAGGAAAGCCTTAGAGCCACTTCGCGATCCCGTTCCCCCAGTCGCGTGCTCCGAACTAATAGACACCATTAATAAACTACGCCCGCGTAAAGCACCAGGCTCAGATGGTATCACCAATAAGGTGACCAAGCTCCTCCCTACTAGCATCCTTCAGATACTAGTATTAATTTACAACGCGGCCTTAACCGAAGGCTTCTTCCCATCCGAGTGGAAGGAAGCCGATGTCATAGGGTTCCTCAAACCCTCTAAACCCGCCACTCTCCCAACCTCATATCGTCCAATAAGTCTTCTCAAAACATTTGGGACGATCTTTGAAAGACTAATATTAGCCCGCTTAAGATCCCTTATGGACACCAAAGGACTCCCCATCCCAGAGCAGTTTGGATTTAGAGCCAAACACTCATGTACCCATCAAGTGCACCGCATCACGGAGCACATTTTAACTAAACGTCAACGTGGACTCAACACCGGTGCACTCTTCCTGGACGTGGCAAAAACGTTCGACAAAGTCTGGCACAACGGGCTCGTATACAAGCTATACGGGTACGGAGTGTCCGACCGTCTCGTATGCATAATACGAGACTTCCTAAGTAATCGAACCTTTCGCTATCGCGTCGAGGGCGTGTGTTCGACTACGCATCCCGTTCGAGCCGGGGTGCCCCAAGGGTCGGTGTTGGGACCAGTCTTGTTCACTCTCTACACCAATGACATGCCGCGTGTCAAAGATGTAGAACTTGCTCTTTTTGCCGACGACACCTGTATCTATACCACAGGCAGAACACCCGAATTGATCCATCGACGCCTCCAAGCTGCGGCCATCACCATCGGTGACTGGTTTCGGCAATGGAGGATCGAAATCAATCCCGCCAAAAGCGCGGCAGTCCTTTTCGCGCACAAAAAGAACATACCATTCCACCCCCCGTTAAACTCTTGCACAGCCCAGTACCATGGGTTAATAAAGTCAAATATCTAGGCGTTGTCCTCGACTCCCAGCTTAAATTCACCCAGCACGTGACCCAGGTCAGGAACCGGGCGGCCTTCGTACTCGGTCGCCTCTACCCGCTCCTCAATAAAACGTCAAAAATGTCCCTTCGGAACAAGGTGACCTTATATAAGGCAGTAGTTCGCCCTATCATGACGCACGCGAGCCCCGTCTTCGCTCACATTGCTCCGAAGCAAATACACCGACTTCAGGTGATTCAAAATCGATTCTTGCGCAGAGCCACGGGAGCACCCTGGTTCATGCGCAATATCGACCTACATGTCGATCTAGAATTGCCCACCATCGCGCAATTCCTGAAGTCGGCGTCGCGCCGATATTTCGATTCCGCCGCCGCGCATCCCAACCCACTTATCGTAGGTGCCGTCACCTACAGGCCCTTGCCGCTAAATATTTTCCGCCGCGATTACCGAAGACCGCGTCACGTTCTCGACTTCCCTGACGATGAGACGACTATTGCCATCGAAAGGATCAAAAAACTCAAAAAACACACCAACACACACCGCACTCGCCGGCGAGTGCGGCAAACATATACTAGGTTCCGCCACGTACCTGGCAGGTTTTCCCCTATTAATGATAGAAGCGTTGCTGGAGTTTCTTCCGCCACTTCTTCTCCCAGTGCCAACGCTGTCCGAAGTGGTAGTAATGTTAGCACTAGTAATTCCCCCAGTCAGATAATAGCTACCGATCGAGCCGAGGTCCGGCCCTCTCGGGCACCCTCGAATCGGAATGCTAAACGCGTGCTGAGTGACAGCCCAAGCCGAGGTCCCCTCTCAGGTACCCTTGAGCCTGATCACTCCATGGAGCGCCCGCCAAAGCGCCCTAAGAGCTTGGCGGACTCCCAAACCGGTAATAATAATAGCGTGACGGTCCGAGCCGAGGCTCGCCCGGGAGCCCTCGAGCTTAGTCACCATAACGCGTAATAATAGTACGCCGAGGTTCAGGCTAGGCGCCTCGTGCGCCAGGCCACCTCAAGTCCGTCGGATCTGTAAAGGCCCCTAAGGCCAACAGTGGCTCATCCAGCCCAAAAAAAAAAAAAAAAAAGGGTATCACCGTAGTCGACGAGCATCAAGATCTACCAGTGGAACAAGCAACTATAAGAAGTCAGCAACAAAGAAGCCCTGCAGCCTGGAAGAGGAGGAGCCTGCAGCCATTAGAAGAACGTTTTATTGCATAAGAAAAAACTTGTACAAACGTCTGAAAATAAACAGTGTTCTTTCTGTCTTCACGACATTCTTGTTTCTTTACCAATCCAGCACACTGAAACGTACATTGCGCACAGTTTTCTTTTATTCTGCAATCTCTTGTGCATAATAAAAAAGTGCTCAAACAAACACGGCTACTCAGGCATCTTTTATTCAGTGGATATAGACTTGAATTCCTACAAAACGTACAGTGGATAAAATTCCGCTTTGGTTCTGCTTCAAAACTTAAAAAGAGTAGGTAACTCGCGGTCTATTAGTAATTATTTGTTAACTATCGAAATGTTAAGGTAAATCGATCTCTATTTAAAGGCTTCATTGCCTAGTTAAATGTACGTTAGACAAATGTTGATTTAGTGATTTTTCCCCAACGTGGACCTTGATATATAATGATACAGTTAGTATCTAACTATTGGCTTAAATCTAATAATTTTAATACATGCATATAACTAAACTGTGGAGGGCCACTAAGCGGACTTCGCTGTTGCACGAATGGGCAGGTCCGTCCGGGTGAGTACCACGACCTCACAAAAAATTACCCCTACGGGTGTTACAAATGAACCGCCAGCTCATTTACCACCTTTTCACATAAAAAAAAAACTTGCTTTGGTGGTGGAGGGGTCAAAGCAATGATATTTGTGATGTTTTAACTAAGCGGATAATTTTTGCATTGACAATTAAAAAATAACAATTAATTTGCAAGTTTTTCGTCGATATCTACTTTCTATATATACATTTGTTATTGATATTGAAGGCAGCCCACGAATTTGATTTAACATCTTACAAATATTTTCATATGTATTAAAAATCCACAAATTTATACTTTTATTTGTTAAGGTTTTGAAACCGTGTGGTTTTTCTAATTATGTTTTAAAACTCCATGTGATAAATTTATCATTTTCCGATTTATAGTTTGTTATAAAGTGGTAGATTAAAGATGTACATAATTAATTTCAATTTGCCTTCCCCATAGTTAAACTTTTAATTACGCAAATATTCGGTAAATTGATATTGTACGTCATTCAAAAGGTTCTAAGTACTAAAAATCGTTTGCTGTTCTAATATATACAATTATTTATTATAAAAATACATGGCTTCAACTTCAACGACGAAGATAGTAAGAGTATGGAGATGCGTATGTGTACGCAGAGTACGCTAGGGGAGCGGTGTACGCAGAATAGGCGGAGTAGGCGAGAGGTGCAGTGTAGGCTGCGGCCACGGGCGCAGTGTACGCTGCTGCGACGGGTGCAGTGTACGCCGCCAATGGTGCGGTATAAGCTACTGGAAACACGCCGGGCTTAGCGGCGGCCAGAGCGAAGAAGCATGCGAATATGAACTGAAAATAAAAAATAAATGTGTAAATTCTCGTTTGAGTATAAAAAAACACACGCACACAGGTACGGTCCCCTTTTGATGTGTAACACTGCAAAAGTCGTACGGTAAAATTTAAATATACTTTCACAAATTAAGTACAACCGTTTCACTTGAAACACTTAACCAATCCGAATGTTTCGATGAAGTGAATAGACTGCATAATTCTATTGAATTCACTAGGGTACTATGCATTTAATGGCGCAACTGAGGGCACGTCGACACTAAAATTTTAATTGCGTGCATATTATCAATTTGCTTTATAGATATAATAGCATTGTGTGTGAAAAATAACATGCAATAACTATTATTTGTTTATAAATAGATAGGTACAGAAATAAGTTGATACAATAAAAATGTCGCAAAACATTATTTACAATTTAAAATAAGCATTGACTTAATATTGTAGACTATTTTATTCTATTTCCAATATCGCTTACCAGTTTGAACATTTTGTCAGTTGGGATAAATTTCGTTGATTACAGGTTATGTAAGTTTGAGATCTGATGACAATCTGATGTAGAACAATGCAGTTCTTCGCATTATATATATACCTTTGCCTCCTATTAGGACACTATCTGAAGAAGCGTAGAAGAATAACAATCAGTTGTAAAGCAATGAAGGGTCGAGGTTATTGCTGGTTGCTAACTTTGATTTTGTGCTTGAATGTGCACTTTTTATATTTTAAAATATATCTGATTCCATTTATCGGAAATAAATGTAAAATTATTTGAATTATATTTACTCTGTGTATTTTTAGTCTTTTTAATTAAATATATATTTACAAGCGTTTTTTCATTTCGCTCTTGATGATAATTTTTTTAGGAAAATAATAATAATAAAATTAAATACTGATTTAAATGTATTATATCCATATACATATAATAAAAATATCAATAACAAATTATATCATGAGTCAGAATAATTTTTGATGTAAAATGGCTTTGCTTGAATTAATAGTGTAAATGTGATACACATACTTAAGTAAATAACTATCATGAACTACTTATATGGTGTTACGAGTAAGTTTCACTGTCCTGACCGTGTGTCATCACAGTGCTAATATGAATTGCGGGTAAGTGGATTGTGACTTTTATAGTTTATGCACATTTATTATAAGGCTGTTATTTAGTACTTACTATTATTTAGTAACCAATATATGCATTTTTAACTTATTTATATCTATATTTTCTTCGTTTCATTTCGATATATAAGGAATAAAAATTATCATTGCTTTGAAACATTTTGCAGCTTCCGGATTGAAGTTGGATTTAGCTTTATTTTCTGTTTCATTAAACTGGTCAACGTTAAGTCACTCCTATAGTATATTAGTTTTTATAGGAAGTCAAATTTTGTGATCACAATTCAAACTTGTTATTAAGGGCTAAAACTTTATAACAACCTTTCATGTTTTTATTTCTCGATTACTTACTAGGAAATAAAAACGCGAAGGGTTGTTATCCGTTTGTTAAAAGAAACACGGGAAAAGTGATATCCTGTTGTAAACAACTACATATCCCCAATTAAGCACCATTGAGCATTAAAATATGTAGAAAATATTGAGCAGTTTACTGCTCAATGGCTTTATTGGGGATATGGGACTGTGAAATGGGAAACTGGGATTGTACCCAGTGTGGTTCGATTTCCCAACTACTAGGTAACTATTTCTCCACTAGTTTCATTCATATATGCAAAAATAAAGGAAGCACGACAGTACATTGGTTGTGGCTCCAGGTCAAATACTAAATTATTATTCCAAACGGATGCCTCAGTCTTGTTTCTTCACACAAAGAAGTGTATAAAAAGCTATGGCCGTCGATATACAACATCACATAGTCAAAGGTTCTTAAGTTCAATTGTTTATTACCATTTAATCTTTACTATTAAAAATGTTCAAATTGGTGAGTTCAAGGCGCAAAATTTACTTGCCAATTTAATTTTATGATTGATATTGAATTACTTGAACTGCATAGTTATATAATATTAAAAAAAACTCATGATGGTAGACTGAATTTTTTTTAATGTAGAAGATGGCAAGCGAGTTCGCGGTTCACCTGATGTTAAGTGATAACCGCCGCTCATGGTAGTTTGCAAAACCTGTAGAGCCACTTTTTAATAACGTAGGTTCCAATTATCTGACTAACCAGAGGAATCTCAGAAGTACAAAACTTTCTACTTCAAGTCAGTCTTCTGTGAGGACATGTTACTTTCCTGTGCGGACCTGCCCATTCGAGCACCAGCGAAGACTATTACGTGGCGTAGGGCCACACAAAATTTCATTTCGCAATAACTCTTACTTCACTTTCAATTCATCCATATTGATATCATAATTAATAAAATGTATATTTTTAAAACCGACTCGAGCAAACTAATATATCATTTTATGGCTAAAGGTATTACATTATCTTTGAAGAAAAACAAATTAACGTTAAGTGTCGAAGCTTTTTATATACCGAAAGTCATTGACACACAGAGAATACCTAGGGCCGGTACAATTATTTATACATTGAACCCATGGTGCAGAGTGACAGTTGGCAAAGGGATTTAAGCCATTGCGTCATCTGTGTTATTAACATTTATGTATTATATATTCCCCTAATTTATGTAATACTGGCTGCTTTATAATATTAGTAAGGATTTCATATCAATCATATGTGTATATTAAATTTTGTCTTTATTTAATATTATAGTTTATCTTCGCGTGCTTCCTCGCTCTGGCCGCCGCTAAGCCCGGCGTGCTGCCAGTGGCTTACACAGCACCATTGACGGCGTATACTGCGCCCTTCGCTGCAGCATACACTGCACCCGTGGCCGCAGCGTACACTGCACCCCTCGCCTACTCCGCGTACTCAGCGTACACCGCGCCCGTAGCTGCTTACTCCACATACACATACGCCCCCTCCTCAGCTTATTATCTGCGTCGTTAATATTTAAAAAATCGAATTGCAAAGTTATTTATATTCAAATTCGATATGGGATGTAAACATTTTCTTAACACTCTAATTCACGGGAACGCTACACGTTAATTAGAAGGATTTTACTAATTTCAGAGTGTCAATATTTATTTTAAATCAGACCTAGATGATATGAAGTCTCGACAATTAAAGGAATTTGTAATTTGTGACTACAATAAAGATCGCCATTAATGTTACATAGCATTTCGTAAATCTTTGTATCGTTTTCAGGTATTTAAGATTAAATTTAACTTGAAAATGTTTGCAAAATAGATTCATTTACCAACTGCAAATGTTATTCCTTTCAATTGGGGGAAGAGATTAAGAGATTAAAGTACCAAAGGCTTTGTTGCTCTTTTTTTATACTCTTTATTGGTTTACCTATGTCGTTGTTTTTCTGAATTTCAAGGAAATATTTTAAACACCAAATAAATTTTTACTATATGAGCTTTATATTGTTGTCGATTGTCTTTAGCTTGTAATAAAATAATTGTTTCCCATTAAAGTAAATTTGTTACTTTACTTCTTCATTGTACTGCTGTACTTTACTTTACTACTTACAGGAGTAAAGTACAATACAGCAGTTGTGTTGACTACACAACTCCCACTGCTGGGCAAAGGCCTCCTCTGTATAGGAGGTATTAGGGTATGGTCAACCACGTAACCTGACTGCGGATTGGCAGACTTCACATATCTTTGAAATATTTTCTATTAATATTTCGAAAATATATAAGAGTTCTAACATTTTTACCTTGACCCTAATATTTCAACTATTAGTGAACTTGAATATTAACTAGTGGTTGTATCACCGTCTGGGAACGCAGCCGAAATCCAAGTGACCACTGATCCATGCAACCATGTGTCCCTTGGCTCGAGTAGATAATGTCATAACCGGTATACAGTGTTGCCAGCGCCAACATTCGGCCGTCCTGCATCACGCCTTCGTCCTCGAATGGCGTTGTAGTCTGGTAAAAATAACCTTCATAAAATTAACACCTTACTCTATGGCTTATCTCTCTCAACTGGGATGCATATCGCCACGTTCAGAACACCTTACAGTGTGACTTATCCTTCATCTGGGATCCATATCGCCATGTTCAAAACACTTACGCTATAGCTTATCCCTCTCAACTGGGATGCATATCGCCACGTTCAAAACACTTACCCTGTGGCTTATCTATATATAAATTTATAAAACGAGATTAAAGAAGAGATTTGACCTTGAAGAAATTTTTAGGATTTTGTTCTTTGTTGTCACACATTTCTACTGAGCTTGAAACGAGGTCCGGAAAGTAAGCGGATTTTAAGGTACTAAATTTGAAATATCGTTAGTGTCTACAATTCTTCATGAAAATCTCGTTAACTCTCAGAAAAAAAAAATCAGATGTAGAGTTTATATTGTAAAATTCGAATATATCTTCGGCAAAAAGAGGATTTACATCTATGTAAAAAACAAATTGTTTTACAATACGTGTCTGAACAAGATTTGGATAAAAAAAAGTAAAAATAAATGAAGTATAATATATAATATAATATAATATATTCTTAATATCTAGCAAAAATTTATAAAAAAAAGTAAAAAGAAAGGAAGTATAATATAATATATTATATTATATATTCTTAGTACATCTAGCAAAAGTTTCGATTAACGCTCGAAATGTTATAGTAATTCACATTGATTTTAAAAATAACGAGTCACACAGGCAAAGCCCCGTAATACCTCCCTATGCAGTTTGAATAGGTGTTGTACTCATTACTAGTAGATTCGTAATACTTATTATCAATCTTTATTTTTTTATGTGAAAAGTTGCCAAGCGAGCAGGCGGTTCACCCGATGTTAAGTGAATACCTCCGCCCATGAAAATCTGCTACACCAGAGGGTTCCAGATGCGTTAACAACCTTTTGAAAATTGAGCTCCGGCTACCTCACTCACCAGACGAAACGCGAAAGTATTATACTTCCACTTCACGCCAGTCTTCAGTGATGTTGTGTTACTTACCCGGAGGAGCCTGCCCATTCGTGCAAAAGAAACTGCTGCTTGACTCTACTATAGTAAAAATCTCTTCACAGTAAAAGTTTCTTTATCTAGGGTCGAAATAGTACTCCAGCTCTATGACGACTTCGTGAAGTTCTTATAAAGCCTTTTATCAACTTATAAAAAAGATTAAAGAGTAGTCATTCATCTAAAATTACAAAAAAATGCTCCAAAGGTTTTGTTTTATCTGTGATGAAAAATTGAAAAGGAATATACCCTTTCTAAATTTAAACGATTAAAGTTAACAATTTACTCAACAGCTCATAGTTGTACATTATACATAAAACTTTTCTGTAGGATAATTTCAATTTAACAAATTTGAAATCTTACGATTCTTTAATTCTATAACATGTGAAAGCAGCCTCTGGTTGTTAAGATAGACAATAATTATAAAGGTGGGAAAAAAAGACAGTTTGAGAACGTCACACTGTTTTATTCATTGTCATAAATAATTAACAAAAATTAAATAATAACAAAATAAGCACATACTTTTGAGAAAATTAAGAGCCTTTACCACAGCATTGTTTGCCACTAATCCTGTATTGAAAATGGAACATTATTACCTATCAGTTTGGATAAAGGCTTTGTTTTTGCACGTTTTTTATTTAAATCACCTTTTCTTCACAAAGTCCTTAAAGTCGTTAGGCCTTAATACCCTTATTTCGTAGATCCATCTGAATATTAACGACGCAAATAGTAGGCGGAGTACGGGGCTGCGTAGGGGTATGCGGAGTAAGCAGCTACAGGCGCGGTGTACGCAGAGTACGTGGAATAGGCGAGGGGCGCAGTGTAAGCTGCGGCCACCGGCGCGGTATACGCTGCGGCAACAGGTGCAGTGTACGCCGCCACGGGAGCGGTGTAGGCAACTGGTAGAACACCAGGTTTAGCGGCGGCCACGGCCAAGAAACACGCGAAGATGATCTGATAAAATACAAAAAAAATCAACATCTAAACTAAAAAAAATGATATAAATTTTCATAGAGAAGACACAGATTCAACGAAATTTCAACGAATTATCTATTCTAAGTGAATCTTAATGGAAATAATATTAAGCGAAATTTAATAGAGGCACATGTTAAAACTTTACAATTACAATAACTTCATCTATAGTCTCTTTGTATGGATGACATTTATTCTCCCCGAATAACAGTTATAGTATTGGATGGTAATGAAAGTAACTTACTAGCTTGAACATTTTGTTCGTTGGAAAGTCGAGTTGTGGGTTTAAAACAAAAGAGCTCGAGAGCAGGCAGCGGTGTGATGTCGTGTAGAATTGTTCGTTGCATTTTATACTTTGCCTTCTATGAGGTACAGTGCCAAACGCGTGACATGAATTGATATCAATTCGATTGTTTAAATTTAAAAGTACTATTGAGAAATAGGCTTTAACGTTCATCATGATTTATTGCATATATTGTTGTAAAAAGTTTTAACTATAGGCATTTAAAGACTTTTTTTATTTATATGTAATGGATAACCCATTTGTAACATAAATGAAAAGAAACATCATTACCTATTTTAATAACTTGAATAAAATTTAATGAATATTTTTATAACTTTCTTACCAATATCAGCGTGATAAGAGCTGTGTTAGCTCAGTGTCCGGGTGCTGGCCTTTAATTATATTTACTACAGGAACCTTAGTTTGATCCCCGGTGCCAGCACGAATAAAATTGTTAATTTTAAGTGCCCAGCGGTGAAGGAATACATCGTGAGGAAACCGGCATATTTTCGAAATAGTAATAAAAAATTCGAACATTCGTGAAGTCCGCCAATCCGCAGTGGGGTCGCGTAAGGACTGCCCAGATACCTTCTCGCCCTCTTTACAGAGAAGGCTTTAGCCTTGTAGTGGGACATTTATAGGCTGTTACTTTACTATTTTACTTTACCAATATCAATATTTACTAAACATTTGTGTGATTACTATAATAAAATATGACTAATTTTGTAAAATGGAACATGCAAACGAACCATAAACAAAACAGGTTTTTCATATTAACCTAAAATACACAATAAATTATAAAGATGAAGTTAAACTACGTATTAACTATTTATTTTATTATGTTGTGTCATAGAAATCTTTTGAACAGTTTCCATGGTTTGAAAATGTTTTCATATTATATTAGTTACTAAGAGCTTCACACAATTTTCATTCGCTTTTGGACTGTCATTAGATTCCTCGAAAATCATTAATGCTATGAATACAATAATACTAAGTACAATGTCAAATTAAAAGTAGCGCATTATTTGTTAGATTTATACGTACAGTTTTCTCTTATGTGAAAAGTTGCCAAACGAACAGCCGGTTCACTTGATGTAAGGTGAAAACCCCCGCCCATAGACATCTGCTACACCTCAGGCTTTGCGTTAACAACCTTTTTGGAAATTGGGCTCCGGCTACCTCACTCACCAGACGAAACGCGAAAGTATTTGTCATACTTCCACTTTACGCCGGTCTTCTGTGAGGTCGTGGTACTTACCCGGACGAGCCTGCCCAATCGTGCAACAGCCGAGGCTGCTGCGTGGCTCTCATCATCATCATCATTTCAGCCTGTAGGCGTCCACTGCTGAACATAGGCCGCCTCTAGGGATTTCCACTTCGATCTGTTTGAAGTGCGCCCTGCCCATTGCCACTTCAGCTTGCAGACCCGCTTGGCTATGTCGGTGACCTTCGTTCTTCTGCGGATCTCCTCATTCCTGATTCGATCTCGCAGAGAAACCCCGAGCATAGCCCTCTCCATTGCCCGATGAGCAACGCTGAGTCTCTTTAGGAGGCCCATAGTTAAAGACCACGTCTCGGCACCGTAGGTCATCACTGGCAGTACGCATTGGTCAAAGACGTTCGTCTTCAGACTCTGTGGTAATCTGGATGTTAGGACGCTGCGTAGCTTACCGAACGCTGCCCAACCGAGTTGGATCCGTCGAGTAACCTCTCTGTCGAAATTGGACCTACCTAGCTGCACAACTTGTCCTAGATATACATATTCGTCTACAATTTCGAGGGTCGAGCTCTCCACAAAAACTGAGGTGGGCACTACATGGGCATTGGACATGATTTTAGTCTTGTCCAGATTCATTTTTAGACCCATCTGTTGTAAAACCCGATTGAGGCTTTCTAGCATCGTGCTGAGTTCCTCCATCGTCTCTGCCATGACCACAATGTCGTCGGCAAATCGTAGGTGAGTTAAACGTTCGCCATTGATGTTAATGCCGAGTCCTTCCCATTCCAGGAGTTTGAAGGCGTCTTCCATTGCATTGGTGAAAAGCTTCGGAGATATTACATCCCCTTGCCTCACACCTCTCCGCAACAGAATCGCCTCCGTGCTCTGTTCCTGTACTCGGACTGACATAGTGGCGCTATTGTATAAACAATTCAACACTTCGATATACCGATAGTCAACCTGACATCTTTGGAGGGACTGCAGCACTGCCCATGTCTCGATAGTTTGTGGACTATGGAAGGCCTTTGCCTTCTCATAGTCCACAAACGCTAAGCATAGTGGCAAATTATACTCTTCGGTCTTCTGTATAATTTGCCGCAGCGTGTGGATGTGGTCTATGGTACTATAGCCTTTCCTGAAGCCGGCTTGTTCGGGAGGCTGGAAGTCATCGAACCTGCGAGTGAGACGATTCGTGATCACCCTCGAAAACAGCTTATAGACATGGCTCAGAAGTGAGATGGGTCTATAATTTTTAAGTAAGGACTTATCACAAAGAAAAGCACCACCACACTTCTGCTCCATGCCTGAGGCGTTATGCCTTTGAACAAGACGGTATTAAAAAGCTTCTGTAGGACCTTCAGTATCGGTGTTCCACCCGCTTTCAGAAGCTCTGAAGTAATTCCGTCTTGCCCTTGCCTTATCTCGTACAGGCTGATGTCCGGGATATCTTCGGTGTAATTTCGGGCAAGCTTGGCTCTTAAGTCTTTAGCCGAGTTGCTAACGGGCTTAGCAACCGAGGTGTACAACTGTCCATAGTACCGCTCGATCTCCCTCAGCACCTCCGGCTTGGTGGACGCTATACTGCCGTCTTCCCTCTTAAGCTTAGTTAACTGGCTTTGCCCAATAGACAGGTCTCTTGCAAAAACTTTGGAGCCTTTGTTCCGCTCGATTGATATCTTTAATATGATTTGTATTAAATAAGCGTATGTCATGCCGCAAGGACTGAAAGATCCGTCTATTGAGCTGCCGATATGCCTCAGCGTCTTCGGGAGATTGCAGTTGCATCGAGCGTCGTTCTGCCATTACGTTGAGGGTATAACCAGATAACTTTTGCGGCCTATCTTTACAACGGGGTCGCAAGAATTTGGATCCCACCGTGTGGACAGGTTTTACCAGCCCGTTATTGATGTCGTCGACAGAGACGCAATGTTCTAGGCAGGCAAAGCGGTTTGTCAGTTCGAGCTGGAAGCTTTCATGGTTTTGTATATGAGCTATAGTGGGTCGGAGCGTGGACTTCATCAGGCGAGATCTTTCTAGTTTGACATTAATATTCAACGTGCCTCTGACCATTCGGTGATCACTTCAGGTCTCACTCAAGTTGCCGGACTTTAGAGTTATCGTGTGCTCTCCCTCTCTTCGGACTTCAGATAGCCCCAAAATATCCCAGTGCAACTTACCCAATTCTTCTTCCAGCTCAGCTACCTTGTCGTCCGTTCTCAGCGTGCGCGTGTTGTAGATTACCAGTGACAGCCTACGTCGTCGGTTATCCGTTTTAACATTTTCCTGTGTCGTCTGACGGGAGGAACCCGCCCGGAGATTTTTAGCACACCAGGCTCCAATGCTCGACTGACGCCCGTCAACGCCAGCGTCGCAACTGGAGCCGCCGGGCACTCGGGGCCTCGCCAATCTTTTATCTTCCATAGAAGGGTTGGACCATAACCCACCACGCTGGTCCAGTGCGTGTTGGTGGGTCGTCAGAGCCTCGTTCGCTGTTCGGCAGGGGGCACCGCGGGCAGGTGAGGTTGACTTGGGTCCCGAGAGATGATGGTTGGGACCCCACCTGGACCCATGGTGGCTCTACCACCGTAAAAACCGTACAATTAATAAAAACATTATTTTAAATTGATTACATATAATAGAGCCAAATATAAAGTTATGTTATTTGAGTATAAGACCGCAATCCGCTAGTCGTAGGTGCCGCCTTTGATCGATCGATTAGACCACGACATATCCTCTATTTCCCTGACGACGAGACGACTATCGCCATCAACAGGATAAAACAACTGCGTAAACACCAGATACACCGCACTCGCCGACGCCTGTGGAAGCATATAGGTTCTGCCACTGGCAGGTTTCCCCCCATTAATTATAGAAGCGTTACTGAAGTTTCTTCCGCCACTCCTCCCAGCGCCAAAGCTTTTCAAAGTGGCAGTAACGATAGTTTTAGAAATTCTCCTAGTCAGACTACACCTACCGGTCGAGCCGAGCCCCGACCGTCTCAGGCACCTTCGACTTGGAATACCAATCGGATATTGAGGGCTCTCGAGCCTGGTTACTCCATGGGTCGTCCTCCAAAGCGACCTAAGAGTTTGGCCTCCCAAACTGGTGGTAATAATAATAGCGTGACGGCCCGAGCCGAGGCTCACTTGGGAGCCCTTAAGTTTAGTCACTTATAATCGAGGTAAAGCCTAGGTGACCTCACCGCCCGGCCACGTCCAACCCGGTGGATCTGTAAAGCCCTACCTCAAGGCCGACAGTGGACGATCCATTACAAAAATAGTATATTAATATAATATACATTAAAGATTCTAGTAAAAATGTATGTTATGCTCGTCAAATAAATAAATACATTTATGAAATACATATTAATTTTTGTATATCTAATGTTTATCTTTGTAGTCAATAATTTTTATATGCAGTTCTTGATCACAAATATTTGGTTCTTGCCACCATTAAGCATGGCATTCTGCCAGTAACATACTCTACACTTTTGGCTTCATATGATGCACTCGTTGCTGCATTCGCTACGCCCGTTAATTCAGCCTTTGCTGTATCTGTTGCTATGGCTTACACTATATTGTACTCTGCCTATACCGCACTTGTAGCATTTTCTGCATACGCGTCTCCTTATTCAGCTATACTACTTATGACATTAAAGAGCCGAAAATCAAAATTCAAATTCAAACTAGTTAAGACTTCTTATAATAAACCTGATTGTAAATGTTTCTTTGATATCTGTATTTAGATTCCAGTTCTGATTTACACTAAAAGAGGCAGGAAAACCGTTTTTTGATTCCCCTGTGTGACGTTGCCTTCGAGTTACATGGAATTTAGCATGGAGCCGTGATTGCTAATTGTCCTGGTTCTCGCTTTTAAATCCACTCGAGCCACCTGAGTTCGATCCGCGGCGCCGGCACCAATAAAATTGTTAAATTTAAGTGCTGTATTATCACATGCTCAGCGGTTAAGAAAATCATCGTGACGAAACCTGCATATTTTCGAAAAATAACAAAAAAAATGTTTCGAAGTTACGTGAAGTCCGCCAATCCACAGTGGGACCGCGTGGCAGCCCTGAAACCTGTACAGAGGAGGCCTTTGCACAGCAGTGGGACATTTATAGGCTGTTACTTGTATGTAGAATATTAGTTTTACGTATACAAATCATAATTATTTACGGAAATCGTCATTAATTATTATCTACGGCATAAGAAAGACGGCATTTCTTTCGGTATATGTTACATAAAAGTGATGAGAAACCGCTAATTAAAAGCTAAAATGTATTGTTTAAAGCTAAAATGTATTATGTTATATATAGTTATGAGTGTTCTTACGGCTTAATTATATTGCTTTTTCTTTATTATTTACCGTATATGATCAAAGCACATCCGATTTAGCTCTATTTACAGAAACACTTTCCTGGTACTCAAAGCAAATAGGATAGTTAAACCTAGAACAATCTTCCACTAAAATATTATATTTACTAGCATTTACTAGTACTTACATATAAATATTGTGTTAATAAAATTCTAATGTAGAAGTGCTACTTTCGCGTTTCCTAGTGAGTTAGGTATGAGGAGACCACTTTACTTTAAGTTGGCAACGTATCTGCAACCCTAAGGGTGTTAAAAATGTCCTTAATAACTTTTTACATAAAAAAGAAATGCATACTTTTCACATTATCGTAGTGACCTATTAGTTAAATAAAAGAAAGGTCTTTTTTTCAAAAAAAGCTTTTGTTGTATTTGAAATGAGAGCTTATGTTGAATCACCTGGGAACTGGTCAAGCTCTTCCTATTCTCTCATCTATCATCTCTTCTTGTTGCAACTTCGACGAAGCAACAATATTTATATCGTACCAGAAACGAACGTAACCCATAATTTGTTTATTGACCAACATATCTAAAAACAACAATTGATCGAAGCAAATGTAAGGAAAAGAATAAAAACAAGGTTAATTGAAAAAGCCTTTCTTGTTACATAATATTTACACATCCAAAAAAAAAAAGAAATTGAATATCTGACCATTTTTCGAAGTTTCTTGCTGTGCAAATCTTAATTAAAAATAAGAACTGTGGCAGATCACACAGGGACAGCTTATCTTTTGATATAAATCAATTACATTTTTGGGCTCTTGCTACGATACGGAGTGCGAGAATTATTAGTCACTTTCATATGTTTGGTTTTAATTAGCCCAGTTACTAGCAGGGGTTTGGAGTTGCCCCGCCTCGATGTTTTAGATTACGTTCGGAGTGTTAGCACTTTAGAAAAAGAGTAAGTGCGGTAGCAGTTATTTATTAACTGTTCATATATTATTCACTTATAATTAACGACGGAGATAATAAGAGTATGGAGATGCGTAAGTGTATGGCGAGTAGGCCACGGGCGCGGTGTACGCAGAGTACGCTGAGTAGGCGAGGGGAGCAGTGTACGCTGCAGCCACGGGTGCTGTGTATGCTGCAGCAACAGGTGCTGTGTAAGCCGCTACTGGTGCGGTGTAAGCCACTGGCAGCACGCCGGGCTTAGCGGCAGCCAGGGTGAGGAAGCATGCGAAGATAAACTGTAATAAAAGTCAGATAATGTAATAAATTCACATTTACCAAACAATTCGTTTCATAGTTATCTCTTAGAAACTTTAAATGGTAACGTTGACATGTTCACATGTTTTCCAAAAATTAACATTTCAAAATATTAACATTTTATATTAATATGTAAAAAAAGAATGTTGCTGATATTACTTGTATTACATTTCTCCAACCAAAGATTCCGAAGTATTTTCTCCAAATAATCCTTATTTAAATTTTTCTTTCCAATAGAAAAGTTCTTAAAATAATAATAATACTCTCATTCATATTATTACTTAAGTGTTAGAATTTTAACATAATACAAATGTTTCGAATAACTTATTTGAAGTAACAGCGAAATGTTTTCCCTGCGCTTAACTTACCAGTTTGAACATTTTGTCGGTGGTTGGTTTGGTTGGCACGAGGGCAGATGCACGTATGATGTTGTGTGAACCGTTTCGTAGTATTTTATACTTGTCTTTCTTATGAAACTGAGTCAGGCCGCGTGCTTTGAATCCTTATTTATGTCAATTGTACGCACTCAAATTCGTATTGCTGGCGAATGAAACGTTACTTGATTTGTAGATCTATCCTCGATTATCAATGTTGCAATAAAATTAATTTTGTGGCCCATGTCTTTGTTGGATAAAAACTGTTGTTATAATAAACCTTCGACCTTCATTATAAAAGTATTTTGTGATTGCAATCAAAAATTTTATAAAAAAAATTATTTAATAAGTTCTTTGTTAATGATATAATTATATTCTTGGTTGATTGTTACTAAGGTAAACACTTTATACCACTTTAAAGTATTTTTTAGAGTGGTATGAAGTTTATTAAAATATGTAGAAAAATTAATGTGGTATGAAGTGTTTACCATCCCTTTGGTGGTGTAATACCGAATATTCTGCGGGCTTCCTGGCCGAATTGCGGAATATAAGGCATAATTGGCCGACTTAGGCGTGGCAGGAGAATATGTATTGACGTGGTTGTTTCTCGTTTGTTCAAACGCTCTTTCCTGTCTTCCTCTCCTACGCCTTGTATCATAGACTGAATACAGAACATCACTAGCAGTGTGTTCTATAGTAGTCTATGGTTGTTTGTCTCTCGTCACTTTTGCATACTGTTAATCTAAGAGAGAATAAGGTTAGATTTTTAGAATAATTTACAATATATAATAAAACATCGAATGTTCCCTCAATAATTGTTTTATTAAACAATACATGGTGTAGTCGGTAGTATGATAGTAACATAGACTAACATAGAACACACTGCTAGTGATGTTCGCTATTCAGCCTATGATAAACGCCTCACTTCGTGTTTTCACAAGTTCTGTTTGTACACATCGTAAATTTGTAACACAGGTTTCTCTTGCTGTCTATATTTTTATTTCTTTAACAGTGAAATTGTGTATGTAAGCTGTTATTATTATAACTGATTATGACGTTGAAGTCGCCTATATTTATATACTTCAAGCACAATGGAAAATAAGTGCTTCCATGACTCCTAAATGATAACAAGCAAAATACAATATTATAAAATAAAGTAGGATACGTTATTATACAGTATGGTTAGCAACCCTACTCCCCTAGACCAGACCACACTTTTTTATGTGAGCAGGTGGTAAGCGAGCTGGCGGTTCAACTGATATTAAATAATAACCGCACTCATGGATATTTGCGACATCCGTAAGGTTGCAGATGCATTGTCACATTTTAATAAAGTGGCCCCCGGCTACCTCACCCACCAGACGAAACGTAGAAGTGTAACACTTCCGGTCAGGCTGGTGAGGTTGTGGTATTTCCCCACACGGATCCGTCCATTCGTGCAACAACGAACTGTCGCGTGGCCACGGCTACCACAGTTATAGCTATACATACAAAAAGTGATTTCGGTATGCTAGCTATAGCTAAATTGTATTTTATTGTCCATCGAAGTATTCTCCGTTCAACTTAACGCACTTTTCCATTCGTGCAAACCAATCATTAAAACAGTAATTCCAGTCTGAAGCAGATGTTGACAAAATGGCTGATTTTTACGCTTCCACAACTGCTTGGGGGTCTTTCATTCTAGGGAATGTAAAGAAATCGTTCAGGCTCAAGTCAGGACTGTACGGAGGATGGCTCAACAGCTTAATGTTTTCCCGCTTCAAAAAATCATTTGTCTTCAGAGCCGTATGGGAGTTCGCATTATCGTGATGTAAGATGATGCGACGTTTCGAGTTATTTTTTCGGCGTTCGGCTATCATTTCTGGCGAACACGGTGGTAGAGCCACGCAGCATCCTCGGCTGTTGCACGAATGGGCGGGCCCGTCCGGGTAAGTACCATGACCTCACAGAAGACCAGCGTGAAGTGGAAGAATGACAAATACTTTCGCGTTTCGTCTGGAGATTGAGGTAGCCGGAGCCCAATTTTCAAAAGATTGTCAAGGTATCTGTAAACCTCGGGTGTAGCGGATGTCCATGGGCGGCGGTATTCATTTACCATCAAGTGATCCGTCTGCTCGTTTGACAACTTTTCAAATAAAAAAAAACAAGCCGTGAATTACCACTCAGCGGTAACCGTTCTGCGTTCCTATTTTGAGAAAAACGTAGTCATTTTCTTTGACACGCTGCGGGAGCGAAGCACTTTCGTTGGTTTGACTTCGTCTTCGAAGACCCAAACTGCTGACTGATGTTTTCTTTCAGGTTCGTATGAATGATTCGTCACCTGAGACGATGATCCTGATTTATGTCACATGACGGTCATATAATAGTTCGCACAGCTGCGATGTTTTCAGGCGTGACCGTTGTTCTTGGTCGACCTGCAGAAGAAACTGTGCTGAGCGACATACGACCGCGTCGGAACTTGGCATACCAGTGGTATATTGTCGTGTGACTTGATGCTTCAACATCATAAATCGAAACAAGTTCGCTGAGACATTTATCTTGAGATAAGCCGCGAGGAAAATATTGATAAATTATGGCACGGAAATGTTCACGCGTGAGCTCCATTTCTGTTAACGACGTGTCAAATTTAAACCAACATAGTTTTAGTTTTAAACTTTTTTTAAACTTTTTGAATGTCATTAAGATTCTAAGAGGCCAGTATTTAAAATCTAAAAAAGGTTTTATTGTAACTCAATTCGAAATATTCTATTCCCGATCATTTCGTTGTGCCCCTCTATATTTTTACATTTATCAGAACAAGGTTTTTTAAAATGCTGTAGAATTCTCTAAAAAGTTGCATGCTTAAGGGTAGCCACCTTTTGTTAATCTGTGGTACTATTATCTCTTAGTAGTGTGTCTGTGATGTCATGGGATGCATTGACGAATCATGCCCGTTACTATGAATGCCGTAACGCAATCGAAACGTTAGATGTTTAAAATAAGAAGAACCGCTATAAAATCTTTATATTCGTTTTATTAAAATCCGTTATATTTGCGTAAGTACAATAAATTATCAGAAATTAAGTTGCTGCGAGGATATGTAAGAATATCTATATCATACATACGAACCAGTAATATTGCGTAGAAAATTTTATTAGAGTTTAAAAATGGTACATTGATCAAGAAGATACTTATTAAATAGATTAGTGATTAAAATAAATAACTACACAATAATAAAAAAAACCACCCAAGAGCGAGTGGGACTCCCGCACGAAGGGTTCCCGACATTATCTATAAGAACGCCAAAAAAAATCATCTCAACAGATATAATTTTTTGCTGTTATGTACTGCTGCCCCACCTAAATATTTTTTTCTTTTTTTTTGCTATAGCGGCAACAGAAATACGTCATCTATGAAAACTTCAACTGTCTCACTATCACAGTTCATGATATATACAGCTTGGTGACAGATGGACAGACAAGCTGACAGACAGACAGTGGAGTCTTAGTAATAGAGTCCCGTTTTACCCTTTCGGTACGGAACTCTAAAAAAATTCGTGGAATAAGTTTAAATATACATCTATTAGATTCGAAATATTCTTACACTACACTTTGATGCCTTGCTGTAATTATTTTCATAATCTATATTAGAGGCCGAGATGAGCTGCCTATGAAATACATTATTAAAGCTTCTTTGTATTACTTGGAATAAGAAATACAATTTCAAATGAAAGTAATGATAATTAAACAATAATTATACCTTTATTTGAAAATTGCACTCTCTCCACTTTGTATAAGTTGGTTATAATTCAGTGTCAACATTTTCAATAATACAGAACTGCCCTAGTTGTATCCCTATCAATACTACGGTGTGAGGAAACTCAATTTTTCTATCCTTTTTAATAACAAAGCGACTAAAAAGTAATATTAGATGTTTGACTTTCTTGTACAACATATAATTTTTTTTTAATTTTTCAACGATTAATCATGGTTATTTTGAGCATTAAAACTTTTGGCGAGCATTTAAACTTTCGGACAATAAAAGTAACTGAAAAATAGTTTTGAGTATTTTATTTATTTTCATCAATACAAATAGAACACAAAAAAGAACAACAAAATATTCGATTTAAGATTTTGAGTTTTTGTTATAAATAAAATACTTAAAAAATATTTTTAAAGACATGCTTTTTGAAAAATCATCAACGACGGAGGTAGTAAGAGTAAGGCGATGCGTATGTGTACGCGGAGTACGCTACGGGAGCGGTGTACGCAGAATAGGCGGAGTAGGCGAGAGGTGCAGTGTAGGCTGCGGCCACGGGCGCAGTGTACGCTGCTGCGACGGGTGCAGTGTACGCCGCCAATGGTGCGGTGTAAGCCACTGGAAGCACACCGGGCTTAGCGGCGGCCAGAGCGAGGAAGCAGGCGAATACGAACTGTAAGGAAAATAGCAAATAAATATTCATTGATAATATTATAAAAATCATTCAAGGTTTTGAGTCATAAGGCCGTATGAGAAAAACTAAGGCTAATCTCATTACACAAAGCTTATTTAGGCCCTTAGCACGACAATACATATAAGTGATTTCCACTCGGTAAAAATCCAAAAAAAAAAACCGAAAACTTCGATGCATTCCACATGATTAAAATTTTCAATTTTTTATATAGCTAGTCAAAACTCAAAGTCAAAATTTCTTTATTCAATATATTCTTAATTTAAGCTCTTATTAAAAGTCAATAACAATCACCGGTTCACTAGAAAACAACCGGCAAGAATCTCTGCAGTCTTATCTTTTTTTTTTGTCAAATAATTATTGCAAATATTGCATTATTACTGGGAAGTACATGAAAGTTGCCAAAGCTTCAAAGTGTGTTATGTTTTCAACTTAAAAAGTACGCGTTATTATTATTATTATTTTATTACCATTGCAATAATTAAGAAACGTTATTCATAAAATGCCTTATTTACAAGAATAACACAAAGTTGATAATTTCAATTTAATATTAAATTATATTTTTATTCTGACAATATAAACATTTACCTTAGAATTCCAAGAAAAAAACAATGTATTAAGACTAAGGACAGACTTTATCTCTTTTAGACGTGTTTGCACCGACTATGGATACTATTGAATTCGTTTAAAACTGCATCCTGATCCGTCTGTAAGGAGAAAAAAATTAACGGTCAGCAATACTTACAAGTTTGAACATTGTGCGTTATTTAAGTTGTTGTTGAATAAGAAACAGCTGAGATACGTTTGACGATATTGTCTGACTTTGCCTTTACTTATACTAAAAGGATGAAGAAACGTTTAAAAGTACTCGACAAGAATGCTAAGCGTCGACAATCTGTGCAGGTTACCTCGTGCTAAAACAAGGTTTATGTCACCATACCACAATGAAAAAAAAAAAACACATTTACAAATTTGTATGATTCTAGACAACGACTTCACTACATAGTATAAAACAAAGTCATCCCGCTGTCTGTCTGTCCCTATCTATGCTTAGATCTTTAAAACTGCACAGCGGATCTTGATGCGATTTTTTTACTAGATACAGTGATTCAAGAGGAAGGTTTAATACATTGGACACGTGCGAAGCCGGGGCGGTTCGTTAGTTACTTATAAAATCATTGTTTGAGTTTGCTTCTTAGCTGGAACAAGATCAAACAAATCACTTAATCAACACAATTTTCTTAACGAAAAACAAAACTGACTTCAAATATCTCGCTCTGTACTCATAATTGATTTTTACGAGTTCCCTGAAGTATGTCCGGAGCCCAATATCCGATACCAATGAAATTATGCATATGTGTTGCCAGATATTACTGTCAATAAATGTTAAGCACCAGCTTTCAAATAAAAAGAATCTTCATATTCGGTTCAGTCAGTAGAAAGTTCTAAGGTAACAAAAATACTGTCAAATTGAGCACCTCCTCCTTTTTTGAATTCGGTTAAAATGCTTAGAAAGCGCACTTCCATAAATAATAAACATGACATATCATGGTTACAATAAACCAAGATAAAAAGATAACAATAACTGGTTGCATATAATGAACGAGAAACGAAGATTAATGATTGTTAAAAGTTTAGATTGATGATTGTTATAGTTTAATTTTTTGGAAATAGTATTGTATTGAACATGTGTTTTTGTTAATGATAAATTGTAGAATTTTCTGGCAGTAAGAAGTTACTAATAAATTAGGTAGGTGTCGAGATTTTTGCAACGTGAGAGAAAGGGAGGCAGGCAACTGCCACTCTGGAAATCCACCGCTGGAGACCAGGGCGCAGGAGGCTGGCCTACGCGCGCAACCTTCCCCCCTGATAGCAAGCCCCGGTGCGGCAGATGTGGGACTAACTGCTGCCCCGCGGAGGGCGTGAGAGGGGTGCCGTGTTCATTGCACCGATACGGCTCCATTTGGCTGGACCGGATGTCTAAACCCCCGGGGAGAGGAGGCCTGAGAAGACCACAGTCGCGCCGGGTTTCGCGGATGATTGCGTTTTCGTGTTCCCGTGTCCCCGGCAAAACGACAGTGCAGGTGCAACGTGGGTTTTTTAGTGGGTACCCCAAAACTCCGACATACCCTTGCTGCCTACCCACGAGGCAGGATCTGAAAAGGTCTGAACATGGTACCCAGAATACACAGACTCAAATTCTGGCAGCAATGAAGTTCTTAGACCAATTATCATTATCAAAAAAACACGTTTAAGTTTCATCTTGGGTGCACAGAGAGTAGCACTAAAATAAATTTATTTATAAACAGCACTACACTGAAATTAAAAAGGTTTATTTCAATTTTTAGGGTTAAAGTACTAGATTTATGTCTCCATTGCTATGACAAAGCACGTCCGGCATTGTGATTGCTCAGCTGTCCCACCGGTTGTGTCGTAAACGGATGTCAAGGCCACTGCTCCGGTAAGTATGTTACATAATGTTTGAAACGATAATGAATAATTCATTTTAAGGATCTTGATTATTCTTTTGATACATGTGTTTGGCAATTGATTGTTGTTAAAATTCTAATATTGTTATATTTGTGAAGCTAAGTACATTTTCTCGTGTATGTACTTTTTCACTCTTTAGTGAATGAATTGTCATCGAAGATTCTTAACCCTACTAGTGTTTAGTTTGATCGTAAATTCGTTCTTGTATATCTTAAAATGTACCAACAATTATTGAATCTGTTAAAAAAATTATAGAATAAAGTAAGGAGTAACAAACAACGCCCCGCATGGCGAATAGATAAATGACCTTTTATTGACAACTGTTTGTTGAGAATCTTCTTTCAGTTAGTAAGCACATATGCCTCAATTCAATAATTTGAAATTTGACATGAAAAGGTTATCGCAGTAGTCAATAAACTATACATGGTTTAATAGGACCGTGGCAGCAATAAACTCTTTTAGGAAACAAGGTCTGGTACTCAATTTAAATTAGGACGGTAAATGAATATTATTTGCTACGGTTTCGCCGATGGCACTTGAAGGGAATCATCCAGGATCTGGCGTCGACTGCAACGCTCTGGAATGAATAGGCAAGCGGACTGTAAAGCATCTGTTGGTTTCCTTCCCGATAAGCACTTAAGTTACGATACAATATGATTTTCTCTAAAACGTTTATATGGACTGATTAAAGAGTTTTTTTTATGCGAAAAGTTGTCAAACGAGCAGACGGTTCACCGGATGTTAAGTGAATACCGCCGCCCATGGACATCTGCCACACCCGAGGGTTACACCGAGACGAAACGAGGAAGTTTAATAATACTTTCACGGCTATCTTCTGTGAGGTCGTGTTACTTCCTCGCCTATACGTGCAGCAGAAGTTTTGTGGCCGCAGTGAAAATTAAGCTAACGTTAGTAAATTCTCCTATGCTCGTTTGGTATATAAATAACATAATATAACATTTAGGAAATAAAATTATATACATTTTAAATGTGTTATATGTATATTATGATTAAAATGTAATCAAGGCGACAGTGAAAAGGCGTTGGTAAATTTTCTTATGCTTGTTTGGTATATTAATATCAAAATATGACATTAAGGAAATTAAATATTAATTTTAAATGTGTTATAGTATATTATTATTAAAATGAAATCGAGAATAGTTAATATTTTTAATTTGGAATGTTTCAGACAAAAATGTTTGATAAAAAACTCAAAACAAATATAAATTTTGTCAACTGTAAGATCGATGTTTCGTAATATTCTTCAAATTTATATAATATATTCTTATGCATGATTAACTTTGCAAGTAAGGAGAAATTTATTCGTTAACATTTATGGACTTACAATATCTGATTTCGATATTAAATTTGTCGCTTTGAAGACGATTACAAAGCAATATTTACCTTCAAATAATCTTCATGAATATGATGGATTCCGGAAAATATCATTAGTTTATATTCCGTTTGTTAAAGTCATTCACCCCTCGTACTCGTACATTAAATTAATCAACGAGAACAAAACATTTAGATCGAGTTCAATAACACTAAAAGATTGAAATATAAGGGCGTAAAGAATAAGATACTCGTTTTATGTCGTAAATTGACTAACATTATGAAATTGTTTATTATACGTAATTTGACATTTTCCGATTTCATTTATACTTATTTATGACATACAATATCAAATTATTATTGTAATCCAAATAGCAATTTAAATCATGCTCTGACTTAGATAGATTTTAATTTGATATTTTCTTTCTTTCAAGTCGGCGCTTTATTTCCGACGAGCGTGGTTCTACTTTTATAAGTGAGCGAGATTCTATGAATCAATTAGATGGTCATTTCAGTTAGTGCTCCAGCTGCAAATTTTACTCCATAGTGAGAATTGCTCCTATCCCAATCCACGAGAGAATAATTTTCTAATTACGTCCTGGTTACCTTTTTTTTATGTAATGATAACTTAGGACGATAGGCCCACGAACAACGGCAGACGACATGCCGTTCATCTGATATTAAATGAATATCAACATCAATATCAAAGTTATCATTGCAAATATACACATTTTAAAGTAAATGTTTTGTTTGATGTTTGAACCAGGCAGACTCAACCCAAAGGTATCATATTCTATTTTAAGCCGATTAGTGACGTCATGATACTTCTACGGACATACTTGCTCAAAAGCGCAACAGCACAAGCTGCAGCGTGGCCCTTAGGTTAAATATTGTTTTAAAATAAAAATGACAAACAATTTTAAGATATGATGATTTTATTATTTATCCAAGCAAATTTTAAGAATAAAATATACCAAATTATTAATTACGACACAGTCTTTATAAGAAGGGATCTTAAATTACAGAGCATAAAAAAATATAAATAGGGCAATTACAATTATTATGAACGCATCAACGACGTAAGAAGTACTCTGAGTAGGGTAAAGCGTATGGATGTGCTGAGTACGTGGCCGAGGGTAGTGAGTAGTCCGAGTAGACGAGAGGTACAGTATAACCGGCTATGGAGGCGGTGTGGGCCGCTGATACAGGTGCAGAGAAGGCAACAGGAACACCGCCAGGCTTAGCCGCAGCCAAAGCTATGCAGCACACGAGAATCACCTGTAGAAAATGAAGGCAACGTATAAAATTTCACGCCACGTGTCCACGTGAAATTTATGTATGTTAAACCAATGATGTTATAAACAAAAATGAGGTAGATATGACACTAGCGCAACGAAACTGAGGCATTCAAATTACGCCTATGGGTACATTGCAATTCTATAGATTGCTATCTTTTTCCGTGTCATAAGTAAAAGAAGTATAACCTCTAAAAACTAAAAGTAATTGACATAACTAATTGAATATTGTCATACATGGCGAGATACAAGTAAATCTATGATTTAATAAATTAACGAAACGTCTAAATATATTAGTTACCGGTGTAACCATATTCGCCGTTCCAATGCTGCCACATGCATATATACAAAAATTCATATTATTTTGACTTTAATAATATTCTGAAGGTAATACCAAATAATCGCACTTTATTATTTGACGAATATAGATCGATATTTTACACACTTTTAGTACCGTTTACCTGCCAAAGCCAGGGTAAACCAAATTTTATAATTGTCCACTATAACAGCATAATGAACATGCTTTTATTTTATTTTTTTACTTTTCATTTTGACAAACTTCAATTATCATAAAGCTTTCATAAATAATTGTGTGCCATTCGCTTTGCATAACCTTGACCCACGTTAACACTATTATGTTTTATGAGCTGGGCACATTCCTAGATCATGTTTATTAACATATGATGGGTAATAATAAAATACAAAAGATTGGATTATTTTATTTAAACATCTCCTTTTTTTTAAACAACTGGATACAATAGTTTATTGTTTTTACTAAGTCCTACTGATTAAGGCTAATAACCTTGGCTAATATCATTTTCAATTTAAGTGACTGGGTCAAAATACCTAGCCAAAAAAATCTCTGTAAAGTACAAAATAAAATTGTTCCTTAATACACCTAAGAGATATATGTGACTTAAACTCACCAACTTGAACATGATTTAAATGTTTTATTTTTTCCAGCACAGCTCGAGCTTTTACTTCACTAATGCGTACAAAATCAGTTTCAACTGTGACAAGTTATGATGTCTCTCCATGCATTTTATACTTTAAGCTTCGCGATTCGATGACCTTATTAATTTACTGCGCAGAAAAATAAATTTGGTGCTCGTTGTTATTTAAAATGTTTAATTATCTCACATGTGATCGGCGGTATAATTTATACTACTATTCGAAACCAACAAGAATGCTAATAGTTTTAAAAGAAGAGTTGTGTATAAAAAGGTGTTTGTATCGTTTTTCTCTTTTCCTTTAGGATTAAGCTAATAACTAAATAGTATTTAAAGTATTAAAAAGGTAATAATCAAAAATTTTAATTGAAAAAAAAAAAACGACTTAAAAAAACATTCTCAAAACAAATGAATATACTTACACTAAAAAGTAAAAAAAAAATAATTGAGTATTCTTCTACACCTTAATAATCAACATACATTTTCTACTCATCAATATGTAGTTAGTACGATCTATGTTTTTACTACTTAAAAGTCAATCAAATTATATCATCATTTATTGTTATTTTTGGAGTCAGTTTTAGCCAAGGTAGGTTTGTAACTACATACCTACATAGTTATAGGTTAGATGTGCTTGTGTAGCACGCGTGACTTGACGAGGCGAGAGGCGAGAGCGGGGACCGAGGCGGGATGGGAGCTGTTGGTATATTGTAGTATAAATTATACCTTTGCATATTAATTTGTTTTGAAATAGTTTTTTTGAAGTTGGTTTTTCATTGTTAAAACCAGCTTTAAAAAAGATTTTTTTGTTTATTTTTTATTTTAAGTGAATCTGAAGTACACTAATTAATTTGTCTGAATATAGTTATGCAATGCAGCCACGAACGTAAGCGCGTTGCAATTTGATTACATACACTTAGAAATTTTGCGCACCCTTACTGTAAGCCGTTCAGTTCCATTGATCATCATGTTCGAGGTGACGGAAGTATCCGGATAGCCTATATGAGATTCGGTCGAGTATCGTTAATTTGCTGCTCAGAATTTAAGAGATCTTTGTCGTGGACTTTGTCATGGATCCCATAATCAGAACCTAGCTAAATTTTTATCGAACTACCATTGAAGTACATCCTTTCCAATAGAAAAAGAATCATCCAAATCGGTTGGCGTGATATTGAGTTATTCGTCCATTTGAGTCTATTCGCTCAGAGGCTGAGTAAGTGAATGGGCCAGCCATATAGTTCCAAGAACTGATAACCGATTCGGGAAGAAAAGATCTCGTATTGGCCATCTTAATGTAGTCACTGTGCGGGAAGTCAATGAATGCCATCTGCTCAGGATCATGCTTCGTGGCAGTATGCAGACAGTATGTCTTCTGGAAAACTTTGTGCACACTGTTATGTTTAAAAAATTGGCTCAACCGATTTTTATATACTTAACATAGTTTTTATGAATACAAGTTTGTTTACGGATTTTTAGGTTTTTTTTTATAAATTAAAATGCAAATCCGAATTAGTTCGAGTGTTAAAAGAAACTAAAAATGATAATCGGGATTGAAATTAATAAAAAGTTATGAACATATTATGCTAATACATAAAATAAATTTCATTACCCTCGGCGTAAACAGAAAAGGATACACCACTGCTTCTTGTAGGTCAATGTTTATTTGAAAAATTGTCTTTTTAAGTAATGCGATCCAGTTTATCCTCTTCAAGAGATTTTGTAAAATCCAGTTGTCATAATAAATGCAAGAAACTGGATTCTAAATACGTAGGTAAACAAAATACATTTGCGTCAGAGAATATATTTAACGCCGTTTTGATAAAAATCCTTTTGTACAAATTGTAGGTTTTGTGATAACCTTACTGAGTAGTTTGCTATTCGTTTTTGCCATACATCGAAATCCCTACAGTGCGAAGTATGATAACGTTTTATACGTAAAAGTTATATGATAAAGTTTTAAGTTAATAAAAAGGTATTATTGATTCAACATAACATTTATTACGCTTTTAGTATTATATAAATACAGACATATTTAAATAAAGAACTCTAACGGCGGAGGTAGTAAGAGTATGGCGATGCGTATGTGTACGCAGAGTACGCTACGGGAGCGGTGTACGCAGAATAGGCGGAGTAGGTGAGGGGTGCAGTGTAGGCTGCGGCCACGGGCGCTGTGTACGCTGCAGCGACGGGTGCAGTGTACGCCGCCAATGGTGCGGTATAAGCTACTGGAAACACGCCGGGCTTAGCGGCGGCCAGAGCGAGGAAACACGCGAAGATGAACTGTAATAAAAGTCTCAATTAAAGAAGAATTCTTAATATAAATAAATGTTTGAACTGTTATAATTATGTAAAGCCTTACATTATTTAAAATGTTTGTTGATGGCCGTTTGATGATTTTAATTTTTTAATCATCATCATGTTACGGAAAGTAATATTAACTATTATTGTTTGTCGTTTTAAAATATCTGCTGTTGAATTATATTAAAATAGAATATAGTAAAGAAAGTTCATTCAGATCATATTGATTTAAATTAGAACTTTCGTAAACCGGCAAGATCATAAATAACTAATCCAAAAAAACTAGGCTGGATAGTTTTCAAGACTATGTATAAAAAGTAAAGGAAGGATCGCAAAGGCTTTAAGTAATTTATAACTTTGATTTTTCACTTATGATATAAAAATGCCATGAAATCGGCGCTAAGTTTGAATACACACCAAACTTGAACTTACCAATTTGAACATGTTGTTAGAGGGTTGGTTTACGTCAGGACAAAAGAATCATACGAACTTAAATTGCTGTATGTTGCAGTACAGTGAGGACTACCTACTTATATACTTTGCTTGCCCCAAACACGAGCCGTGAAGTGCCTGTTTAGAATACCAAATACTTTTGTCCATCAGAGAGGATTCAATAGATTCAAATAAACAGATATAGCAAGTACATAATGTAGTCCAAATTGAATTTTTATTAATCGAAGAGACACGAGTATAACTTAGAAAAGACATAATAATAACAATGTAATATATTTCAATGTAAATTTTTTAAAGTATATTTTTTATGTTTTGATATGGTTTTGATAACACATACTTATATGTAAATGGATGTTAACGAAAACCTAGCTCAAATTTAAAATGATTTATCACATGGAAAATATTATTAGTATTTTTATATTTTCAAATAGGTATATCTTATCTATCTTGGTACACTGTTTGATTATATGATATTTGGCAACTTTTCACATAAAAAAAACATGTATACTAATATTATAAAGCTGAAGAGTTTGTTTGCTTGAACGCGCTAATCTCTGGGACTACTGGTCCGATTTGAAAAATTCTGTCAGTGTCAGATAGCCCATTTATCGGGGAAGGCTTTTGGCTATATATCATCACGCTCAGATTAATAGGAGCGAACTACCATTGGGGAATGTTTCAAAATCGTTTTTTTTTTTCTTTTTGAGAGCTTCCGCTGCGTGCGCAGCGTAAACAGTTAGTTTCGCAAAATTCATGCATGACAGAATTTCTTTATAAGTTCTAAAAAGAAGGCCACGGCACTATATGTCTATCTTTTAGGATTTGCTACGCACAACCTTTTTTATGCTAACCAAATCTGTTCCAAGATAATCTTTATTTGTGAAGGTGTTTTTATAAACATATTAATTCTTACCCAAATAAATACTTATTCATCACACTTGTGATGAATAAGTATAAATAGTTATTGGATTTAAAACAAAATTGCCCTTTACATCATTCGATTCAATGTATATCTTAGAAGACATCGCAGTTTTAAAATAACATCTCAGCAAAATAATGATCGTGTACTGCACGCGCACTTATGATGAGCAAGGCCGGCGGGCAGTTTCACCTTCTACTTAAATGAAGCCGTGGGTTAAAGTTAGCGTTAGCCCAAAGTAACAATTCCACGCGGACGAAGTCACGGGCAGAAACTAGTTTTCATAAAGCTGTTATTATATACCCTCATTTGTTGTCTAATGAATGCGCGTCAAAGAAGCAAAAGTAAAGTTTGGGTTTAATGTAAAATTGGAACAGCAAACTTAACATACTCTTTAATGACATTAGCATGGAAACCTAATATGATGGTAACCTGTACAGAAGCAAAACTTTTGCTCCAAGCTCACCGGAAAATCTCTACATTCATAGCTATATTTGGACAAATATACATTTGTTTATAAATGCACAATTCAACCCTTAAATGCTTAAAAAAATATCAGCCTATACACATCCTACTGCTGGACAAAGGCCGCCTCTGTACTGAGGGTTAGGGCATAGCGGCCCAAATACGGATTGGCGGACTTCACATATCTTCGAAATATTTTTAAGCACGTGATAATTTTCAGTGCCGAATTATCACGTGTTCAACGGTTTAATTTAAATTAAAAATTTCATTGGTCAACAATTTTCATCAACAATTTAATTTTAATTAACAATTACGTTGGCACCGGGGATCGAACTCAGGTTGCTGGAGTATATTGAATTATAGGTGAGCGCCCGGACACTGAGCTATCACGGCTAAATGCTTATACAGAGAGGCTTTTTTAAAGGTGCTCAAATTTACACAGGAGGTTCAAACTCGTTAGTATAATCGTTTATTAAAATAAAAACAAACTTTTTTTTTTTCTAAAAAATTCATTCTATTTCCTAAAAAACAGTACTGGCTGACAACACGGTAGTCATTCATAAATGCCTAAATTTTACTGTTCACGCACATAAACGAACTTCTGCGCCTGTTAGTTATCTTAGAATTATCGCGCGTGAAATAAATGAGTTGCGTATAAATCACACACTTTTTGAGATAAATTCAAATTAATGTAATGAATTACTTACCGAGTGATTTAAAATATTTATCATGAATTTTATAAAAAAAATGGATACACTTAGAAAAGCCTCCCTGTATCTCTTTATTTTTTCTGCAGCGATAATCTCACCGTCTGCCTACGCTCAAATGCGGCTAAAATATTTAAGAAACCTCATTAACACTAATTCGTATAACATTCGCTATAAATAGGAAACAGTATTAATTATTAAATTGATTGACATAAATATTTATAATTAAGATAATACAAAATATCATTGATAAGATTATTTTTTTAAGAAATGTGTGAAATAACTAGAGACATTTTAATTTAGCTATTCCATGATTAGAAATAAGTAGGATGTAAATTTTGTTTCGACATTTATTAATATTTTTTTTACTTCGAAATATGTTTTTTTGTTATTATTATCAAAATAATAACAACAAAATATTTCGAAGATAAAGGTTTTGAGGGTAAAGTCTGCCAGTCCGCAGTGGGGTCGCATAATGGACTATGCCCTAAAACCCTTCTATATAGAGGAGGCCCTTTCCGAGCAGTATTACGTAGAACGTCTTATATAGGCTGTTATTTTTTACTATTGTATTTTACACCCTGGAAATGAATTGACCAGGCTCTTTTAAATGGGCTTTAATTCATTTCGAACATGTTTCTTTGTTGAATAATGGTACAAAAAATATGTCCCGCTGAGTTTCTTTCGCCAGTTGTTATTGACTTTTTTTATTTTCCAAACCTGTGGTAGTGTTTTGACAATCACTATTTATGTGTAATTTTTCTATATTGGATAAATATATTCGAATTTGAAAATAAACATTCATCGCCTTTCTTTACTTGTCTCGCTGTTTTTCTCTTTATGTTATTGCTGGGCGAGTTATAAATGGACAAGGAACTCAAACTGCGTTTAATTATTATAAAAGCTAACATAATAATCTTAACCTCTCATTCAATATCAAGAGATAGACTAAAGACAAAACATTAAGAAGATCACGGTTGTCACTTATCATCAGGTGAACCACATGCTCGCTTGGAAATCTTTTACATTAATAAAATGTTTTTAATACCATTATTGGACGCTTAAATCTATACAATTGCTTGCGGTCCAATATTGCAGTTTGTCTTTTTCCCCAGGGAATAGTAAATTTTTTCACGAAGAAAATAACTGCACACCAGCTGTTGAAACTAGTGCACAAGCCTTAATTCGGTGGCGTTAAGATGTCCTTGGCCTTAAAGTTTATTCCTTGGTCTAGTGCGCAAGGTTACGCGTGACCATACTGCTAACTAATTGTAGGAGGATATTCGGCCACTTATCCGGTCCAACGTCGTCCATCATTGCGGACTAGCCCTAACGTTTTCATATATAAAGAGGATGTTGCGGATTGTACATCATTACCAAGTTCTGTCTTCATTAGCAACTTCTAACAGAATCTACACACACCTTCAATATGTTCAAATACGTAAGCATTTTTTTATTTATTTAATTAGACTGTTATTAATCATATTTCTCTATAAAAATTATGTCTTTTTCTTTAGTCGTTGATTTATTTATCTTCTTGTAATGTATAGTTATACAATTGTACACGGAAGTTAGAGTAAAATATCAAATCAAGATCTGAATTTAACCGATCTAATGTTATTTAAATTAGCCGTATATAAAATACGGCAACACCTGTTACATTATGCAAAGTCGATGTGTTCTTCATTTCATTTGGACATAATTTATTATTGTGATACAATAACTTTCCGACGCGATAATCAAATATTGATTCGAGGATATGTCACGGCCTTAAAAAGTTCAGACGAGACATGTATCACATCTCAAGATAAATTGATAATGTAACAGATGGGTGAGTGATTAAATAGTTATTTTGTATTCAATGTTTCAGATGCTGTTCGCCGCTCTTTTGGCCTTTGCTGCCGCCAAGCCTCTAGTGTATGAGTACCCGGTGGCTGCGTACACAGCACCAGTGGCCGCGGCGTACACTGCACCCGTCGCCTACTCAGCGTACTCTGCGTACACTGCGCCAGTAGCCTACTCTGCATACACATACGCCTCGCCCTACACTTATTACGTCCGCTGACATCGAATGTAATCATAAATTTTGATCATATGTGCAAATAATGTAAGATACATCACGGATAAAATTGATTGAAAATATATATTTATTTTTTAAGCAAACATTTATTGACTTTTCATTAATCATCATCATCATCATAGGCCTAACCCATAGATTGTCACGAAGCATGATACTGAGCAACGTAGTGGAGTGTCTTTCCACACTGTGACGGCCAAAACGAACTGCCGAACGAGAATTTTTCTTTCCAAAGAAAAATTCTTCGGTCCAAAGAAAAATGGTCAGTTGTACGAGCGACATAGCCGGTCCATTGCTACTACAGTTTAACCATCTGGTGTATGGTCTGATCTGTTAATTTGATTGGTTCTACAACAGAAATTAAACGAACGTCTCACGTACGTAACACGTAGAGAAAGAGAATAGCCCGTCTCAGTTTCATAGATTATAACAAATAAAGGGATAGAGTATGAGGAAACATGCCGAAGTTTAGTGAACGCTGCCCACACGAATTAATTCGCCGATTGTGTCAAAGTTGGACTTACCTAAGCAAACACGCAACCCTTGTCAAAAATAAACACTATAAACTAGAAACTCTTGCGTCTTTGGTCTCGGGAAAACAGTCATGCACTCTACAAAACTAGCCCTTGCTAGTTCTTCTTAACCTAGCTTTGAATTCGCACCGTGTAAACGGTAAGAAAAGAAAAAGTACCACGAAATCCAGCGCCACAATACGATTGAAATCAAGCACAGCAGGTCTTTATTTTTTACTCCTGTATTGTTATCTTTTCAATTACGTAATATTAAATTTCTAATAAAACAAGTGCAAATTGAATATCTATTATACAAAATTCTCGTGTCACGGTGTTTGTAATTGATCTCTTCCGAAACGGCTCGACCAATTTTCGTGACTTTCAAACTTTGTGTGCATATCGGCCAGGGTGGAGAATCGGACAACATCTATTTCTCATCCCCCTAAATGTTAAGGTTGTTCCAACCCAAACATTTGTTTCTACCTTACAAATAATTTAAATAGCAAAACAACGTTTGCCGGGTCAGCTAGTGACAATATAAAGATTTTGACTTGAATACATATAAAAGGAGCTCAATGCGTTGTTTGTTGATTTTATTACTCTGACTAGGTAGAACTAGGACGACCCCCAGATACATCCAAGAGAAAGCGTTTTTGCGTTTATCAATTTAAATTACAGTTGACTGTGCCAGTAAAGATGGACGCCATCTATGTATTTACTAGCGGACCTAGCAGACCTAGTCCGGTACACACGACTGAAATCCGACAACAACTTATAAATAAATAAAAAATGTAGTGGACCGAATTGTTAATGTAAACCATTCTCAAATCGACTTGAAGTCACATAAAAAAATTCATTAAAATCGGTCCAGCCGTTTAGGAGGTCAGTGACATACACATGTACACAAGAATGATATATATAAAATTAAATGGTGATTGTGTCGAATTTGTTGTCGTCTATGTTTATTTCTCTCTGAACTATAAAATAAGCAATCCAACTATTTATATTAAAAGATTAGGAACTTGAAAATTGTTCACAATTTACAATTACAATTATTATCAGTATTCTAATATTTACATTTATTAGAATACTTATCTTTTCTTTTGAAGTGTACGACTTCTTCCACAATACATGTTTACTTTTTAACTACAATTTGATAATAAGCATTCTTCTGCAAAATAATCTGAAACGGTTTTATTGTGATCTTGATTTGAAGGTTATACTGTTAAATGAATCATAACAAAAGTTATTTTTAAACAATACGTATTTGATTTATTGTGGGCTGGATTGCTTATGGTATCACATATTGAGCTTACATAATTATGATGGAAGCCAATTAACAATATCAATGGCAGCACAAAAAATATAGGTTATTGTTACAAAACCTTACTCTGAAACATACTAATGTTACACAATCAAGTTTATTTAATATGTAGATCTTAAAGTAGAGATGCTTCACATTGTGAGGAGTGACGATTTCAATGATTGCTTGTGAAAAACATTTTCTTTCAGATTACTGCCCTAATTTTTTTTTTATAATTTGAAATTATGCCTATGTATAGGTTTAAATGATCTGCATTAGAAAAATTTAAATAAAAATTATAAGCACCACACACAATAGCAATCGGAGAAAAACTTTAATTAAAACGTATTAAATGAAATTAGTTTACGGATTTTATCGAGTTTTTATTTTGATTTTGAAATTCACGACGTTTTCTCCTTTCCAGCGTTCATGGACACGGGACAGCTCGCGTGCAATCAAGATGTCAATATAATTAAAACGTTAAAGATATTAATTAAACATATTTTCAATTCGTTATTATTGCTAAACATTTTTAATAATTTTCTTTCATACGGGCATAATGTAGTAAGCCGTTTATTGAAATAGTTAACAAAGGATTTAAAAGGTTTATTAATATTTATTACCAGACTGCGCCACAAGGAGGGTTATGTTTCTCGAGAGTATGTATGTATGTATGTATGTATGTATAATTGTTCGGCAAGCTCTGCGACCTGAACGGCTTGATGGATTTTAGCTTGAGAGGTGTCGTTTGATTCGTATTTACTGTGAGTGACATATATCAAAATAAAAAATTACACAAAAACGCAGTCGGGTTTTTTAGTTTTTTTTTAAATTATATTCTACTTGTTTTATTGTAAAAGATAAAATGGATTTATAATATTCCTTAAATATTTTTTATTTTGGAATTAAGACGACAATGTTATTACTTATCATGTCAATTTTTATTCGAGAATAGTTGTAAAAATAGCAGCTACAGCTGGGAAAGCAACAACAATAAAATGTGTAGATGTTGCCTCCATCCCATCTCTGAATCGCTATTTTATCGCTTAGAACGATTAAATAGCATAAACCTAACACTTGAAATGCTTTCAGGTAAACAAGAGTTATCGGAGAGGAGGAGTATGAGGCTAAACTTCCTATTTTCCTAACGATTACATTTATTTCACATGCCGCGAAATAAAAAAATTAAATAAAATCTTTATCTCTAAATGAATTGAGGGAAACTAATAAAAAGCAACAAAATATCGCAAACATGATAATGCACAGAAAGCACACCCAGACATGGAAGAATATCTATTACTAGCTGCTGCTCGCGACTACGTCTGCGTAGAATAGGCTGAAGGCGTAACATCCAGACAGAGAGACAGATACATTAAATATGTATATAAGTTATTGTAAAGTTTCATCAAAATCCATTTAGTACTATTTGCGTGAAAGAGTAACAAACATCCATCCATACATACAAACTTTCGCCTTTATAATATTAGTAAGGATAAAGGATGTCCCTTATGTGTTTGTTGTCCACAATTAATAAAAGCCATTAATAAATAATCATTGTGCCATTTTATTTAAATGATATTGCTGTCATGTGGGGTTTCTTTAAATAATTTGATTAATAACAAGTTTTTTAATTTTCTGTCATTAATTTTTGAGCATTGATAAAATGAACATAATGTACAATATACAATAATAATTATACCTAATGTTTAATTACGAAATGAAAACACTCCATGAACGTATCCCTGGACATTTACTTACACGAGTTCAAAGCTGTTACTTCAAACATTTTTCATTGGAAAATAACACAGTCATTTGCATTGATGTGTGAAGAATTATAATTTTCATAGGTAAAATACATTAAACAGGATACGACCTACAAAGTGTATGGAATTATATTGAACTATTTATGTAGATATAATATTATTTATATTTATATACTCGAAGAAATGTGTTTTTACTCGAAAATATCCTAATCTGATTTATTTACTTGAAAGTTGACAACAGACGAGAGTGTAAAATAATTATATTATATTGTATGGGAGCCATACTTTAGCATTGTTTAATTTATGATACATTTTTGACCACTTGGCCTAAACTACAAGTTTTAAAAAAGCTTTTAGCCTTTTAATGAACTTTAACGTGTAGATATAACCTTCGCTCTAGTTCTTTGTTAGGGGTGCGAGTGCTAATCAATAAGGTGTACCACGTGCAACATTCTTATACCGTAACCAACTTTACGTTCGCAGAAACCTTGCCATATGTCCTATTTAAAACACGTGCGAGACGCGTTCTTGAAAGAAACATACGAGGTTTCTAAAAGTGTGGCATCATTTATGCCGCACGAAAATCAAAAAGTATATCATCATTTATGCTTTCTTGTTTTTATCGATAAATCCATCTCTGATTTTTTTCAGACGCTTACACACGATATGTAAAAAAAATGTGATATTTATTTTGAAATGAAATTGAAAATGTGTTTGTGTTAATTTTTACGGTTCCGTACCAAAAGGGTAAAACGGGGCACTATTACTAAGACTCCATTTTCTGTCTGTCTGTCTATTTGTCTGTCATCAGACTGTATCTCATGAACCGTGATAGTTGGTCAGTTGAAATTTTCACAGATTATGTATTTCTGTTGCTGTAACAACAACTAAAAACAATAAATTTATGTGGGGCTCCCATAAAACAGACATGATTGTTTTTGCAGTTTTTATAGGTACGGAAACCATCGTACATGAGTCCGATTCACACTTGGCTGGTTTTTTATGACGTTCTATTCGTTATGATGTAATATTATTCGAAGCCACAATGCCCATTTTATTTGAACAGTAAACTGTAGTAATAAAAAAAATACTTTAGCTTCATTTATACAAGTTACAAAGTACAATTACCGAATCATAATCATAATCTCCTGCTACCATCGCTTCACCAAAACAAAAATAAATATTTGCGATATCCTTCAATATTCCGGAATACAAAACTATCTATCATAGTCTTCCGAAATGAGCCGCACCGATATTTCTTTATCGCTACTAAACTCTAAACTAAACTCTTGTCGCCAGTAAAACTCTGGCAGTAGTGCCAATATTTTTTTTCTTCCTCATCTTTATATATTAAATAACTACTATATACAGAATAAAGCTCACATTGATTCTGCTAAATACAAATCTGTTCAAAACATAATGCCAACTAGAAAAAATGAATTTCTTATTAATGAAAAAAAAATATTTTATAAGAATTCGAAAGCAGAATGCACATTGAGACAACGAGGTACCAAGACAACGGAATAGATAACATTAAACCTAAAATACTATATATAAGCCAACATAATCTAAAAAAAACATCGCAGAATTAAAATATAAATATTGCGAGACTGTCATTGCCCCGAATAACGCTTATTATGTCTTTAGTAGTAATTGAAATAATAGACATAATTCGACCACTCAGTGATCAAAACCAGAGATAATGCCCTCGTCATTCCCATCAGCTGCATTATTCGATTAAGCTTAAGGTGAAAGGCGGGACAAATTGTTGCGCAATATCGGAATATGTTTCTGGAGTCGGACGCCCACCGGTGGCGATGAGCAGTGTCGAGTACAGGCGTTGACAACTGTGCCCGCCTTCAATGGCCTGCGAACACCGTTGAGATGAGGCGAAAATTTGTACAAGCTCCCCAGCGAATGTTTGTTCAAATAAGAGATTGTTAGTGGGAGGTTAGAATGAAATAAAAATTTAAGAAAATGACCTTTACTGGACTATGCATAATAATAATACAGCCACCGTAATTTACTATAGCTATTTATATAAGTTTAAATAAAAATGTCGTTTAATATGCAAAATGTTATAAAACATCTAATGACATCTTATCCTTTTATTAGAATTGAAAACGCAACATATTTTGTGTGCAAGTTATTAGTTTTTGGCGGAATAAGTTAAAACAGGAACTTATGAACATTTATTGCTTCAGATATGGAATAATATTACAAAAGAGTAATTAATGAATTGATCACGGTCAGTATCCGAAATATAACTGTTGTTTGCTTTTAATTTTGATTTTCTCTAATGTTAAAAACTATTTCATTAGTATTTAAGTGATCACCACGTTTTTTATAGAATGTAATGAAGATTCGTGTGCGATCATTCGCGTAAACGTTCCGTGACAACATGAAAGGAACTAAAGAAGGTCTGAGATTGAAAATAGTTTTGATTTTTAGGGTGAATCGTCAGGTTTTTCGTAAAAACACTCACTGTTCGAACGCTTTGTAGGTTAAATTTAAGAACAGTGAATCATATCATTTGTAAATATGAGGTACGCTTTAATTTACGCTATACTGACAGCACTTCCTGTAATTAATACATTGACGTTATTATTATTATATTATATTCATCTCGTAAAAAAACATAAAATACACACGTTCATTACAAGGCAATTAGACTATTACGCTAAGAATTCCTAGTAAAAACAATTCTTATACAATTTTCGAATTCATTTTACTTCACAGATATATATTTATGTACGTGTCAGTAGTATAAGTCTGTATTTAAGTTCACAGTTTCACAGTTAAGAAGAATAGTTTTAAAGCTTGCATTCCTCAATAGTCAATCAAAATCATAATCAAATACCTTTATTCAATATAGAAGCATTACACTTTCTTATTGATTGTCAAAACGTTACCATCGGTTTGGAAAGAAACTCAGCAGGAGTTTTTTTTATGCCATTTTTTATCAAATAAAGAAATGTTTACAAATTTATTAAAGTCAACTTGAAAGAGCCTGGGGCGATCACTTCATTTCCAGGGTGTGTTATCATTTAAATAATCACTAACATTATAATAGCCTTTAACGCACAAACGTTCCTTTACAATTTTTTTGAATTTAGAAATTGATACATTGTGAACGTTTTCTGGAATTTTATTGTAAAAACGTATACATTGTCCGATAAAAGAATTAGTTATTCTACGCAGTCTGGTAGCGGGCAATCAGAGCTAGAACGCAATAAACATGAAAGAATTTTTTCTTAAAAGTGTTATATTGACTTCCATTTCGGTTTTGCGCTTTACATATTAACTTTAAAATTGAAGCTTCACTTCTGCAACATCACGCGTGGTATGTAGCACTCTTACAATAAATTGCGATGGACTGATTATTCTTCTGATAGTGGCGAAATGCGGCTCGGTTCGATTCAGATCACGCCCCTGCCAATGTCAGAGACGTCGCCGAGTTCGGTACTGTATTGCGCCATGCACTTCGCGCGGCATTATAAAATAATCAGGTGTTCGTCTTCACGGCATCAATCCTATTCTGACCACAGAAGTGATAAACCACCAAAGCCAGAAAAATGATGAAAATCGTAAGTATAAAACGACACTCAAAAATTGGCTATTAAAATATCTGTTCACGTTACTATTTTAACAATACTATTCCATGATAAAACAACAGTAGATCAGTTTCCGATGCAAATATCAAATTTCACAAACAATTTTTTTATATTAAAACATTCGATTTAAGCTTACAATAATTTACCAAATTAACAAAATAGAAATATTATTCAATCTTTATAGAGATTACTAATTTTGCTCTACAGTTTGTTATCCTGTCGGCCCTGGTTGCCTTTGCTTTGGCGAAGCCATCCGTGGCAGTGTTCGCCGCCGCCCCCGCACCTATCGTGACCGCCACCAGCTCCCAGTACTATCATCGTATCAACAACGGCCTCGCCGCCTACGTGGCCGCCCCTGCGTACGCTCCTTACGTAGCAGCCCCCTACGTGGCTGCCCCAGCATCCTACGTAGCGGCCGCTGCCCCAATAGTCGCAGTCTAACCCAATCGACCTCAGCCAGCCAGCGAAAGATGTGATATTGAAATTAAAATAATGCAAACCACAATTTTATTTTATTTTCTTGTTTCGGTCATCCAACCTCCTTGCGGCCGAATAAGTTTATACAAGTGATATCTAACTACCACAATAGACATTTGAATTGAATCTGAAGGCAAATTAATAAGAACGATAAAAGAAAAACAGCCGCGCGGCAAAGTTATGAGAAATAGTTTAATCGGTCTCTTAACTGAAAAGCCATTTTACCGCATGAATTTCAGAAGAGAAATGAATGAAAAAAAAAATAACATAATTCCAGAGCAAATAAGTTGTAAACTCGCTTTGCAGCAACGCGCACAAGTATTACGCCAGGCGTTGTTCTCATATCAATAGCAAGTAGGATCAAAATGCTGATATTGTTGGTAAATGTGACAAATATAATTTACAACATGATACTTACTAAATAAACACATATACACAAGAATAATCATTGTGATAAATCATTTCACATCGCATTTTAATCACTAACTAAAAGATATCGGCAGCTAAATTTATTATAATGACTAGAATAAAAGTTTAAAAAAGCTTAACTTTAGGTTTCGGTAATGTGGTATAAAAAAGTGCGATAATTTAATTGCGTTTCCTTATTGTTACACCAAATAAATTGAGAAATTATAGATGTAATCTAAAATTAATGATCGTATCATGTACGATTCCTTTGTAAAAAAAATAGCAATAGTCCATCGCTATAAAATTTAATATTAAATACATTTTTAAACTTCCAAGTAAGTCAACAATAATTAAATTCTAAATAAATTTAAAAATTTTAAAGTTCAATATAACTATGCGAGTGATAATAATTATAATATACAACTAGATGCTGACATTGCGCCCCTGACCCGGGACCCTTTCCGTGTTCATTCATCATTAAATTAACTATTTGATGGACCGTGGGAAATGTGACAGACGGAAAGCTGTCTTTTTTATGAGAAAAGTTATCAAGTGTGCAGGCAGTTCACCTACGGATGTGGCACATTGGCATGCTAGCTATTCCCATAAAAAAAAGAAATGGGCCCGATTACCAGACGAATTGCGAAAGTATAATACACTCACTTCACGCCGGTCTTCTGTGAAGCTATGACGAGCCTGCAAACTCATTTGTGCAACAGCAGAATCTGTTGAGCCTAGTCATGTTATAAATAGTCGTTATGATAAATAAAATAAGCTTTATTTTGCTTTAGAGCGAGCAGTTACTAGTCAGAGAGGCCACGTCGAACAGTTGTTCATCGCTATTATTGATACCTGCTGATTATGTATTGTTATGTTATTTACAAACATAATTAAAATTCCACACTCACGAAAGGAAATATAGTGTTAAGTAAAATTTTATGAAATTACATAAAAGGAAAAAAAAGTAAAGTAACAGCCAATAAATGTCCCACTTGTGGGCAAAGGCTTCCTCTGTACAGGCCCACCACGCGGGCCCTCTGCGGGTTGGGACTTCACATATTTTTGAAATATTTTTTTTGTTATTATTTTGAAAACATGCAGATTTTCACCTCACGATGTGTTCCTTCACCGCTGAACATACAGCACTTAAAATTAACAATTTTGTTGGTCGCGGCACCGGGAATCGAACTCAGGTTGCTCGAGTATATGAAATTAAAAGCGAGCGCCCGGACAATGAGCAATCACGGCTCGTTATAAAAAGAAAACTGAAACAGGATTAGTTATGCATCGTTTTCAATCCCGTCGAGTATTATTGAATGTTATGAATACTTGCGTAATGCTCCATGTATTAATTAAGCGAATACGACCATTATTGGTAACGCCCTGACTTTCCCAGTGCCCATACCTATCTATTATTATTCTCACGACGTATTTCAATACGATTTTTGTAGCCATCAAGGTTCGTGTCCTTACCCATTGTACCATTAGGTATTCCGCTACACCCGCAACATTGCCACACCACGATGCAAAATTTGTTACACCAATATATAAGTGAAGGCTTCATTTTTAACTGCCCGCATTGCAATTTAAAAACGTTCATGCGAGGGGACGTAACCAGTATGCTAGTAACGGTAAAACTGACAGCTTCGTTGAAATTGTTCTAATAATAACTAATAACATAACTAATTCAATAAAAATATGTTTTTTACAGATTATTTTATTGTCAACGGCATGTGGATTAGTTCGGAGCTCAGGAGTCGGGCTAGCAGCTCAAGCCGGTCCAGCACCGGTCGTTACGGCGGCGAGTTCCCAGTACTTCGAAAGGACGTTTAATCGTTTAGTAGCAGCACCACCAGCCTTGGAACCGGTGTTTCCAGTAGCACCACCTCCGCCAGTAATACCTGTCGTCCGGGCACCAATTGTACCTGTCGCGCCAGCCCCGACCTTTTTTCCGGTCGCCCAGCCTCCCGCGGCCGTACCAGTAGCGCAGATTCCAAACGTAATACGCGTTACGCCGAATCGTTTAATTCCGCTGCAGCCACCACGTCCAGTGTTTATCCAGCCAACTACAAAAGATAATCAATCACCAACAGTGCCAGAAAACTCAGTGCAGAATGCACCTTCGGATCCTAATATTGCGATCGCAGTAGCTACGGCCAATGCAGCTGCACCGGTCGCTACGATTTTACTTCCTCCTTACCCGTTCGGACCGCCGCCGTCTTTCGGTTTCATACCCTCGTCACCCACTTTCGTGCCCGAAGATAAATTGGAAAAGGAAAGCACAACTCAAACTCCGAAAACTGAAGCGACGTCAACCGAGAAAACTAATGAATTTACCACACCAGTTTCTTCAAACAGCGACAATAGTTTCGTTCAAGCTTTGCCATCAAATGAGAATGTAGATTTCAAACAGTATCTGCCACCACCAGGCCAGCTACCATTGATGCCACATTCGGTGCAAAGACCTCAAACGGTGGCACCACAATTGCCGAGGCCACAGAAATTAAAGACGTCAGTCGAGGTGGTGCCCGTACCGCTCACGTATATCGCACCACCTCCTCTAAAGAAGCATCACCCATTGAAATTAGTGAAAGTAACGAAACACATTCATACATTTATACCTACCGGGAAAATTATAATTAGACCAGTGACACACAGGGTTCGTTCGATTGGAAAGCCTGCATATATTAAAGTATATAAGAGGCCTATATCGGCGAAATATGTTGGACAATACCCCCCAGCTATTACCATAGGTACAAAGCCAAGGGATATTGAACCTACTACACTAAGACCTTTCACCAGAGCAAACGTAGGACTACCTAGAATATAAGACTTTATAGACTAAATAACAATCACCTGTTAAAATTCCCCACTTTGTAAATACATGTTTTAGGAATTGTTTTTATATGCATTTCAGAATGTAAATAAATATTTATACTTTTGTATTTGCTGTTATTTTATTTGATATCATCAATAAAATTAAATGTTATTGCTTTTACATCAATTTTATATAGTTTATATAAAAATTAGTTCTATATCCATGGCTAATTTAACAAATGGACGTATTTTGACTTATTAAGTAACTAAGTTATTTCAAAATGACGCAAGAAAATTTGATGGAGAAAAGCCTAAATGTAATTTTAGTACGGAAATTAGTATTCATGCATTTTAGACTACATTTTAAAAAGCTATCATAAATCGTAGCCATATTGTCTTTTTATGTTACATACCTATATATTATTTTCTAACCAAAATTGATTGGTTCTGAATGGAGAAAGTGTGCATTCTTTGTTATTTGTTGAGACATAAAACAGTTTAAGTATTAACATTAAAATATACGATTTAAAATTGTATTTTTTTAAATTTATGTCTAACTCTAAAAAATAAGATAAGTCAGAAAATACAGTAAGACAGATCTTTTTCTTCTATTAATTACAGTGGCAATCTCATTGCTACGAATTCTGCTAATATAAAGTCGGTCATGGGAGTAACACAGAAAATAAAATAGATAGAAAGTACAACAACTTTGGTGACTTATTCAAATGTCTTCTGAGTAAGACCAAAGAGAATGTAATCACTACGTTTACTGAGTAAGACATCGAGAGTGAAGTGTTGGGGTTGCCATTCTTTTAAATTGATAGTGACGCTGAAAGCAAACCGTTATTTATGAGAAATAAAAAATGTGATTTTTTGTACATTTGAAAGATATCGCAGACAAAAACTTTCGGCGATGCGAGATTCTAACCCGCGTCTTTCGCGTAATATGCCCAGACGCTTTACCAGCGGATAATGATCACAAGATATCGACTAAAATTCTCATTTTAAATTAAATCTTAATCACAATTTAAAAGTTTGTAATTATTAAAACCCAGCACTCTACGAAGCGGTGCCTTTATACCCACAATATTTTACTTAAACTAATAAAACAATATAATGCTTCTTACATAGCAATAGTATCGATATACATAGAGGCACTTTCCTAGGCACTAGTCAAGCTTTAAAAAGTCATTTTAATTAAAGATTAATTAACACTAGAAATAAGGACAAACTAACTACGCAATTGTTTCCTCTACAAAAAGTAAATAGGTCGTTCATGGGGCAAAGTGTGCGAATGTATAATAAAATCCCACAATCAATAAAAAGTCTGCCACTTGATCGATTAAAACACAAAATTAAAAGTAAACCTATCTTTAAATCATATTATATTATCATTGCGGATCATTGCGGAATAGGTCGACAATGCCAATGTGGGGAATTAATATATATTATAATGTTGATAGAGATACAGAAATAGAGAAACTGCTTTCCGAACCGGTGGTAACTTACTAACGAACTTTGTATCAATTTTTATGTAAAATTTTAGGTTTAATAAGAACCGGCAAGCGTCTATTTGAATAAAAAAAAACATTCAATGCGAGGATATTAAATTGATTGTGAAAATTGTGTCAGGAAAAACAATACCTCTTAGTAAAAACGTTTTATTTCTTTTCATTGTATACGATTTTTACAAAGAGTTTGAGGGTCCAAAGACAAGGATGAAAGAGTTATGTATGTATATGTGTGTGATGTATGTATATGAAAATGCTCTTAGATTGTCTGTAATTATGAGTAGGATGAGTACGATTCGCGTTTATTTAGTGTGACCATTTAAAAGAGACTTGTGTCTGATATCCGTGCGTGGAAGTGAGCATTAAATTTTACAATTACATCAACAACGACAAAAAACATTTGGATGCACAATTATGCCGTTTATACACGAATACATTATCGCTTTAATAGTTGTAACAAGTGTCCAAAACATAAGCTTCTCTGAGGCCCCTTCAAAATAGTCCGACGGCGCTTTATCAGTCCGTTCAGCTCCGTTTTCGCAATCGGTACGCGCCCCCATTGCGTGCCCGGCTTCTAACGAGCCCGTGCAACGCCGGTGACGAAACGCAATGCAAGGTGAATCTTGCCACGGATTCGTGTATAAAAGGTATTGTCCCCAAACTTATGTTATCACTCGCATCATCTGTCCAACGCAGATAACTAAACCTAACCGACAATATGTTCAAGGTACGTTGTTTTCTGGAAGTAACACTCAATCACTTTTTAATTGCCATTTTTTTTAATAACGTGAAAAAGCCTTAGAGGACCCAAAATTTTAGTCTTATATTGCAAAACTTATATTACTTTCATCGAATTTCCACAATATAGATAGAAACTTAATGATTTGACCATCGCACCTTAAAACGAACTCGACCCCAAGATCGAACCCATCCTTCGAAGTTGTCAAGTTGCAAATTCTACATTCTTCGTTTTTTTATTTTATTTTAAATGTTAAATATAATGTCAGCATAAAGCTTTTGTAATATTCAGGTTCTTTTCCTCGCCACCATCGCCATGGCTGCCGCCAAGCCTAGTTTTGCACCCGCCGCTTTGGTGGCCGCACCAGCTCCTCTCGTGGCAGCCCCCGCTCCAGTCGTCACTGCCTCAAGCTCACAGTACATCGCGAGGAACTACAACGGCGTCGTGGCCGCACCTTTGGTGGCCGCCCCTGCTCCTCTAGTAGCAGCGCCTTCTGCTTACGTCGCACCAGCAGCCAAAATCGTCGCTCCAGCTGCCCCCATAATTTCCGCTGCCGCCCCAATATACGCCCGATACGCCTCACCTTATTTAGCGGCCCCTTACTACGCTCCCTCCGCTCCCCTCATCGCCTACAAGTAAGACTGAATTCTGGACGATATCCCTATGAAAGTATTATCGAATAAATGATTGCCAAAATATCGATTTTTTTTGTTCTTCCACTAAATTGATTTATTGTTTATGATTCCATATTACGTACCTGAAAGAGCTTGAATACCATATTATAAAATAGGTTAGCGATTACATTGCTTGTATTTTTTATTATGATTCAATAAAACATTTTGTGAAATTGTAAATTACACATCTTAAATAATTGAATGATTCAAAGAATGGATGAAATAAATGAATATTTCTAAGTATGGGTGCGTAGCCTCACTGTTACTAAGGCATACTTATGAAGTTATATCTAATTTTATAAGAAGTCTTAAAATTGCCTTTGATCAATTCAAATAGGCGCGGAACAATAAAATTCTTGTTACGCATTCAAACGCATTATGAAAGAATTAAATAAAACCAATTTCATTAATAGAGTTAGTTGCTATGCTTGGATAATAAATAATAAATATTGGCCATTAAAATGATTCATTAACATTAAAATAATCTTGTGTAAAACTAGTACGATAACTCATAAATTTTGACACTTATTGTTAATGCATTAATAATACCCATTTACATACTTCGAACTTAATTACAAATAAATGAAAATCGCATAAGTTAATAACACGTAAGAAATCTTAATATTGTATTACAATATACTTTTTGGCATAATACGTACATATTGGTTTCAATGTATTTAAATATTCAGAAGTAATTTTCACCTACTGACAAAAACTGTGAGGAGAAAGCCATTCGTACACCTCCTATTTATCCAAGATTTTATAACCGGCACGTAGATCATACCTTCACAATTTTACACTTTAATCACTTTAATCCTCTAAATTCCTAAATACAGTTCACTATGGAATTGGAGAATAGGTAGCCTTTAGCTTTCCTAGATGTTTTGGTCTTCGAAAACCCTAACAACACCTTGAGCCACACTGTGCATAGGAAGGCAACTCATGTTGAAGCCTAAATCGTTACTCTCGCCACCATCTATCCCAGTTATCCAACGGGACAACTGGGATGATTTGGATATCTGTGACAAGGAACACCTAGCCGCTGAGCTACAACATCTGATATGTATGACAACAAGCTTCGTGCTCCGCACCTACATCAGTGGAGCGAAGCTGATGTTCTACCATATGTCAGAATAATCATCGACAAGATTGAAGCCGCTGAAGAAAATTAGTTAGTTTTTACCATCTATCAAGAAAATTATCAAGTATCTCTTAAGTTCCAGGAGTATACAAGATTGAATGTAGGCTCTCTTACATAGGACAATCAAAAAGACCAATAAGAACAAACTTGAATGATATATGCCTGACTTTAACATACTAGATCAAACAAGTCTGCAGTCTGTCAGCATACCTAACATCACTACATCAGGTTTGATACACCACATATCATATCACATATCCTTGAAAAAGAACATGATTCCTCGCAACATTGATTCATGAGACGATAGAAATTTAAAATAAAACTCTAGTTTCAATCACTACCATCCTAATAATCAATAAAATTAAATCTAGGCCCAAACGAATCGAACGAACAATCGGACACAAAATTAATAATAATTTAATATTAATTATTCCAGCGTAAAGGGCATTGTCCACTTTGTATGGGGATTTGGCTTGGAGTGAACATTCACTGAGAATAACAACGATGTGTAGAATTAATAGATTTATTCAAAAGGAATTAGAAAAATAGTAAAGTTTCGTGTCCAGGTGTTTCTTAGTTTTTTTTTTTTTAAATTATAAACAGGGCTTTGAAATATAATATCGAATTTAGTTTTCATATTTTTTTATTAATCAGATTCATAAGTTAATTAAATGATATATAAGAACCGGGCAGGTGGATTTGCAGACTCTTGGACCTTATCCAGCTCATGAACCAAATAAAGTACTCGTATATTATATGGGCACAGCAACCCACTGTCCGTCGATCCACCATGCTGTTGCAAAAATATTGTTTTATACTACCTGTCTGTTATATTATTTTCATATAAGATATAAATATAATATATTTTTCTGCTGATACACGACAACATACATTCACAATACCAAAGAGAATGTAATCACTACGTTTACAATACCTACGAATAAGGCAAATGACATTTGACAAAATAACAGTCACAACTCCAACTACAGTATTGCCTAATGTCGCCATAAAGATCGTAACCAATGAACAATTTTTTTTATATCATTCAGGGATTTTGTTATCAAATACATTGGCAAATTATTATTATTCAAATACATTTGTAATTGAAGTTGATCAAAATAATACAATATTAACTTTAATTCCTTATAAATATTTATGTATAAAAATGCAGTGCCACATGATTTCGTGACTTATATTCGTTACTTTCGATAAATTATTTTTACCACAAATAAAATCTAAGTGATTAAATGAGAATAATAATAATATTATTTTGATTGATTAAAAAGAATATTCATAGATGTGATTGAGATTTTTATACTGGCAACGTAATATTTAAAATGTCGACAAGACTTTGTGTATATAAATCAATATAAATACTCATTATTGGATGTTTTTATCAGTTTGAATCGATACAACCGAAAAATACAAATATTCATGTTTTATTCAGGGAGATTTTTTGGTATAATTGTTTTTATCTAAGAATTCTGTTCACGCGAAGCCAAAAATGGACAATGTCTTTTATCTTATTTAATTTATTATATATATATATATATATATATATATATAGTTATCCGTTCTAAGAGTTGTTTGATCCAGCGTTAAGTATGATCAGTTTTTTGTTGATCCGCTCAAATTTGTTGATCCATACCCGATTTGTTGATCCAATACCATATGTATGTGATTTAGTGGCTCCATTCGGATCAACAACTTCTCGTCAATATCTTTTTGAAAGTAGCTACAATTTAAACAAATCCACTCCGTACTTATTTGATCCAATTCAAACGGACGAATCACAGATCACAGCAGCATTCATTGGTTGAGATCATCACTTTACGTCAGTGCCTACTTATTACGAAGTATTACTGTATCTCGTGAATGTGATATTTGTTGAAATACATGCTTTAAAGGGCCAGCAATATGTAGTGTTCGCGCGCTTTTCAGATTCACATGCTATACAACCATTATATTTTAATGTAAATTCGTTGCGCGCGTGATGGATTATTTAAGAATTTACATATAACAATTAATCAATATCTTGGTAATCGGTATCAATACTCAACTGTTAATTATTTAATTAACGTATAAAATGAATGTACTTCTACTTCAATATATAAAAAATAATGTTGAAGAATAAATAAGACTTGGAGTGTTCTAGTCGTATCTTCAATAGTTTTTATAAGTAATTTTAATAGCAATGGAGAATACCTGATAGGTAACACAAGTCCAAGTGTACAATAATTTTAAAAAATTATATAAAAAACAGAAAAATAATAAACAAAATTTTTCGTAATTCGTTTGTTTATAAACAAGCGTCTGTTCCGAAAACCAAATAAAAAATTAATTAAATTATAATTTTTTTATGATGTAACAACGTGATAAATTATGATTTTATTAAAATGGTTCCTTAATTTAACGTTAACACTAAGCAACAAAAAAATGTCATTTAGAAAAAGCGTTTTTAGCAGTGAAAATTTTTTGGAACGAAGTTCCTTACGGCAGGCTTGGAGGGGATAGGGATTTTTCTGCGCGACCGAACTGAAAAAAATGTGATAGTAAAACCGTAAGAAAAAATTCGTGGAAAAAAGTGCGTGGAATAAAACCGTTAAATGAGACGTGCGCAGGCGCGACAGTCGCATACACAAGCGAGTAGTGTATAATTTTGTTATTTTAGTTGATAATTTGAATTACGATGTTTTTTTATTTTAAGTAATTTATTATTCCCTAAAATACTGAATTTCCTAAATACTTTCTTGTACTTAAATAAAAACTCAGCAAAATTTAAGAGAAAAATCAAGAAAACCTACATAAAATTGAGCACGATTTTTTTTGCAATTTATGTCGATTCTACATTAGCTTCCTTCGGCTAATGTAGAATCGACTTCGTTTCTACCTGGTGTCCCACGACACCACATCATTTTTATTTATTATTTTCTTAAATGTCATATTTTCATTAAGCATCATATTCCTAAAAGAAAAAAATTGAAAATCTTATAAACAATGTATTTATTTATAATAATTACAATTCAAGTAATTTTTTTAAAGGAACAGAATAATCAAAAAATTTAAAAAAATCTTGATTGATTTATTAACGTTTTTCATATTTCAATGCCTTTGATTGGTAATAAAACAATGAAAAATTAGAATTTTTTTGGCAATCTTTTCTAAACTCTTTCAAGAAGTGACAAAAATATTCTGGGTTAGACTACATAGAAATAAACTTAATTTTTTTTCGTCCTATTATTATTTATTCATGTGTCTAGAAAGAACTATATTTTATATTCCTTAATATTCTATTTTATTTGGTTAAAATAATCTTTTAGAGTCCCTTTTGATGTAAAAAAGATTTGTCCGATAAATCGCACATTATCTCTTAACAAATCTAACTTTAACCCACTGAATAGCACTAGCTTAAATAACACTATTGATTACATAATAAATAATAATAATTTATTCTCTTGTAACCAAACTCATATTTGATAATGAGTTGAGCAATGACTTGTAAACAAATTTAACACTTAAAATTAAACTAAAATATTGTCATCCTCTTCTCTTTAAAGAAATGTTCACACTACATCATTTGTCGCATTACATTACGACCGTTGTTGATCCGTTTCCTAGTGCAATAGTAGCAATATATTGTACAACTAGCTTGCGCCCGCGGCTTCGCCCGCACATTATATCGTGCTTAAAAATACCTATGGAACCCTTCGTGCGCAACTCCAACTCGCGCTTGGGCGATTTTTTTTCACTTTATATAAACCATCATTTTACAGACCATAGTTAACTATAGTTTCATCGCACAAATCTACAATGTGGTTCTTTAGATTGATATTACTATTTTATTTATCATCCGACTAAATAAAACTAACAATAAATGTTAAGAGAAGCTTACTACAAAGCATTTGTAAAAGTTGCACTGAAATCGGAAAGGCCGTATTAGCCAAGTTAGAGCACACAGACAAACAGATAAAAACAGACAATAATTTTAACTATAATTGTTTTGGGTTCTACTGCGTTGATAAAGGCCCCTAATAATGGATTTTCTCAAATATCTTCTATGTACAAACAACAATCAGTTAAATTTTTATTAAATGTATGATACATACATCGGGATAATATTTGGATGCCTACTTAGGAGTACAGCATTTTGGGCTTCACATCAATCGAATTAATACAGGCTGCATGTGCTAACAAGCATAACAACAAAACTATACACTTTATAGTAAGTAGGTATTTTGATAATGTCCCAAGGATTCATTAATATCAAGCGATAATATCTACAATATTAAAAATATTTATTCACTAGCATCCTATGGTAAACTAATTAATAAGAAATAGGGTATAACCATCTCTTTGTCAATTATATTTATCTAGGTTATTACATTCGACATATAGTAATAGTTTACTCAATAGAAAATGTACATGGAAATTCAGTTCTTATGACAAACACTGTGGAATTAATTTTACGAACACTGACGTCGAGCTGCGTATGCGCGCTTACAGGGCTCAAGAAATGTTTAAAAAGTGCCTGAGAAAAAACCGTTACGCGGAGCCACAAATACATTGAAAAAGTATAAAACAACGGTTAGAGTATATTGCTGAATTTAGAAATATGTCTAAGCGACACAATACGCTGTTCAAATATATGCTTTCCAGCCTTTAAAATAAAGGTTAAGGGCAAGTAAATTTGGACAGAAAGGTGGATCAACAAAGTACTCTTTTAATTTTGCTGGATCAAACAAGTTATGGAAAAGGACTATATATATATATATATATGTTGTGGTTTTTTTTATGTGAAAATTGTTAAGTGAGCAAATGGTTCATCTGCTACACCCGAGAGTTGCAGATGCGTTGACAACCTTTTGGAAATTATGCTGCTCTTCTGTGAGGTTGTGGTACTTACCCGGGCGAGCCTGCCCATTCGTGTAACAGCTGAGGCTGCTACGTGGCCCTACCACCGTAAATTAAAAATACATAAAAGTATTTTTAAATTGTACTACAATGTTACCAAAAGTTACACAAAATTGTTAAATATGTTTCGTTTATATGACAAACTACCAGCCCAGAAGCCCAGAAGACCTAACTTAATTGCTAGGTAATTCAAACGTACATTCTTAAGAATGAGTTTTAGCCGAAGCCAATGAATAATCTAACACATTAATTGAAAGAGTTCACTGTTTTTTTTAAGTTTCTTGTTTTTTTCGTGTGTTTCATATCTAATGGAACCGAACTTTTCTAGGAATTGACGATAATGAACAAAAACGGTAAGGTTTTTCTTCATAATCGCAAAGATTTTTTTTTTATTTTCTTTGTTGTCTAGTCGAATTCTGTGTTGTCTTGAAATGTTTGAACGATTCCAGTGGAAGTATTTGTGGTTAACGATAAAACAATGAAGGGATGTGAAAATCGAAAAAAAAATTATTATTATTTTTAATGCTACATAAAATTATACGTGGTCATACCTCATGCAGTGAACTACTAAGTAACTTTGCCCTAGCTGTTCGCTATAATCTCCCCCGCGCCCTATAACAAAACTTTTCTGGACTTCTCATGAAAGTAACTTGGATCTGCATGCTCCCGTTATGCGTTTCTGTAATTCTTGCCCACAATGGATTTATTCCATTTAAATTTTATATAATTTAAGAAATTAATGTTGAGTCATATCCGTTAATGTTATCAATATAATCATATAATTATGCTTGGAAAAGGATTATGTTTGCAAATATCACTTTAAAATGAAAATTTATCTCTACAGTAATTTATACAAGAATAATGTATGCAAGGATGACAAGAGATGCCTGATTTACTACAAAAAAAAATTGTGCAAGAGATAATTTACAACTGTAACTCAAATCAGAATTCTGATCACTGAGCGCTACGAAACAGCGCTCCAATTTGAGTATTATGCATAATGTTGTTCAGTGCATTTTTCGAATCGTTATTTGGTTCAATTCGTGCCCAATGCCTAACAGTTCCGCAGAATGCTAATGGCGAAATGCATCGCCGGGCGAATCTCGAAACGATAGACATTTGTATAAAAGAAAAGAAATTGTCATCGAATTTGACGCTGCACTTCCATCACTTGTAAGGAAACCAACATGTTGAAGGTTCATAGCATTTCTTTATCATATCCTATAAGACGACTATATATTATTTGTCAAAGGTGTTTTTGTCGGTACACCATAACTTCCATAATTTTTCTCAAACTTAATGACTGTAACACTATTTTCAAGCTTATGTTTGTCACTATTGATTCGAGAACAAATTAAGGTTTTCATAAACAAATTAAACTACTTATAAAGAATGTACCATAATGCCATCTATTGACAATTTGGTTCAATAATATATTGCGAATTAGACTGAATTTTACCGATATTCTTCGAAATAGGAAACCTTTAATTTATAAATACTTATTTGCACATTATGCATACATATGTTACCATTGTGACTGTTCTTTATTCTATTTTACGGGGACTTTAAAATTGTAAAGCTTTTACTAAACGCAGGTACTTTTGCTCGCTGTCATCGCCATGGCGGCCGCCAAGCCCAGCGTCGCTCCTGCCGCATTTGTGGCCGCGCCAGCGCCTCTCGTGGCAGCCCCCGCTCCAGTCGTCACTGCTTCAAGCTCACAATACATCGCAAAGAACTACAACGGCGTTGTCACCGCACCTTTGGTAGCTGCCCCAGCTCCTCTAGTGGCAGCACCTGCAGCATACGTCGCTCCGACTGCCAGAATCGTAGCTCCAGCTGCGCCTTTGATTTCCGCTGCTGCCCCATTATACGCTCGATACGCCTCACCTTATTTAGCTGCCCCATACTATGCCGCCTCCGCTCCCATCCTTGCTCTAAAGTAAGACTGACTTTTAGATTTCATCTACCTGTGATTAACTGAGTGATTAATTTAGTTAAATCGAACAAATAAATAGCCCATTATAAATTTCCACCACCTTTTTTCAAAATTAACCTTTTTTTAAATTAAACCTGTTATAAGTTTAGTGATAGGATTATTTTTCATGATTATTAGTCAAATCTTTGCGGGATAGAGTGAAGTAAAGCTTGCCGCACTATGCCGCCAAAATATATGAGTCTAAAGAAACAAGCAAAACATTTTTAGTATCAAAATTAATGGTAAAAAAACTTACTTAACATCTTTTTAAAAGCAACCTTCTATTTAATTGCGCTAAGAATAAACTAAACTTTTTATTAAATCAAACCAATCAATATATTACGTGTATTACACAATTTAATGATATAAAAGCTTGTCGTGAGATTTACCTGTGCACTGAGAAGTTTTGCTTGACATCACTACATAGTATAAAACAAAGTCGTCCCGCTGTCTGTATATCTCTATATGTATGCTTAGATCTTTAAAACGTGCGAAACCGGGGCGGGTCGCTAGTACTTATTATAAGCATTTCTATAAAAGAAAAGGTTTTCTATAAAATAGGTAAATCTCGCGACAATTAAATAAAAACTTGTTTTTAAAAAGTTTTTTTTTACCATTAATATTTTTTTTTTGTAGTTATTGAATTTAATATGAGCTTGTATTAGTTTTCGTGCTCTCCTCGGAAGTACCTTTAATTTGATACCCATAATGTGATGGTGCAGAAAAAATAACTAGTCCGCCATCTTTGATGATCCGCCATATTGGAATAAGAATGAGGTTACATATTGGAATTTCATTACAATGGAGTCCCCATCTATCATCTCTTGCGAACAGGTTAAGCTCCGCTGTTTTTGCAATTAGGAAGGTTAGGCAGCTATCAGACATCGACACTGCCAGACTTGTTTATTTCAGTTATTTCCACAGCATCTTGTCTTACGGCATTTTGTTGTGGGGTAGTGCATCTGATATAAATTCTATATTTATTCTTCAAAAAAGAGCTGTCCGAGCAATCTATAACATCGGAGCCCGGAATACACTCAGAGACCTTTTTAAAGAGATTAATATACTCACTGTTGCGTCTCAATATATTTATTGTAATATTTTGTATGTTAAAAATAATATTAATAGTTATCTAAAGAATAGTGACAGACATTTATAAACTAAATACTAGAAATAAGGACAAACTAAGTACGCCATTGTTTCGTTTACAAAAAGTAAACAGGTCGTTCATGGGGCAAGGTGTGCGCATGTATAATAAAATCCCACAGTCGATATTAAGTCTGCCACTTAATGAATTTAAACGAAAAATTAAAAGTAAACTTATGGCTAAAGCCTATTATTCTATTGCCGAATATCTTGACGACGCCAATGTGTGGGGTTAATACTGTTGATACTCACGTAGGCTAAAACAAGACTATTGTACATGTACTATTATATTGTAAACTGATTTTTTTTTAAAAGAGCAACTGTTGAGTTTCTTGCCGGTTTCTTCTCAATAGAAACTGCTTTGCGAACCGGTGGTAACTTACGAACGTGTTAATTTCTTGTAAAATTTAGACGTTTCATAAGAACGCGCAAGCGTCTATGTGAATAAAGATATTTTATTATTTATTTATTATTGCATCGTCATCCAAAATAAGCGTATATGCCAAATTATAACTCAATCGTTTAAAGATAACTGATAAAAATTCAATTGCAAGATTCCACTTGGATAAACTTACGTACATTGTTATATAAAAGAAATATCGACTTCAAATATTTCATTCACTATACATTTTCAATTTGATTTCGAAGGGATCTCTGAAGTATCTTATGAGTCCAAGGTTCGATACCAATGAAATTAACATGCGACCAAATGGGAGCTAAAGCGAACCGAAGGCAGAAATATTTTTCAAAATCGGTTCATAAATGACGGAGTTCTGAGGTAACAAACATGAAAACATTCTAGCGAATTGAGAACCTCTTGCTTTTTTGAAGTCGGTTAAAAAGTAAGAATGTGTATTTTCCGAGTGGTAGCAACGACAGGAATAGTACATCAGTATTTGATTTTATGGTTTGAATGATTGCATTTGTTCACAATAGTTAAGAACAACATCTTCGCCAAAATATTTAGTAAAAAATGATATTGACAATCACATTATCAAGAATATACAGTAAAAAAAAATATGTTATGAACATACAGGAATAATTTAAAATAAAATTGTAAGTTTTGTAAAAACTGTTTTTAATTTTAATATAATTTTGTTTTTCATATGAAACAAATGGAAATCTTTGAAATAAACTTCTAAGGCTTCCGGACGTAACAAGCATGTTTCATACTACTTTTGCCAAGTATAATATGCGAGTTTCTTAGAAACATCAACTTACAAGCCAATCTATAACTTGAGAGACCGACCTCTTTGTAAAGCTTTATATGTATTCGCAATGAAACAACATTTAATGAAGTAAATATCGATCTTAGATTTAAAACTAAAAAAATAAATAAAAAAAAACTAATATTAATAAGATGAAAGAGTTGAGGTTAAAAAACTTCCTACGGACAATCCTCTTCTTGATTTCTCTCTTTTAAATATGAACTTTATGCAGATGAACCAAATTTTTGGGAAAGTGTTATCATTTCTATGTTTAAAATGAAGGTGTTGGAACCTAGTAGACATATCCATATAAATTTCACATATAAATGTAACCTTTTCTCAGTGTTAGTTACAAATGAACTGGAATACGGTGTTTAGCAGAATACGGCGTTTAGCTTAGCGCCGTGCAATATTATCTTACTTATGTAACAATTACAATGTAGTTACTACATAATGTACTACCAACCACAGACCATACCGTTGCTGTGCTGTGTGTTCCAAATGTACGAACATATTTTGTGATTATAATTAAAAGTAAAGAAATTTATTAAATACAAATGTCTTGCAGATCAGACATTGAAATTTTATAATGTGATATTTTGTATAGGTTGTAAATTTAAAAATATGAAGTGGAAAACATATATTTTGTATAATGGCGCAGCTTGACTAAGTTTAAAAATTGGGACATATAAGCAACCATACAAGATCTTTTTGACCACGTGGTCGCTCATTTTATCCACGCGGTCGTGGAACTAAAAACTAAAAAACAATCACGGGCATGGAGGAAACAGGAATTTGATTTAGATCGACCGACACGTGTATTTTACGCGTCGTTAACTTGCTTGATTGCGTTTATATCTCTGGGGCTTTAATTTAATAGCAAATATATTGCCTTAGATTTATGCGTCGAACAAAACGAATAGAATAACAAACCTATGTCATAAAAGGTTGGATAATTAGTGGGTATTTCTCGCACCATTATTAAAACGCTTTAGATTTATTTTCATGTTAACCTTGTAGCTAAAACATCATTTTTTTTGTTAATTTTCGTTACATCTATGTAACAGGATGTATTTTTTTATTTTATATAGAATACTGACAAATTAGTAATATATGCACCTGCTTACATAACAATTTTTGTTGTTTGCTATATACGTAGTTTTTCAAATTTAGTGTACTTTAGGTAAAACTTTATTTAACTCTTTGTCGGTGAAATATTTTATTTGTAGTGTAAGTCTCCGTTCTTAAGGTGTAACTTAAAATGTGTTGATGAAACTGTCGCAAAATTTACCTTAAATACAGAATTCGAACCTGCGCCTTCTAAATTAGGTGTCTTGACACTGCAGCCACTAAGCTTAACACTAAGTGGTCGATTTCTCATCGTATGAAAATTCTACGTCTGCTTTTTTTATTGCATATTCAATATAAAGGAATCACAGTAGAGAATGCCAAGCATTGTTTAATTTCCTTAGTCTTTTTATTTTTATTATTTAAATTTAGTCTTTTTATGAGAACTTTTTAGAGCCGTGGTAGCCCAGTGTCCGGGCGCTCGCCTTTAATTCAATATACTCGAGCAACCTGAGTTCGATCCCCGGTGCCCGGCACCAATGAAGTTTTTAACTTTAAGTGCTGACTTATCACGTGCTCCGCGGTGAAGGAAAACATCGTGAGGAAACCTGCCTATTTTCGAAATTATAACAAAAAAAAATATATTTCGAAAATATGTGAAGTCCGCCAATCCGCAGTGGGGCCGCGTGGTGGACTATGCCCTGATACCCTCTGTATAGAGGAGCCCTTTGCCCAGCAGTGGGACATGTATAGGCTGTTACTTTACTATGAGAAAAGAATGCAAACAAGACAGTCACAATACTTGTGGATTCCTAAATGATGACAAATTCATTAATTTATCATTCTGTACACTATTCTTTTGTAAGATGATGCAACCCATTTATTAAACGGCAGAAACTATTTCCCGAACCTACCTAACGTAGACTGTTCCAGTCTAGGACCCTATGAAGCCATGATAGACCGGGTAATATTGTGTAAATATCACATCGCACTTGGTAGGTCCACCAGCTAACAATCGTAAAAAGTTCATACTATAATAAGTCTGTTTCGCTGAACTGTGTTTGAAGTACACATATATATAAACTTCTTCGTGTTGCACCCAAAAGTCTTGAACCCGCGTCACAATTCCTTTTTCGAGTTAAGTATTCCTAAAGGATTCTGTGTTTACGGAATTTTAATTGTCTCATTGAATTTACGTTAGGCTATTGCGTGCTACAACGATGACGAAACGCAACACAAGGTGAATCTTGGCAACCATCTTTGTATAAAAGGTATGTACTGTCCTCAAAAGTTTACATACCGTTTGTATCTCTCAACCCGAAAGCGAAAAGATGTTTAAGGTATTTACCGATATTATTAGCTAATTGATTTATAGTTGTTTGGAATTCAACTCAGTGGCGCAATCGCCAAGCTACGGGCTTTGACACTGACGGTCGTGGGTTCGAGTCCAATACTGCATAAGTATTTATGTGACCCACATAATTTTACAGGATCTGGGTGTTGATACCCCAGGAGAGATGGCACAAGCAGACGACCGGTCGTAAAAAAACAGCCAATATCATTAAAAAGATGATTCACATTGTGACGAATTCCCTAGGTGGGATAAGGGCAAGAGATAGAAGAATATGATTAGCGAAATGGTTTATATAATAAAATATCAAAATAAAAATAATAATTTTGTTCGATTCAGGTACTTTTCCTCGCCACCATCGCCATGGCTGCCGCCAAGCCTGGTTTTGCGCCCGCCGCTTTAGTGGCCGCACCAGCTCCTCTCGTAGCAGCCCCCGCTCCAGTCGTCACTGCCTCGAGCTCACAATACATCGCGAGGAACTACAACGGCGTCGTGGCCGCACCTTTGGTGGCAGCGCCCGCTCCTCTAGTGGCTGCGCCTGCAGCATACGTCGCACCAGCAGCCAAGATCGTCGCTCCAGCTGCCCCCATAATATCCGCTGCCGCCCCAGTATATGCCCGATATGCCTCGCCGTATGTAGCTGCCCCATATGCTCCTGCTCCCTACGTTGCTGCACCAAGTTATGTGGCTTATTAAATGAAACGGATCTAATTTTTGTGTAAATCTTTAATAACCTTTTACGGAATTATTAAATATGTTTTATAACATAATTATTAGTTATATTTCCTACTTACTTCTTACTTAGGAGACATAGGCATTTATTTATACTTTATTTTTACATAAAAAATAGCAAATAGCCATCGCTGTTAATAAATTTAATTTATACGAGTGAGTACATAAAGAATTGAGAAAAAGCAGACAATATATCATGAAAAAACAAAATAATAAAAAATACTTATATATCATCTTATAAAAAGGTTAAAAAATGGTGTGCACCACGTTGATAAGGGAATGTTTGAAATGTGTGCAAAAGTAGTAAAAACTGAAGTTTAAATACGAGTAACAAACCACAAATTTGTATTTATGATGAAGTATATTTAGTTATGCCATATTCTTTATGATAGACTCTTAAAATCTTGGTCATTATAGCGTTACCACCCGTAACTCTTTCTCAACCACCAAAGGTTAACTGGAAGAAAATGCTATTTAGCATTAAGTTCGCCTTTGTACAAACTCTTAGTACAATAAAGAATATAGAAACAAACAAACAAACAAACCAAAAACTTTATAATGTACAATTGCACATACCATTTACCTACATTAGCGCCATGGGGCGTAAGTTGTGCACATTACATGTTTGTTTGAAGTATGTAGTACTGAAAATACAAAAGATGTTGCTTGACATTAAATTTAAAATAATTTTAACCAAAAAAGCGACATCAAACCGGAACCTAAAGAACATTGTTAATACCTATAACATTTAAGGATTGCCCTCGATTTCTCTGGGATGCCATCACCAGATCGGGGTTTCCTTATCATGGTACCACCCTTGGGATAGATATCTTACAGTAAAGAAGATGACGTTACGAATTGAAGTCCTCTACACAGAGTCATCTTATATAATATATTTTGATTGTTTATAGGCTCCGGTAAGTAACGTGTGTATGTGGTGGCATTTTAAAACAAAAGCATGCGCATGTATTCTGAACTCACTGAATAAACCGCTTTTGTTCTGGTATTTTGTTTGGGACAGTGAGATAGAATATGAATAATTTGTATTTTACTGCCAAATAACATAAATTTGCATTTTGCAGTTTTTATGGATTAAATATTCAGCTACGATCTTCAATTACTACATGTAGCGAGGTCAGCATTTTCCGTATTTTCAATAATAAATAAATGTTTGCAGATATCAGAATATACACAGGTTACAATACTTAAAATTATTTATATCATCTATACTATAAAATAATTGGGACGGGTTTTAACTCTCTCTTTCTCGATAATCGAAAGGGTTTTTCTTAAATTTTTTTAATTGGGGCCATCCGTATTGTTGGCTCCATATTTTCCAAATAACTAAAGCAGACACACTTTATCCATATACATCAAGACACTTACATAGTACGGTTACTTTCAATATTTTTATTTTATAAATTATATAACAGTTTAAAGGCTAATTTATGTTAAGGCAAACTGTAAGAACTCTATGTGTATGTAGAGCTACGTAAACATGTTTACAGAAACGAAACTTAATGCTAATGTATTAAAGAAAGGGTTATAAAAGCAACTATAGAATGTAAAAAACCAAGGAACTAAAGAACGCAAGCAGTGATTAGGAAATGTAAGGGATGTGATTGTGGAATTAATGTAAAATTTTAGAAAGTAATCAACGTCTGAAGTAGGAATAGAAGATCACGCCATGGATTAAGGAGATAGCCTATATTTCAAGACTCAGTGACACTCACGCCCGGTTTCTGAAACAGTGATCATCGTAGAAATTAACTAATCAGCTGTTAGTTACACTCTTTGAATTGATCATTCAGATAAATTCTAAAATAGTTTAACCATCCTTTTGGCAACTCAAATGACATTTGACAAGCCGTTTGACAGCTGATTAGTTAATTTCTACGATGATCAGTGTTTCAGAAACCGAGCGTCAACCTGAATAATGGAAGCTGTGATAAATTATTACCACTGAAATTACAGAATACACCAAAGTTAAAAGACATTTTGTAAATAGTGCTGTTCATTGTTTCACATGGGGTCCGAAAGCTGGGCGAATGAGACATTATTACAAAATGGATAGGGCAAAAATAACGACTAAAGCGAAATGAACGGCGTGGGTGATTAGTGAAAAAAATAATATCTTGTATTTAAGCGAATTTTCATTGAGTATTTAACGTATACATAGAGAGAGTTAATGAGCATGAAACAGAAAATGAGAGGGTTATTTAAAAAAAATTATTCACTACATAATTTTTATTGAGGCAAAATTTAAATTTATATACAAGGAATAAGATTTCTATCTAAGTGTATCTGAACACTTTTTATAAACAATGTTGACGGATGTAACAGTGAAGGCCAATTGTTATGATTTATTCGCTACCGATTTCAAACCGTTTCAGTTGCTCATCAAGCTATGCCCGTTGAATACAAATAGTGTCAGTGAAGAGCGTCGTTAGAATTCACTTCAAATATGGTTATTCTTGGGACGATGCTCGATATTTAGAACGCTGTTCGACCATGGACTAAATATGTACACGTCTACGGACTACATTAAATAATCGGGTCAATCGTTTTTTGTATAAATAAATTTATAGAGTTCTATCGATGTGCGATGTAAATGTAATGTGATTGTATCACAGAAAAACTACCAGACAAGTTTCAATTAATTGTTGTAATTTTTATTTCTTAGACATTTAGTCCTTACATGAAAAAAATATTATATCTTTATTTAATATTAAAGTTTTAGGAGACAATGATTATATGTACTACGTCGTGTTCAGTTACGTGCGTTATTTTATCAACTGTAAAGAATTCTTATATAAACATTGTTAATATAATAGTATTTAATAAATTAAAAATATTTCACCGAAAGTGATACTTTAATATGTTCTTACTTTTGCATTTCTTACTTAGAATTCCGAGGAGTTGTTAGGTTTTATCCTGCCATTAAATTTTACCATGTTACGTACTTATGGAAACTCACAAAACACCAACGATGTCATCATGACGGTTGGCAATCCAACATTGCGAGTTTTTCATGAATTTTTCTACCACGCACAAAGTTTGGTGGAATCAGTTGTCACCAAATTAAGAAAAGGATTATATTTTTTCATGTAAGCTGGCAAAACTTAAGCAACTCCTCTGATGTTGTGAATGTCTCTGTGTGCAATGACGATCTCTTGTCATAACGTAAGCCACTTCATCGCTTACAAGCAAGATGTATAGTGAACTAGACGGAAAATGGCAAAATCTTAGTGACATTAAAGACATCAGTTTTAATCTACGAGTATATCAAAAATAAATGTATATTGAAATTACTTAAACATTAAGAATGTCTATTGTTATTTTATCTAAATAAAGTACTTCTCGTCTTTTATATGTGACGCATATATAAAGTGACTCTTGTCTTTTAATATATCAAGTAATTAATGATATTCAATAATGATACACAGGCATTCTAGAAATGTTTTAAAAACTACACTTTTTTTAAAAATTATCCAAAGTTAATTTCAAAACTTAAGCACTTAACATCCCTTTGCCGCTGACTGTGCAGAGCTTACTTGTAAATTTAAAACGGGTGCTCCTAAACATTATACATTATATTACGACCGAAGGTAAAAACTTTACCTTTTCTGTTTTCATTATTACATATGAATTCTTTTAAAACTTGGTTAATATGGTTTAATTAAGTGTTCTGCGTTTTCTTAAAAGTTCCTTAAAATAAAACTATTCAGGTTGTAGTTGATAGTTTCTCTATAATATAATAAAGATATCTATAATCTAAAATATTTCTTATTTGCTTTATAACACAAACTATACTTGATTGCTACACAAACCCTTACCTAGAAACCTCTTTAAGTTATATAAACGTTCCGTTGATGGTCAAGTGTGTGACTCGTTCGGTAACCGGTGATGTCCGTATTGACTTCTAATTGGGCACGTACGCGTCCTGTCGATGGAAAGTGAAAACAATGAGTAGCCATATAAACGGAATGTTTGCAATAGTGTGAACTATATATTGGACTTGTGATACATTCATAATCACACACCGCATAACTCCTCGACTAACCAAGTCGCTTACGTTTCAAAAACATGTCACTCCTAAGATTAGTGAGTATGGTAAAGAATATATTATAATTTAAGTATATTATTAGAAATTTATCAAATCGTATTATTTACTTTTACAGGTCATTTCTATCGCCGCTGTCATAGCTAGCTGTCAGGCTAGTGGCATTGGACATCTCGCCGTTAAATCGATACCGATTGTTCGGTATGCTCCGTTTTACAACTTCCCGAACGCGGTGAGGTCGATACACGCAGTAGCACCTCCAGTGGCAGCTGTTGCTCCTGCATTACCAGCCCCGGCTCCGTTGCTGCAAACCCAGATACCAGCACCTGTTCTACAGCCACACGCAATACCAGCACCTGTTCTACAGCCACACGCAATACCAGCACCCTATCTACCAGCCCCTGCGTTTGGACCTGCACCGGTATTGCCAGCCCCTGCATATGGGCCTGCACCGGTGTTGCCAGCCCCTGCGCCACTTCTGCCAGCACCTTTACCAGCTCCAGCGCTTCCACCGCCCGCATTTGGAACGGCCTATTCGCCAGTTTTCCGCGCTGTTGCCCCTGCAGCGTCTTTTATTGCACCTGTGCTGCCGAAGATTACTCCAGCTATACCAGCTCTGCCTCCTGTGCCCGCAGTGGGCCCAACTCAATTCTTCAGAGCAGTGCCCGCTTTTTCGCCTGTACCATTTACCCCAATCGTAAGAGCCGTGGCGCCGGCACTGCCCGCACCTGTGTTCGCACCTGCTGCCTCCCCGGTCGTGGCACCTGCTCCCATTGCGGTAGCTAAAGCATTTCCTTATAGTATAGCACCCTACGCAAGTCAATTCCACCATTACGGAAAGTATTTAAGTCCATCGCAATTTCTTCCCACCCCATTCCTAAAACAGGCAGCATGGAAATGAATTAATCACAAACTCCACGTAAACCAGAACTAATGTTTATCTAGTCTTATGCGCATAATTAAGTGTATGTTGTTGATTGTTATAGTTTACCATAATATAAGGCTGTTTTTATACAAACTTTACAAAATAAATAATGTTAACAAATTGCGACACAAACGTTTTATTATGAACATTTTACTCCCGTAAAACAATATAACATCTTAATGCTATTCGATATTTTAAAAAATTATAGGAATTTACTTAATAGAAGTAATAATAATGAAAAATAAAAAAATTAATTTGGTAAAAAAAAACTTTAAAAGAAGCGAAAAAAGGAAATTAACTCTCAAAATATTAATAAGACCACTGTTATGAATTCGCTGAATGTTAATAAATCCGAATAATTTGAATTTGAAGCTTCGGGAAACGGTTTTTTTTTTGTTGTATTAAATAAAATACTCGAAAGAAATTTCCAAAGGATGATCTTATTTCTTTACTGTGTTTAATAATATAGTACAAATTTTTATACAATATAAACTTTTCATTGTTTATCGGAGTGTTGGTTTTGTGATGAGAACCTTGAATTGAATAGTGAATTTAAAATAATGACTATTTTTGAATAACAATAACGGTTTAACGGTGGTAGGGCCACGTAGCAGCCTCGGTAGTTGCACGAATGGGCAAGCGTCCGGATAAGTACCACGACCTCACGTTTCGTCTGGTGAGTGAGGTGGCCGGAGCCCAATTTTCAAAAGGTTGTCAACGCATCGGGAACTCTCGGGCCTGGCAGATGTCCATGAGCGGCGGTATTCACTTAACATCAGGTGAACCGTCTCCTCGTATGGCAACTTTTCACATAAGAAATAAATAAATAAATGACAGTTTTATAAATAGGTATAATGTTTTTCATGTCATCAGAAACTTGAATGTAATTATGAATAAATTTTAAAATGGATCATACGTGTGTGTTCAAGATATTAAGATAACTTTTAAATTTATAAGATTGTTTATTATAATTGGAAATGAAACACACGTAACGTTGCCTGTGAAATTAGTGACAGTATATTGTGTCCAAAATGCGGACAGAACACTATTTTATTAGCTTTAAGGCATATGTGAAAGAAATTCGGAAGCTAGAAGTATCAGCAAGGAACAATATTTTGGATATAATATGTAATGAATGTAATAAATCTGGGTGTTTTTTCCATTGAAAAAACTCTTCTTAAAACTTTACCGTTCATTAAATTTGTAACTCGGAACTAGCATCCTTTTTTATTAATAAACGAATTATTTAGTTAGATCGCAACAGTTCGTAGAGCCTTGTTAATCCCATGATGCTCCTTTAAGTCTATCTATACATCACTATTATTTGCTTATTACATTATTCATATTGTGATCGAATATTTGCTTTATAAAAAATTTCGCTAAGTGCTAAGAAAAGAATTAATTTGTTCGTCGCATACTTTCTATGTCATAATATTATCAAACCCATATTATACGATTATCAAACATTTGTGACTTCAAATTTCGTAAATTTATATCATTTAAAAACGTTGAGAACCAAATCTACATAAAGCGTTATTTTTATTAATTGATTTTTGGACGTTATTGGTCGCTTAAACAATGTCCATATTAGGAAAATAAAATCAACTTTTAACAAAATATAACTTTTAATTTGTATACAAAGTTTTATGGCATATATACATACTTATAACAATGATTAAAGTCTTTTAAGGAAGGTCAGTTGTTCGCTTTCAGTCTATCGTACAAACGCTGGAGTTAGGCCAAAGGCAGTGCGGATAAGAGGGGCACCAGCAGCATAGGGGTAAGGTGCTGCGTAAGCAGCCGGTGCTCCCACAGGGAGAGCGTAAGGAGCAGCATAAGGTGAAGGGAGAACAGAGGCGTATGGGGCAGCGGCGAAAGGTGCAGCGACTGGGGCGCCGTAGGGAGCGGCAACTGGAGCGGCTAAAGGTGCAGCGACTGGAGCAGCTAAAGGTGCGGCGACTGGTGCAGCGTAATACGGGCTGACAGCCCTGTTGACGACGCTTATTTGTGACGCATATGGTGGTATGTTCTGAGGCACGGCGTGTGCGTATCCCAGTTGAGCCGGCGCCACCAATGGTGCAGCTACCGCTGATGGGCTTGACTCGGCACCAATGACGAAAGCAGCAGCGATGAGGACGATCTGTAATAAAAATGTAGTTTGATAATTATTCAGGTTTTTACTGTGTTAAAAAATGGATATTTGGAAAATTGTACAATTATTAGCTTACAGATTTGAAAGCGAACATGTTGCTTGATTTGGAGGTGAACCTTCCTTATTGAAACGAAGAGGTGATGTGTGACCGTAAGGAAAAAGTGTCGCTTTTTATACTGAGTACTTTGTGTTTCCGATTACGCATGCTAAAATAAGCGTTTGACGAATTGCGAGCGGTCAATTGGGATTCTTGGAAGCACTCGCAAAGAAATGTATCACATTGTAAAAGTTTTTTATTCATTGTGAAATTTACGTGAATCTACGCGCAATATTTTTTTTTAACAGAAGAGGTTTAAGAGAAACCAAAAAGGTTTAAATCAATAGACTTTGTCAATAGGTATGATTTTAAATTGTAAATTTGTGTAGATAAATGAACAAAAACTTTCGGCGCTGCGGGATTCGAACCTGCATCGTCTGCTTATTGGTGGTTATAAAATCTTTACAGTACTTAGTTTTTTACATTTAACTCCCAAATAAAAACTCGCGTTATAAGCTTTATATACGATGAACGATCACTTTAAAACCGTCAACTAATTTCAAAGTTCACGTTTGCAAAAAAGCTTTCTATGCAAATGGGATCATAATATAACAGAACTAACTCTTCAAGAAACTATGAATAACTATAATTTATTTTTGCAGATTCAAACAAACCGTCGTTGCGTTCCAAGAGGCATTTGTTCAACAGTCGACGGATGATGATGATAAGGTCTTGTCACCTTAATAATAGTTGGGAGATAGTTAAAGCTGGCTTCAGCCTACTAAGCTTGCCTTTACCATTTTAGCTATTCAGTCTCAAATATTAATGGTGTCCTATCACCGTCGCCGCCGTTGTAGGTGGATTAACAATGACAGAAGTGCAGTAAAAAAGCATAGACCTCTATTGCATAAAAAACATTTACAGATTTAATAAATCTCGGGGAGTTGATCAGTAATTCCGAAATAGGTATTAAAATTCGTCATAAAATTAGAGTAATGGTTAATGTCAAACCACATTTGTGACACTAAAAGAAATTTTATCCGTTTTTGTTGTTAACCCAAAATGACTTAAATAAAATCGGACAGTAAATCATTCCTAGCTATACCAATATTTAATCGATGAAATCTAGAATCTTAGTTGCTCGTGCCAATCTTTACTTCAAATTCCACCAGGGAAGATACAAGAAAGAGAGTTAATAAAAACATGGAAAGAGCTAATGCAGTTTCCTAATACTTGAGGAATTCGCGAATTTGTAAAACGAACTTGAAAATGTATGCCATTGTGCCATACCGGACAACTTCTGAGTAGAATCTTAAATTATTTTCGCTGGTTCGTCCGCAGTTGGCAACAACTGATACTTCAACTAGATTTCTCTTTGCAACCCTGGCCTAGATCCGCACGGAAGAATTTAGGATTAAGAAAGAGATTTATATTACCCCTTATATTACGAGTACGTTGCTTTTAACATTATTTTAGAAACGTATAAGGAAGTGCGTGTCTCTTTTGGCGATTACATAACGTACGGTGAAATTGATGTGCGTAGAGTCTATATTAGAATGCATCGCTCGTCGAAACAGTCTGGGTCAAAAATCGTGGTACGGTGTCCTGCGCATTAACGTTCGCACACATTCAGTGTCCGTGCTATTGCCCAACGGAATCACGACTCGGTATATAATGTCACGAGATCCTGAAGACGACACAGTCCATCGGATACCTTTTCCTACACACACTAGTGAGCAGTCACAAAACTCAAGCACAATGATCGCCAAATTCGTTGTGAGTTCTCTTTACTTTTAATAAAATCCTAAACGGTGGTCGGATCAAATTTCCGAAAACATGAAAATCCCCATAAGCGCCGCAGTCCACCAGGCGATGGAGCGAAACCGATGGAGACAGCTCGTAGACCGATTGAGTATGAGTCACAATCCTCAACAGAGAGGGAACGACTAACAAGAAGAAGTTCTTGCATATCTTCTATTTCATCTTTAATAGTCGCATCGGATTCTCATAAAATTGGAGCTTCCCTTACTAATAAAAAAAATAAAATGTATTGATAACGTTATGCGTGATATCATTGCATTTCCTTGGACCACGTGACCGATGAAGCTTCACGCCTGATGATGAATAGCGCAGCAGTGACTTTGTAAAAGTGTTGCCACTCAGTAAATACGCTTTTCCCAGGTTGTCCTCGCCCTCGCCGTGGCAGTTAACGCTGGAGTGTTGCCACTTGCCGCACCTGCCGCTGTCGTCGCGCCAGCAGCGTACGCTGTGGCTCCATACGCGAGCTCGTACTCAGCGCATGCTGTGAACCACGCTGTGGCCACTCCAGTGGTTGCGCCCGCGCAGTACGTCGCAGCCGCCCCCTACGTCGCCGCCTCCCCTTACGTCGCGGCCCCCGTCCCTTACGCCAAATACCTCTCAGCGCCCTACCTACTGTAAACGAATTTGACGACAACATTGCCCACGTGACTTGCTCAAATGTTTTATAATACAGTAAACACTTTATAAATATCAATACGTTTGGTTTGATTTTGTCAAATGTGTTAGATGTTCTTGTTACAAGATTCATATTTATGTTGAATCTAATATCATTAGATTCAACATAAATATGAATCTGACATCACTGATAATATTATCAGTATCATCTCTCTTTTTTTTTACTTTTTTACTTTACACCAAATAACATAGAAGTTTAAAAATACTTAGAAGGCTTTAAACTGAACGGAGAAATGCGGCGATATCATTGTCCAACATAAAAATATACAGTCTTTGTTCATTAACAAACACTTCTAATTGCTTTGTTCATATTGATTCTTCATCATTTTTTTATGATTAATTTGCTTTTTGAAATGTATGAAAATGGTGTTATAATAATCACAACTACATGTTTATAATCTATGCCTATTACATGAGCATACTACTATGTGTTATAACCATAGATTAAAACTTTCTTCGCAATGTTTTCGATAGCTTTGATAATACCAGTATCCATCCTCTTCCCCAGTATTATATAGAACACGAAGCCCCGTAGATCCCTTAAATACGAAACTTTTTCCAATGGTAACACAATCCCTCTTTGTCGACCCAAATTGTAATACCGATACCTACGGAGGTCGATGCCCTATGATTTAGAAATAGCAAATAAATCGTCCCTTGTATAAAGTTACAGGACACGATGTTCAATAAAAGTAAAGCTTCTTACAATTTGCTTTGACTTACAAGTTAGGCCTGATATACAACGAAGTTAACTTGATGAATTTATTTGAGGGAACGGTGTGTTTTTCCTTCACAGAAACCATTGTTTCGTTTCATTTTGCTTATTTGCGATTACGTTTTAATTTTTAAAATAAGAATGTCACGTTCTAATTATATATATATATCTTGCGTTATAATTATAATAATTATTATTTATTTATAATATTGAAAACAATACAGACCATTTATATTTAATTAGGGTAAGTTACAATAAGAGAATATAGACACTATGACTTCCAAACTAAGCAGTGCCTGCTTCTTGGAAGCCGGAGTGCACTTCATGTATATTTATAATCGCAAAAATATTATTTGACATAAAAATTGAAACAATAGTACACCACTATGGGAAAAATATTGAGGGTCAATTATACTACGCAGTGATATGAAACTAACACACCAAGGAAGTATAATTTCTTACGAGTGTACACGAGTACTCACTCGTTTTTTTTTTGTTATGTTATTATAAATTCGCATTTTTTTATCTTCCCCTTGTATTGTACTATGTGATCTGGAGCATCTTTCCAAATATCATGATTCCACCAACCGGATGTACTCTATAGGATTTAATTCTCTTGGGCATGTTAAAATGTGGCAAAAAAGAATGTGTCTTTTGATTACGTTGACTTTAGTAGTTGGATTTTTACAGCCCTAAGGAAAAGCAAATCTAAATATTTGATACTAATTTCAACATGGTACCTCCAAGCGTTCCTAAGAAAAAGTAACTTGACAGATAAACAGGCAGACGGCCAACGAAGTGATCCTAAAAGAGGTTCCTTTATTTATAAATAAGGAACCCTAAAACCAACTCAGAGCAGTGATTAAATGGATCTGTAACAAGGCTAGATCGCTATTTACAACAAACTACGCGCACCATATCTAGGACACTATATAACGTATAAAATAGGTGTAAGGTGGAATAACACACATAACAAATGCCTTTATAACAGTGATTATAAAAGATTTTACGTCAAAGCCTAAAAATCTACTTAGAACTTTAATTAACGGTTATCGCGACATGAAATGATAACGAGTCAGCTGAGCGCGAAACGCGTGTCATTGGTAATGCCCTGCCCTCTTTTACAACGTCAGATCACAAATCATAGACCAACGATTCAATAGACAAATCGATATTGTCATAGTATCGTAATTTTTTTACTTAAACTACCATTAACAGCATGCTATTGCAATACGAAAAACTATACAAAACAATACATTTAAACTACTACCTTACAACACTTTACCAAACAATTAAATTTTCATCCCATTCAAGACATCTGAGATATACCATATCAGATTATGTACACAAACTGATAACAATACAAAAAATACATGGCTGTAGCTTGCTACCATTAGCTCGTGCCAAATAGAAGTCAATTTAAAAAATAATGTGATATTTATTAAATGAAACTATTTTACGAACTTATTATTTTCATTTTATTTGACAATGTTTAGAATACTTTGTATTACTATTCACTGCTTAATGCAGCAAAGTATTCTAAGGTAGGGAATTAAAATTAAAATTGAACATGGTATAAATAATTCCTTTTGTTTTTTAATAATAAGTAGTGCTCCCATATGATATAGAAGAAATTAATACTCTATAGTTTCAAGACAATCGTGGACAAATGTTCATTTATAAAAAATGACATTGTTACATAGATACGCCAATATAGATAAAATACACTCTAATATGACACGTGCGTGTTTGCTTTTGAACTTTTTAGACAAATGTACTATTTTTACCAAAATTAATTTAGAATTTAACTGTGCTAGGGTCACGCAACACCTTCGCGTAAGTGTTATACTTCTGCGCACATCTATAATCTACCTTTCCTTATTCAACGTTGCACCTTTCTCTATCGCATTGGTAAGGGGACGTAAACGCCATCTTCCTTGACCCCCAGAGCCAGTAAATGCAGTGCTAATAAGCGGCAAGCCTACCGGCTCCTAGCGGTGGACCCGTTCTGTGGCTTACGTTTCGGCCGCGGCGGGTAGCGAGAGCGGCGTATCACAATACTGACACCCCTCTACCCCCGCGGCTGCACCTCGTTTGCAGAGGATAGGGAGGATAAAACTTCTATTTTACTATTTATTGGTACAATTTAACTACTGTCTACTACGGTCTACTGATTAATAGGCCAATTGAAAGTTGGTGAGAACTAGTCAAGTAAAAGAAACGATTCTGGTTTGCATTCTAATTCTACATTGGCAGTTGCAGATTTTTTTTTGGACCAGATTCGTTAGAGAAGACTTTTCAAAGAGAATTTTCAATTTTTATGACATCGTATCTATGAAAGCTCAAACAAACCAATTAATAAAACCGGCCAAGTGCGAGTCGGACTTGTGCACAAAGGGTTCCATAATCTATAAAAACAGCAAAACTTCATGTCTGTTGTATGGGAGCCCCACTTAAATATTTTTTATTCTTATTTTAGTGTTTGTTGTTATAGCGACAACAGAAATACATCATCTGTGAAAATTTCAAAACTATCATGGTTCATGAATTTCAGCCTGGTGACAGATAGACGGACGGCGTAGCTTAGTAATAGGGTCCTAAACCTAGGGAAACCTAAAAAATTAGTATTTTTTATGTGAGAAGGTGTCGCGAGCTGGCGCTTCACCTCCCATTGACATTTGCAACATCAAGTAGTTTGCAGATGCGTTGCCAACTTTTGATAAAGTGGGCCTGTTGCGTGGCCCACTTGACAGATTACTGGCAGAAACATCTACTTTGAATAATCCTAGTAATATACTTTGTTACCGGTGGTCATGGGTCCGATTCCCACACGAAACAACTGTTTGTGTGACCTACAGTTAGTTGTTTCCGATCTGGGTGTTTGTCCACATGACATTAATGTAATTACAACGTCCTCAATAACAACTTAATAAAAAGAAATTAACGATATTTGTCAGAAAAAGGAACTAAAATAAAAAAAATGTTTCAATAGCTTAATAATTCAAAAATACTGTAGCCTCTTAATAACAATAATAGTACATTATTTTGCTATAAAAATAAGCAATAAAATAGGAACACTTACATCAAAAACAAAAGGAAATTTATATTTTTTGTTATACACATTATGTTTCTAATAATGTGCTATCCCATTTTCTCTAAGTTATTATAAGTATTTATTGATATATGTATATTAAGGATAATTCTCAAAATCTGTTAAAATACGTGAGAAGACTAAGCAACACTCTACTAACAAATTAGTCTTTGCCCTTCTGAATTCGCTACGTGTGTAGAACATTTCAAGCAGGCAATTTTCATGTAAGGATAAATAAATTTGCCCTGACTTACTCACAACGTAAATTGCTCTGAGCTGGATTTAATAGTTTTGATATTTATTCCCCATCTATTGAGAATTTGTAAAATTACTAAAATGTGTTACCTGTAGAAGTCCATTCTGAATATGTATAACTTAAAAAATAATGAGCATATCTTATAGGGCAAGAGGAAATCTTATAATTAGCATGTTAAAACTGCGAGAGATGGAAGAAAACTCAAATAGAAAGTAACCTATCATAACTTACGAGAGATCACTAATTCTTCGCCGAATTTACTGGGTTTTTAGAACCTAACGTGTTAGTTTGGTGAAACTTTGTGTAAACCAAAAAATCTTAACCATAGTTAAACGCACGCATGAGCACATGCGCGGCCCTACCCACAGCGGAGGGCCCAAACCCGTGGGTTCTGGCTAGCCCACCGGTTCTGCGTCAGATGAAGCTTTAATAGTCTCGGGACTGAAAGCAAAATTATCACTTAATACAAGATGAAGAAAAATCTCAATAAATTTAAATAAATATAATTAAAAAAAACGAACATAACGGACATTGACTTCTAATTAAATATTTTAATGAATCACAACAATTAGTCCTCGCTAATTAAACAAAAACTGCAGTTGCTATTGGTAAAATACATTTGAACTGCTTATTAAAAACTTCTCACGATAAAGAAATCTAAAGTAAAATAACTTTTCATTTCATATAATATCAAAACAACAAAGCCGACTGTAAATATCATGTATGAACCGAAGTAAAAATAAATTTCAACGATAAACCAAGTGTGCAATGTACTGCATGACTGAAAAGATATAATTGAGTAAAATATATTTTTAATACTTATTAAGGACTACAATGATCGTAAATATTATTTCCAGGTATTATTATTACCCGTTGCAATTTTATTTTATTAATTTAATATCTGCTCTTATATTAATCAACATTCTCTATTATTCATTTAAAAAAATTAAAATACATAACCTTTATTGTTTTTGACAGGAAAAATGGATACTTGATATTATCTGCGTACGAATATTATATACGAATAGTGGCTCGACCACTGAAGTACCAAGGATTCACAAAAGACAAGCGTGAATAAAAATATGTTAATATATATTATAGCAACACAGGAGTTACAAATACTCCTCTGGTGTTGCGAGTATCCATAGGTGGCGGTGAACACTTACGATCATGTGGCAGGTGGTTTGCCTTCCCCTCCGGGTTCCCGCCTTGACGTGGCAGAGGGGCTTAATAGCCACGGCGAAGCTAAGAGGAACCCACACTGAGCCGGCCAAAAAAAAGAAGATGGTTCGCCTAATCTTCCATTAAAAAAAATTCGCGTTTCATCCAGCAAACCAGCCTTAACTCACAATGGTCGGCAACACGTCCATAGCATCTCTAGTGTTGTAAACCTCTACGCGGTTCAGTTTTAACGTTTAACGTTTTTTAAGACTTAATAATAATAATAATAAAATATTTATTTCTCACCACAACTAATAGCTTAACATAATATAAATTATTTGTTTACACTTTTCGTTCCACTTCAAAGGATATTCAATGGCCATTAAATATGGCATCATAGTATTTTTCAACATATCCCGTTGGAATAATTGCTTTTAAAGTCGGGTTGTTTTTTTTTTTTTTCAAATTTACATCCCACATTATTTATGCGCGTGGCTGTTTAAAAAGGTTAACTGTCGACGATAGCCGCCGTATCCGATAATTAATAAAAGTACCTGTATGACTATGATGCAATAAACAACTGCTATTACTAAGATAAACAATAGACATTATTAATAAGAACGGGGGGCATGTTGCAATGTTCTTACAGAATGCGAAGGTTTTGAAAGCGGCTCGACAACTTATGAAATCCCTAGATTTTGTATGTTCTTGTAGATTCACGGTTTGATAATGTTGGACCGCCCTTTAACTTAGTTTGTTTTATTAAGCAAGAAAGAAGTTTTTTTATTAAGCAATTTAGAGTTAATTATACTGTCTTTGGACTCAAACAGGCTGAAATGATGATGATGATGATGATACTGTCCTTTAGGTTTTGTATGTACACCTAATAATAAGTATAAATGCGTATCGTTAGATTAACTCGTAAATAAAAGTACGCTGAATATTTCCCATAATTCAAAAAGAATTTGTAAAGGCCCTTCATGGATTCAATGCCAAAATATATACTCGTACTTTGTTTTTTGTCTTAACATTCAAAAACAATCGTATCACATCATATATTATAATATTTTGTTTTGCTGTCGCTACAAACGTAACAACTGTAATAGACGACCTAGTCACAAGCCCGGGGTAGGGTTAGACGGATTTGGTCGAACCATGTGACAAGGGACTATAAAAGCTCAACTCGGCAGACCCATTGCACATTCGCTTCCATATCTCCCTTTTTCACTTCATCTAACCAACCACCACCAACCCCCAAAATGTACAAGCTGGTAAGAAACCATTTCATGTTTTATTAACTTTATTAATTCCTAATGTTCAATTTGACACCATGTAATGTTTTTATTACATATTCGCTAAACTTTTATACACCCCAAAAATGACCCACGTCTTTTAAAATTTTGTTTTCAGTAATCTCAGTGAAATTTTGACAGCATTAGTTATACATGGTATAATACATAGTATACTATAGTACACTACCCCTCTAAGATTATCGATTATATGATATCTATTAGATAATACGCTTTTTTGATAATTTTCCTTTGTATTCTTTAAATCTAAGTTATAGCAATATTTTAAATAGAGCTACAATTTACAAATATATATGTTTATTACTTAAAGTTACTTGGATATTTAAATGTTAGTAAATTCATAGCAGATTTTTATGAATTAAGACTATCGTGTATCATTATTAAATATGACAATAGACTCACTACCATTATTTAAATTATGGATAATTTTCTCTCGCAAGATATCTCTCTAAGTTTCTCAATAGATGTGCGAAATCATTTATTATACTGTAAAATATATAAGATAGCTAATTGTAGTCAATGTAACGCGTTAAATTTCTTCCTTTCAGAGGCGCTTTTTGTCAGCTTGACATTCTGGTAAACGGCAAGTGACAACGACCCACCGAGGTCGATTTTCCGTCGCAATCCGGTAGTCGATCTATAACTTTTTTGCCCAGTTCGAGCCTTAAATAATTCGATTTGATAATGATAACACAGAAAAAGTCTGAGATCATTTGTAGTTGGCGGTCTACGTAGTTCAAGGTTGCTTTTGAAATATGTAGAAGTGCTAAATTAAACGTATACCTATGTATTTATAAAGCGCTCGTTTATAATTCATAAAAATAGGTGATGTATGCTGAAACCGAGATTTGGTGACCTATCTCGTGCTCAACGATAAATCTACACATAGTGGCAGAGAGCTGCACGTTTTCAAAGTAATACCAAAAAAACATGTTATAACTCTGCCTATCCGCGGTGGGCTCGCATGGTAGACTATACCGTAATACACTCGGTACAGTAGAGAACTTGGATCAGCTGACATATAGACTGTTAGTTTACTATACTTAACTATATACTATGTATGTATGTATATGGTAATACTACATTTTCTGAACGCTCTTAAAGCAAACATTAGAAAAAGTCACTATGCAGGTCAAATGGTTTAAAAACCGTCGTACCTTGCTACTATTACAAAGCACATTATAACACTTAATAAATTCCTTAAAGATATAAGTTAAAGCCTAATATTTTATCAATTTCATTTTCTAACAATCTTAATTGTTGTTATGTTTATAATAATCTGAGAACATTTTAACTAAATTACTCAAAATCTCTCATCATCTCACATCATTCTCTTTCGTTTAATATTAATAACAAAGCTACAGAAAATTCTAATACAGGATTAATTAACGCGACATTGCCTTAAGTACAAAATTAAATAAAACTTAGAATATAAGTCTTTATAACGCATCTTGTGTCTTTATAACGCATATGTCTTTCTAACGCATCTGCGCGGGTTGCAGCTATCATTTCGTATAAGGTGAACCACCAGCTCGTTTACCACACAAAAAAAAAATTAGATTGTGGTTAAAGCGAATGGCGTATTATAAATACGTGATTTGTTTAAAGTGATCGTTAGAACGTTACATTGTTATAGTAATAGTCACTATTAGTGCAAAATAATGCTTATATAAACTTCGATTGTATAAATGTTTCTTTAAAACAAGTTCAACGACGTTCAAAGTCGAGCGATCTAGGGTCTAGTGTACTCAGACGTCAATAGATAACACATTGTGGCATGTTCTTGTTTTAACGAACTAACTGACCGGTATTATTCTCGGATCAAGATAAAATGGGTTTGATATATGTTCGCTTGGATCGGTTTAGTCCCACGCAAGGAAATACTCAACGTCTTTAAAGGACAGACGGGGATATTTGAAATTTATCTACTCGTTAAACAACCTCTTACCGCAGTCATAAAGCTTAAATGCCTTACCACTTACTGGAGTAGGCTTTATACAGGTATTTTATGACGTTTATGTTTGATTTACTTATAACTTGCCTTATTTAAGAGTGAATTACTTATTTTTTTTTATTATTTTATATATGTTTATTTCGTTTCTGTGTAAATTAGATAATTGAGCTTGCGATTTATATTTTTATTGCTAATGAATTTGTGCTGTTCACGCTTTCTTATATTTTTTTTTTTTAATTATTTGTGTTTTAACGCATTTTGTTGTTTCATTTGTTCCAATTTTAACATATCTTTGTGGCACATAGGTATGCGGTATAATGTAGATATATATTTCATATCATTTTGATACAGGCATTTTGGTTTGTCCAAAGGAGAGGAAATTTTTAATTTTTAATTTTAACTATTTAGTAAAAGATAACCGGTGTCACCATTTTAAAGATAGGAACACAATTTTTGACGACTCAATTCACATAGTGGATAGTGAAATTGTCTTTTGCGCCAGATGGTGTTTTTTCCAACCCCACGATTGAAAAAATGTTTATGATGAACATGATGTTTCTCTAGTGTATTTGTGTTTATATATCTATAATTTGTATTTATTTCCAAAAAAAAAACAAGTATTTTTATCAGTTAACTAGGACCTAAAGTTGTGTAAAAATATGTCATGAAATATTTATTTATTATTCAATCACAACCAGAGTTATCAACAATAGCTTTCCATCTTCTTGTTTAATAAGTATATTTACTAGGGTTCTATAAGATTTTTTTTATTCCGAAGGTTGTATTCACCGCTCTCCTCGCTGTAGTCGCGGCCGCACCTGGGCTCTATGGCGGTATTGCCGCTGCACCCCTGGCGGCCCCCTGGGGCCACGGCGTCGTTGGAGCTCCTCTGATTAGCACTGGAGTCGTCAAGACCGCCGTCCCCGTTGCCACATCTTACGCCAACACCGTGAGAGTAAGTAATACTCGAGAAGTAAACATTGTTTGATATCTTCATGCGGCTACTGTACACGTGTACGCCGTCATAAATTTTTAGATTTTTTCAAGAAATGTGTCAAAAAATATGATGTGGATGTTAATATTGTCAGTTATCAACGAAAGAATGTCTCACGAAATGATATGATCTTATTAGTTAGCTATAAATTGTTATTTGCAAATATCAGAATTATCTGGGCAGATTATATAAAAATAAATCAATATTCCGCAATTTTTACATAATAGTGCGATATTGAGAAGGAAGTTTCCCGTTTAACAGTTATTTTGTTATCAGCCTAAATGGCTTGGCAATTTAAGCATTACAGTTTACTAATCAGGCAGCCATATAGTAATAACTACGATCAAACATATCGCACTATTGGGCTGTAAATCATCATCATCCTTCTGACCTTATCCCGCCTGGGTGGGGTCGGCACAACGTGTGAATCATATTGTAGGCTATCTTTTTACGACGGGCCGCCTGCTTGACGTCATTCCTTCTTGGGAAACGAACACCCAGATCCGGGACAATTAATTGTGGGTCACACAAATGCTTGTCCCGTTTGAGAATCGAACCCACGACCCTCGACGCCAAAGCCAATAAAATATTTCTACTTGACACCGCAGCGTGTAAAATTGCATATGCTCTTAATATAATTCATAACAATTTACTTCAATAATTGGTAGTTAATTTAAACCGGTTTAAGTTTTAGTACCCTTCATATGCCAAGAAATTTGCTCGCTTAAAATAGCCTCGTCAATTGCGACGGCATGTGTTATCTATTGTTTGCGAAGCAGGTCAGGTTGTATAAGGTTTTATATGCTGCTTTCCAGATCGCGACTCCCGCTGTGGTCGCTGCGCATGCACCTATCGTAGCTGCCCATGCACCGATAGTAGCCGCCCCTGCTCCCATTCTCGCCGGGCCCGCCCTCGCCCACGGGTGGTAATCTGCCAGCAACCCAACTCGGCTTCCACCATCCCAAGCCGACCAATATGCAACAGTCAACTTCATCTAAATCCTATTTAACGCTGTAGTATTAAGAATATTTAATACGGAATCGGAGCGGAATTGATGCTCGCATCTCAGTTGGAAAACACAGAAGTTTGGTATCGTAATAAAAGGCAATAAATTATATCATTTTTTTCGTTTTTTCGCCGTGTTTATATCCAAACGACTACAAAATGGACAGTTGGTAAACATTAATAACACTCCCCTCGTCTCGGTCCAAGAACAATCACAATGATAACAACAATCTCTTGATATTTAAAAATTAATGACACTTGTATTTCATCGGCCTTTACGTTTTCTCAGTTTTATGCTCTGTAAAGACGTTTATAGATCGATGAGAGTTCAATCGTATAGTATAATGCGTCGGAAGTATGGACATTTAATGAGCATGGGTACGGCGTATCCTGATTACGAATGTCAAACAGATTTTTGACTGTCAGAAGAAGTGGAAAATATCGCCCACTCGTTAATGGAAGATTTATCGAAACAATTATCTGGTATACGAATCCACGACATCAGTTCGAAAGTGGACTTCGCTGCTTCATTGACTTTACCTTTAATAAAAGAAATTATTTGAATTAGCTGCTCATCACAAAAGAATGAGTAAAACTCTTAAACGTTTATTCATTATAATACTAGTTGTATTATAAATGTGTCACTGCATTAGTTATCAGATCACGTAAGCAACACCAACTTTCATTCCGATCAACAAAGAACATTGAAAAACAACCACCTATTGTTATAGGTACGCACTATCTCGTAGAATACAAAAACCTTTATATAAATGTATTATTGGCTGTTATTCAGTTAGGCCAGTCACTTAGTAAAGCATTTAAAATTCGAATTAAAAAAAATATTAACACCGTATGTAACAGATGTAAACATAAAAATTTCTCTAGCTTAGCTTATTTGTGTTACTTAATTTGTTTTTATAAAGTTACAAAAGTTACGTCTAACCAAGAAAGTTTCCTGTAATAAAAATGACTAAAAGGTTATAAATGCAAAATCTTTACATAAACTTAATTCCACTAGCAAGATTTTAAAACGAAATTGGACAAAAATAATATAGACGGTTTAATCAAGGGCTACACGCCCCAGGCTTCATGGATATATTGCATTGCTCAATTGTTCATATAAAAAGAGTCATAAAATACATAGTAATCTGCCGCAAATTCCGAAAAAGGAACAATCGAATTCCGAAAGAAGCGTTTTTGAGTATGGTGATAAATTACAATGGGTGTGTATTCGGAGCACATCCATGCTGGGTCCTTGACAATGCATCGATAATTCATCGCAGAAGTAACCACCATCTCTCACTTAATTATCTGCCGCCGACACAATAAATAACTCGGTAAACAATCGACTCCATAAAAGGACACTTATTCCGCATGCCTCTCACTACTTCATATTGTTATTGCTACATATATGTAGAGAGTAGCTTGTAACGCTTGGTTACGCTTAAATAAAATTGATTGAAAACTGTAATAGGTTGTACTTTGAAGTACACACAAAAAGCGTATGTCTATGTTACAAATTTTTAAATAGAAATTACCAGAAATCTTGAATAAATTTTCATTTTTTTAATTAATTCTTATCTCTAAATTTGATTTTGAAACATATTCCGTATGAATACTTATAAAAAAAAATATTTAAATTACATACTTAGCAAACTGTGAATAAAGTAGTTTTTAGGATACAACAGAATTATTTAATATGTTTAAGCAAGATTCAATTACGGTGTCGGTATCTCGGTTTCGGCTTAAAAACCTGTGTGGTGAAAAACTAATAATAATTAGAGAACAGTCTACTTTAAATTAATAATAAATGTGTCGATTAAATGCAGAAACGTTACACACTTTTTGTTTCTATAACAAAATGTCTAATCAATTTTAAAGAATTGTTTATACTATTTTAGATTTAATTAATAAATGCTTCCAACAATTTGTTGTAACCACTCTATAAAGATTGATACTTCGATTGGGCGTCGTCCGGCATGTACGCCCATTCGTCCGGCAGCGAAGCAAGAAAGCAAAATCAAGGTCGATCTGCATAAACTTTAACATTTCGATTAATAGAGTAAAGTAAAAAAATATATATCTCCGTGTTAACAGCTCATATGACGATACTTACAGCGCCAACTGAAGTGTTTCGACATTTAACATTTTGTTTTCGCATAATTCAAAAGTAATGTATCTAATGACATAGTCAAATAATAAATTGGGCGGGAAAAAATACGCATACACAATTTATTACGTTCTCCGTAAGTATCTTCACGATCTTTTAAATTTTATTTTAGTTCTAATTACTGCAGTAAAAATTAAAAGTCCCTTCGGATTTATCGATCTAACAAACTTAGTGAAAAAATTATATAAATTACAATAAACAGATAATTTTAGTATAGAATAGGTAAAGCGAGTAGGTGATTCACCTGATGTTAAGTGACTACGCCGCTCATAGACATGTACAACACCCGGCTTGCAGGTACATTTACAACATTTTTTTTAACATTGCCCTTAGGACAAAACTTTAGGACAACATTATCAGTTCTTGTAAGGACGTTTTACAAACATAAATTTCACGCGGGCCACCAACCAGATGTGAAACAACTATCTATGGATAATAGCTGTTCAGTGTGCGAATCGAACCCACGACCGTCAACGCTGAAGCCAATACTTTGGCAACTGTGCCACTCATTTAAAAAAGTGGGCCCCTCATACACGAGACGAAACACGAAACGAAACACGAAAGTTTAATACTTATTCTATGAGACCGTGGTAGTTCCCCGGACGTGCCTGCTCATTCGTGCAACAGCAGAAGCCGTTTCGCGAACAGTAATTCTGATCGATTGAAACATTTAAAGGCAGAAGAAAGCAGCGAAAACTTTTAATAGTTATCAATCAATTAATTTCCAAAACGACATGCATGATGAATCGGTACATTGTTTTTTTTAGTTTGGTAGTTTTTTAACATTCAGTAAAAGCTTAAAGCAAGGCTATTTTAAATAAAGAAATTTTAACTTTGGCTTTAGTGTCTCTTTCTTTAATAATTATCTAAAAATGAAGTGCGAATTAATCCTTAATAATTGATTTAAACATTAAACAATTTAATGACCTTTGGAATTCTGCTTGGGCCGAAACATAAAGTAATATAAAAAAAAACCTTAAAATTGCATTGTCTATATCATATTTATTGTAATTACATGTTATATAATCATTTGTTTTGCTGTATTTTCCTACAAACACAAAACAAAATTACACGGCAAAGTTACACAGCTACATATGTTTACATTTTTATCCTCTGTTTTTAACGCGTTGTCAAATATGTGTTTACGAAAAATAAGATTTCCTTTATTTTCCATTAAACTCGTTGAACTTGACTTTTATTCGACAAAACCAAGTGTATAAAAATCAATTGTAGATGAGTACCATCATCAGTTGATTCGTTTACGTTTTGTGGTACACATCTGAAATGACACAGACCACGATGATATTGCTGGTGGTGTTGTTCTCAGTAGTATCACTTGCAACCAGTGAGCCTTCGGTTTTACACGGTGCTCTAAAGTACTCAGTGCCGTCTCCAGCTGGATATATATCACAGTCACGCGTTGATGTACAGTCGTCACCGTTATTAACTACAGCTGAATATGCTCCACTATCACGCACTTTTATTGGTGCACCAGCATACGCTGCAGCGCTACCTGGGGTAAGCGGTCAAGCTGCCTTCACTCAAGAATCTCGAATAGACATCAAATCTTCACCTGGTTTAGCAAGGACAATAGCCACTTCACCGTTTAATTATGCTGCACCAACTGGATTTTCTGTGGCGGGTCCCAATGGTTTTATTTCTCAACAATCTCGTGTGGACATCAAGAGTGCACCGGCTGTTGTAAACACCATTGCTGAAGCACCTGTAACCTACAGTGCTTCAATTGCTGCTCCTGCTGCTGTTGCTTCACCCGTAGCGTCTTCGTATCAAACAAGCTTCGGAATAAAATCTTCTCCAGCTGTTGTAAGCCGATACGATTCACCAGTGGCCTACGGTTCATCTTATGGAGCATCATCTATTACTGCACCTGCAACCATCTCAGCACCCGCAGCGTCTTCTTATCAATCCCGTGTTGATATTAAAACATCCCCCACTACTGTTAACGCGTATCAAACCGGTCCCTATTCTTATGGGGCACAAACTTTTGCAGCAGCACCTGGGCCAATTGCAGCTCCTGTGGCAACTTCATATCAATCCCGTGTCGATGTTAAAACAACACCAACTGTTATTAACTCTATAAAAAGCGCACCAATTGCTTATAGTGCACCAATTTCTGGAGCGATTGCCTCACCTGCATTATCGTCTGTTCAATCTCGCGTAGAAGTTAACAATTTAAAAGCAGGCCCCGTTGTTTACAAAACATCTTATGCCACTCCAGCAGCATCGTCGTATCAAACAAGATTGGATATAAAATCTTCGCCTGCAGTCGTAAGCCGATTCGTAACTGCACCAGTGGCATACGGTGCATCTTATGCAGCTCCAGCCATAACTGCTCCCGTAGCCATTTCAGCCATCTCAGCACCGGCAGCGTCTTCTTATCAATCCCGTGTTGATTTTAAAACAGCCAATACTGTTAATGCATATCCAACTGGCCCCTATTCTTATGGAGCTCAAACCTTCGCAGCAGCGACTGCGCCAATTGCAGCTCCTGTGGCATCTTCTTATCAATCCCGTGTTGACATCAAAACAGCTCCTACTCTTTCAAACACATATCAATATGGTTCCTATGCCTACGGCGCACCAAATCTTGCAGTGGCACCTGCGGCCGTTGCAACTCCATTAGCATCTTCATACCAATCCCGTGTTGATGTGAAAACAAAACCAGGCATTATTAGCGCAGTAGAAACCGCACCCATATCTTATAGTGCCCCGGCTGCATCCTCTTACCAATCTCGCGTGGAAGTTAAGTCATCACCAACCGTCGTTAGCAATATTAATACTGGGCCTGTGGCCTATTCATCATCTTATGTCGCTCCAGCTTCAATCGCTGCACCAGCTGCTGTCGTAGGACAAGCAGCAGCATATCAAACCCGAGTAGAATACAAATCATCGCCTGGTCTTGTCAGTACCGTCGCAGCGGCTCCCGTAGCTTACAATGCAGCAATTACTGCACCAGCCGCCATCGGAACACAAGCTTCCTTCTCACGAGAGTCACGCATTGATTGTTGTTCTCCTGCTATTAGGACCACAGCTGTTGCACCCGTTGCATATGGAATAACGGCGCACAGAACACCTATTACCGCATACGACAACGGTTTTGTAGGTCAACAAGCAATAGTCAGAAGTTTGGAGCGTACCGCAGTAACTGGATCCACTTTCGATAATCCTGCAATTTCCTTACCACGTGTACCACTTGACACACCTGAAGTTGCCGCTGCTCGTGCTGCACACTTTGAAGCGAAGGCTTTGGCTGAACGACAAATTATTCGCAAACGTTGAGAATCATCATTCAACGACCAACACGCATCCATTCAGAAGCAATGTACGTTCCGTTTAAAAAGAAACAATAGTTGAGAGAAAATTTGTAAATATTACGATAAATTACAATCCAATTGTAGACTTTAAAAAAATACATGTTAACTATTTTATAACATTTCTTTTTTTAATTTCATGTCCATGCTTATACAAAAGGTACCTTGTTTTATGATGATATAATATTGGGAGAAAGAAAACTGGAACATCGTATTCAGTTTAATATATCATTATACAAGCTATTACCCGCGGCTTCGCCCGCGAGGCCAAAAGGAATTAACAATGAGTTTTTTATTATACACCAGAACATCGTGCATGTGGCTGAATTTTTTCCTACTTTGATGACACTTATCATTACCTATATTTTGGACAATTCACACAATATAAATTATAGCCTATGTTTTATTCTGATGAATAAGCTATATTATTGTGAAGTTTCATTAAAATCCATTCAGTAGTATTTGCGTGAAAGAGTAACAAACATCCATCCATACATACAAACTTTCGCCTTTACAATATTAGTAAGAATTATAGTAATAGTAATGGTAATAGTAAAGTAATTGGTAAGAATCATTTGTGACTATTTATGCCCTAGCGATTAAAGACAATGACAACATAAAAAAATAAATTTTTAATGTTTAAAACACAATCCATTTCCATTAAACTTTCGGTAGCTGTTTTGCACCCCAGTGATGATCAATTAAATATTGTACTTGTGCGGTGACTGGCACACTACCTTTTTTGAATGACATATATTATTATCGCCATTGCTAAGCCATCGGCGTCGGGGATCGTGGGTTCGATTCAGTCAAGTAACTTACAAGTAATTGTGTGACCCACAGATAATTGTTCCTAATCTGGATGTCTGTTTCCCAAGGAGGGTTAACGGCGTGTTAACGGCGGCGACTGATCGTAAAAGCATAGCCAAAACCGCTTGCAACATGATTCACATTCACAGTGTGGCCGACAACACCTAGGTGGGTAAGGGCAGACAGATGATGATGAAGATGATATTATCTAATAGAAAATAACAGTTATATATGACCGTATAACGTACTATCTGAGTCATTACGCACTTTCGCCTAAAAGTACCTTACTTAAATACATATTTTGGCTGCATAAGCGAGCAATGATTACAATTAACAATATGCTAAACCTAGAACATTTTGATGCTTACGTCTTACAAGTTGAATACAGCTGAGTAGTGAATTTAAAATTGATTTCGATTAAGTTATCAATTTCGAAGAGTATTTATCCATCATAGTATTAAATTAAGGTTTTTAAGAATATATGATTAACTTATAAAACAAAACCATTCAAAATATTTTTACGTAGGTATATAATATAATGTTAAAATATATTATATATATATATATATATAATTAGGTACTTTTATGATATCAAAACGTTTCTGGACGTTACTTTTTTTTAGATTGAGCGTCTGCCAAATATTAATATATTATACTTATTTTACGAAGTAAATTGTGACAAAATAAATTAACACAAAATATTAGTCTCATGTTATAAATAGCACAAAAAAATGTATGTAGGAGTAAAAGGCGTTAATATCGTTTCATCGTTTTATTTCGTTTAAGTACAAACAGGTTCAGTCGTTCCTTGTATCTGAGTCAGGTTTTCGTTCTTTTATATCGATGACATTTACCAAGGAATGCCGTAGGCCCTTGCAGTGTAAGTAATCGGAGCAGCAGCGTAAGTCGAAATAATGGGAGCAGAAGCATAGGTTTCGATGACGGCAGGAGACGATTTAATGTCAACACGAGATTGGTAAGATGACGCTGCTGGTGCCAAGGGTACGGCGGCTAGCAGAGCTGACCGCTTACGAATCAGATGACCTTCAGCAAGGGCTTTAGCCTGAAAGTGTGCAGCACGCGCAGCAGCAACTTCCGGGGTCTCAAAAGTAGTTCTAACTAATGCAGGAGAGGTGATGGCTGTGGCAAATGGGGCACCGTATGCGCCTGTTGTAATAGGAGCAGCGTACCCGACAGGGGTAGCGGCAACAGTACTGACTATCGCTGGAGCCGATTTAACATCAACGCGGGATGTGTAGGATGATGCGGCGGGGGCGACGATGCTAGCTGGAGCTGCAATTGCTGCGGGTGCTGCGAAAGCAGCAATAGGGGCTGCAGAGTACGTGCTGACCACGGCAGGAGATGACTTGACGTCTACCCGTGACTGGTAAGATGACGCCGCTGGTGCAGCAAAAGCAGCAGGGGCAGAGTAAACTGCGGGTGTGGCAGCTACAGCTGGAGCCGCATAGGCCGTTCTTGCAACAATAGCAGGAGCAGCTACAGGTGCAGCAGCATAGGTGCTAACAACAGCTGGTGATGATTTAATATCTACTCGTGATTGATACGACGTCGCAGCAGGGGCAGAAAGTGCTATCGGTGCAGAAACTGCAGCGGGTGCAGAAATTGCAACCGGGGCAGCAGCATATGTACTAACAATGGTAGGTGATGTCTTGACATCTACACGTGACTGATATGAAGTCGCAGCAGGTGCAGCAATAGCAGCGGGCGCCGAAACAGCGACTGGTGCAGAAATAACGGCTGGGGACGCAGCATATGTGCTAACAACAGCAGGTGATGACTTGATATCTACGCGAGACTGTTGGGAAATCGCAGTAGGAGCCGAGAAGGCCACTGGAGCGGCAAATGCTGGTTCGGCAACATATGTACGGGTAATCGGAGCAACGGCAGCTGATGTTATAATCGATGGCGACGAATGAACGTCTACACGAGATTCTGAGGTGACAGATGACGACGATGCCGCGTTCTGTAGAAGCCACGACGGCTTTGCCATGGCCACGGCTATCAGAGAAAATAACACCACCAGCGAATTCATCGTGGTCTGTGTTAGCTCAGATGTGAACGACAGAATGTAAAATTATTAACTGATACTTTCTTCTGGCTTGCATATGCTATTTATACCGCCCAAGAAACAACTGAAATAAAAGTCAAGTTCAACAAGTTCTGTTTCTCATCGAATCTTTAAAACTAAAGGTTTGCCGATATCACATTTGTATTCATATATACCTAAGATTTATTTTCATAATTATAGTCAAACAGCTTTAATATAAAAAAACCTTACTTGCACTGTTGTCACATAGAGGTTCATCCATTAACTCATAAATTAATTTAAATTGAAACCGAAATATTCAAAATATTACATATAAACAAATGCCTTGTTTAATTTTGTATTTCATATTATTTTTAATTTAATTTTATATATTTATGAAAGAAGTTTCTATAAAAGAAGGTTCTTTCCCTTCAAATACTAAGTGAGCCACAAATACTAACTTCAGATACTAAGTGAGCTATTAAAGTAACTTATATTTTTTTAATTCAAACTTTATTCTCTGTGGTCATTCAAAAATCACACGATCTGCCACAATTGAGTTAGGTTGAAATGGTTTATTTAATTTAAATTAATTAAAATTCATCAAATGAGACATTTATAAAATGTCGTAAATATAGTATACGATTCGACACTTGTCAATGATTAATAATATAAAAAATATTAATAACCTACTTCCAACATTAGTAACAGCATCCGCGTAGTCTGACATTTTATACAAACAGCGTCTATTTGGTTAGCATGACACTGTCGTGTGACAACCCGACAGATTATCAACATTCCATGTGAATTTTTGAAGGTTGAATTTTTTGTCATGCGTTAGCCAAGAAAACTGGTATATAAAGCATCCTACTCTACGTCGGGCATCACTCGATCTAATTCGTTCAAACAGACTATACAACACAGACCAAAATGTTTAAACTGGTGGTGTTGTGCTCTCTGCTGGCAGCGTCTGCCGCCAAGCCGGGATATTTGGCACCCCTGGCGTACAGCACTGTGCCTGTTGCCAGCTCTCTGTCTGAATACAGCACCAGCGTGGTTCACGGAACGCCACTGTACACAGCAGGCGTCTACAGTGCACCATACGTTGTACCCGTCGCCGCTTTGTCTCAAGCCCCTAACTCTCCGGCTGTGGTGCTCGATGCTGTGAACGGCGTGCCCCTGGACACCCCTGAAGTTGTTGCTGCTCGGGCAGCCCACTATCAAGCTAAGGCTTTGTCAGGTCTTCATCACCTCAAGAAACGGTCTCTGGCCCCACTAAGCTACAGCACGGTCGTTTCTCCGGTGACTCACAGTGCTGTGCTCTCTCCTCTTACCTATTCCGCTTCCTATGTCCCAGGATACTCTACAACTGCTTTAGTATCATCCCCCCTAGCCTATTCAGGTGTATTTCCTAAAGCTTACGGCGTTCACCCTTGGTAAATAACATATGAATACATATAAACTCGACAAAACTACGAGATGAACGGACTGCCTGAATAAAACATTAATTTTACACTTGTTTCTGTTCTTTTTTTTTTAAGTATGGTATTGAAATTATATATTTTTACTATTGTAGTTTTTACGACTTTGCAATTAGCTTCTATTGAGCAGAATCCTAAAATGGCAGACACACATGCTTGTTGGCCATAAACTTTAAAGAAAATGGATTCAAATAAGATACTTTTAATACTTTAATAGACATCGCATGTAGTTGATTTTTGCACGCCACATACCGCGAAGCGGTTTAGGTTGTGCTCTACTCTCGACACGACAAGCAATTTTTTGCTCTTTAATTACTTCTATCAAAACCAATTGGCATTTATACGATAATGTGAGTAGATGTATTTCACGAAAATAGTTTAAATATTATATCTAAAAAAAAAGTAAAGTAACAGCCTATACTTGTCCCACTGCTGTGCAAAGGCCACCTGTATACAGAGGGTAACAATCAGGGTATTATCATAGTCCACCACGCGGCCCCACTGCGGATTGGCGGACTTCAAATATCTTCGAATTTTTTTTTTATTATTATTTCGAAAACAGGCAGGTTTCCTCAAGATATTTTATTTCACCGCTGAGCACGTGATAATTCAGCACTTAAAATAAACAATTTCATTGGTGCCGGCACCGGGGATCGCACTCAGGTTGCGCGAGTATAATTTAATTAACGGCGAGCGCCCGGACACAGCTATCACATCGGAAATCTTTGACCTCACGGGCAAGTGTTTTCACTTTTAGCATTAGCAAACTCTGCAGACTCATTAAACTGATACCTCGCAAATACGTTGTTCCTACAAACTGATACTTAATACTGAAATTACCGCGCTACCTGAGATTAGTATTTATAATTTACCCATTTCACAATTATGTGGGCTGAACAGCGGTGGATTTACAATAGGGGCAGTCGGGGCAAGTGCCCAGGCCGGCAAATTTTTTAAGGTGGAAAACTGAATAAAAGTTTTTTTGTCTTATCAAGTTTGCTCAATACAATTAACTAATTCTATTAATTAACGATTTTCTGTTTAATTGATTGTTAGAAACAAAAACAAATATTTATTTGTTTTGTTGTATAAATTATAATAAAGTTACTGCAATAAATTAGTTATTTTAATTTTGAAAAATAAAATATATAAACTATAAGCTTAAGTAAATTTCCCGTATTGGGGCAGTTTTTTTTCTAGTGCCCAGGGGCGGCATTAAGTTTAAATCCGGCCCTGGGGGTAAAAATCATATTTAACTAGCAATCTGCCCCGGCTTCGCACGGGTGCAATACATTATACACATAAACCTTCCTGCTGAATCTCTCTATCTAGTAAAACAAACCGCATCAAGATCCGTTGCGTAGTTTTAAAGATCTAAGCATACATAGGAACAGAAAGAGGGACGACTTTATTTTATACTATGTAGTGAAACGCCGAAGATAGATGCTGCCATCAGCTCCTGGTGATTACTAGGGACAATATAAAGTTTTAACTGCCTTATTATATTAAAACTTTAAAACGTGTAGAAAAAGTACGAAAAGATTGTCGCCGCTGTGGGAATCGAACCCACGTCTTCGGCATTCGCGGCGTGGCGCTCTAGCCACTGAGCTTAACGGCTGATAGCCACAGCGACGAAAATCTTAACGCCTTCCTTATTATAAATATAAATTACGGGCAAGTGACTGGCAACAACGTCAGTTATAGTATAAGTTAAATTTTTAAAACTTTCATAACTAACGAAACCATATTAATATCCCATTCACGATACTACCCACTAAAGACTATCCATTAAAACACAGAATAGTCCTTGCAATTTTTATTTCACTCAACACATACATTATAATTGTGAATTATTTTACTTGCATACATATCATTTAATGAACAGTTGTTCAGCTCCTATATTCAGTAATGGGATAAATGGGGGTATACTGAAGCGTAGTGTCCAGCTTCGTAACCACCAATCAAAGGCTTGTGAATAAACGGAGTAGCTGGAACGAAGGACGTCAGCACCGGTTTCACTACTGTTACAACAGGAGCAGCCACGACTGCTGGAGAAGAACGTATGTCCACACGCTGCTGGTGAGAGACTGCCACGGGCACCCCGTGTTCTACTGTTGCAACATGTGGCAAGGGTGCCACATGAGCGATCGGTGCATAGTGCGGAGAACGTTTGTATAAATGATGACTCACTGGTGCAAATCCTCCGTGGCTGAGTAGTGCCGGGGTCGTATGCCCATGATAATAAGAATGTGGCGCCACAATAGCAGAATGCGCCGAATGCACCGAGGGAAGTGGCAGAACTCCAGGTAGCACTGAATACCCGTGGCATAAGGCGAAGCAGAAGAAGAGTAGCCCGAAGCTCAACATTTTCACTAACTCTAGTTGTACCAACAGTCTTCGAACTGAAAGATTTAATCTACTAACGAATTCTTAATGCAAAGCTCCTACTTATACTGAATAGGCTGAATACAATGAATCACAGTGACAGGGACCAACGAGCTAGTAATTGATTCGTTACGCTATTGAACACCGTCAATTTAAGAAAAAACGTCGTGTCCTTCGTTACAAGCTTGAAAATAGACATAGAAAAACCAGAGAACGTTGACATTCAACAATATGGTAAACCACGCGGTATCAAATTTGACAAGTAAATAGACTTTCCCTCTTACTCTTGAAGTGTAAGTTTTTGCTATTTGACTATCTGTAATTTGATAATTTATGGCACACGCATGTTCATCGTTCGTAATTTAAAAGAAAATTTATAATATAAGCTTTGTTGTTTTAGCTACATGGTCCATTATTATTTTATATGATTATAAAATCATTATTTTAACTTTTGGATTCATTCTGATATTAGAACGGTAAAATCGATGCCATTTACTCAGCTAGTGAATTTATCACGTACAATTATATTACAAGGTAGGGCCATGCAGCAGTCTTCGCTGTTTCACGAATGAGCAGGTCAGTTCTGGTAAGGTCAACGACCTCACAGTATAGCGGTTTGAAGTGGAAATGTTATACTTCCGCGTTTCTACTGATGAGTGTGGTCATCGGGGCGCACTTTTTTGAAAGGTGGCAACGTATTTGCAATCCTATGGGTATTGCAAATTTCCATGGGCGGCGGTTATCACTTAGCATCGGGTGAACCACCAGCTCGCTTGCCATCTCTCTATATAAAAATATAACTTATCACCCGCTACATAGCAGTCAAGCTTAAACAGCTCGTTATAAAAATAAACATTTTGTAACCGAAATAAAACATGTTCTGCAACTCAAATCAAAAACAACGTTAAGTAATCGGATGCAATGACGTGAACCCATTAATCTTTATGAATCACGATTGTATTAAACGTGCATCTCAATCAGGCCAGTGCCCTCCTTGACACGCGATGTTGTAACAACGATAGCATGGCCGAGAACTTGAATCCAACGCGTATACGCAACTATTTTAAAACCCGTTACGTGTGTATAAAACTCAAATTTCATAACAGCCATCGTTAATAAGAAAGTGGGCTTTACGATGATTGTTTTGCTCTTTATCTCAGTGATACACCAGGCGTGTAGTTCTCAGCTTATTCCTTTAATATACTCCGCTCCTAGTGCAGTGTCTCATCAATCGAGGATAGATATCAAGCATACATCAGGCTTCTTATCGACACCTATAATATATTATGGCCCAGCAACAGCAGTTCACGCGAATATTACAACAAAAGTCACGGCAACAAGTGACGCTGTGTTATCGTCAGTGCTTCCTCCTAATACATTCCTAGTTCCGATTGCCCTAACATTCTATCATAACTCGCCACTATCGAGAGCGTTAGAGATACCTGTATCGATCGATAAAACACAAAAAGAAGCATCACAGGGAACGATCGCGATGATCATAGAAAACGAAGAGCCGGAAGAAAAAAAGCCTAAGGCGATAGTGATGAAAGACATTAAAACGAAATCATAAAACAGATTGGAGATAAAACATTAGACAAAAAAGTTATTTTGTTAAAGCACAAAACCATACCTAAATTCAGTAAATATTCAATGACTTAGTTAGTACAATTGAAATGTGAACCTTAGAATGTAATCATATCAAATTAAATATGCATGAAATTAAAGAATAGAACAAAAACTAACTTTGTTTTTATTTAAATTTTAAATAGCATTGTTTAAATACAACTGTATTAGTAATTGTAGAAATATGTGATATAGTGAAAAGAACACTTACTGCATTTCTTCGTCAAATAGATATAAATAACAATTGAGTGAGAAAACTTCTTACTTATCAGAGCCAGCAGGAAAAAGGTTCTTAAAATTTGTGTAATTTAAGTACCAAATACGAGTTTTACGCTTCAAATTCATGCAAAAAAAAAACTCCTTGCATAAGAAATATATGTTATTACTCCTCACCGTAAGAAAAGTAGAGAAATTAAATATTCCGATGACCATGCATACCTAAAATTTATTATTTAATGGCTAGATCTAATTTCATGTGTAAAATTTTACAAGAGTTCAATATCAAATGAAATTAGTTCCTAGATCATAACTCAATTTCCGTTCACTTAGGACACGTTATCTCAATCCTATTACTATTATTCTCAATATAGATCGAAGCGGCATAACGCTGAACTTCAAAACTGCACGTTTTTTCTATAAATAAATCGAGAGATTTAAACGTGACATTAAAAAATGTAAACATTAATATATATAAGTCGATATATTCAAAACAGCATAACTTTAGACTTCTGCTTATTTTTACTCAAGTTTAAAAGATTTATAAAAAAGTATAAATTTCAATACGTTTCGTTAAATACTGAAAGAGATTTCCGATCTACATATAACAATCTAAATTCCTCAATATGTTTCTAGTTTTACATTTACTATTTCACCGTATAGCCTACCCTACTTTGGAATTCCTGGCCTAAGGATATACGAAGAGCGCCTAACAGAGCCACGTTTAAAACGACATGTAATAAAAAAGAAAATATAACGATTTATCGTGTAGTAACTGACTTTGACTTGACTTTGAAAAAAACCCCAAATTATACTTCGTGCTACCTTCTACTTAACTGCCAAAATTTTTCTTCATGCAGTTGGTATTTATTCCACCTTTTGTCCTAAGCTAAGGTATTGATAAAAAGATAAATGAATAAATATAGAAAAATTATTAATAAATTGTCTTTAATAAGTACAAAGGTAATATTGCCATTTAGGAAAAAGGGAAAAGAAAAGTTTATTCGATTTGTAAAAAATGACGAAAGTAATATCTATACATATATAAAATTATAAGTAGTACATATAAAAGTGTAACAAAATTGTGTTTAGTCAAAAAATTAAAAAGGTAAAATCTAATATAGAAATACATTTTCAAACATCACAATTATTTGTATGATTACAAAACGTTATATAAACTAGCACTGTTAAAACTTGTAGGAATATTTCAATGATCAGATCATTTCTTGATAAAGTATGGACTGTAAGCAAATGAGGCAGAAGAAATTAGTGGTGTCGAGATTATCGGGGAAGCGGCTGCGTACGTGGGAGTATACCAAGGGGCCGACAAAGTGCTAGGAGCAATATAAGATGTAATTAAGGGTGCGGACCGCTTTTTAATAAAATGAGTAGGTGCTAGGTAGGAGAAAGGGGAAGATAAGATAGGAGCAGTGTTGATATATGAAGTGGAATATGAGGTGCCAAGAGGCGCAGATGTTATGTATAATCTAGCCAAGACAGAGGGAGCAGCGATGAGAGGAGCCGATCTCTTCTTAATTAAATGCGCTGTGGTGTAAACAGGTGCAGCCGATAGGATAGTTGTCGAGTGCACCAAAGGCGCTGTGTATGAGTACGTTGTTACTGGAGCAGCGGCGATGTAGGTCGCTGGTTCTACATAGCTGCTAATGGCCAACGGCACTGACCGTTTCTTCACCAGATGTGCGAAGGGATACACTGAATAGGCCACCGCATCGACAGGTGACGGATGAATGACACTGCTGGCATGTTCAGAGATTGTCGCCTTCGCGGGTTCTAACACTGTCGTTGAGAAAGCCGCTGGTGCGATTAATACGTCTGGTTTGCCCGCAACCACAGCGAGGAAAGCACACAACACCACCAGCTTGAACATTATGGTCTGTGTTGTTCAACGCAGGGAGAACTGATGCTCAAAAGTAAATTGTATGGTATTTATAGAAATTATTCGCAACAGATAAGCGCGATAGAGTTTCGAAAACCGGTGCGAAGACATCGTTCAGGAAGCTGATATTTATGCTGGGCGAGGTCACTAAGACAATCAGCCTATTCTGTTCATCCTTGTCAACCTTTTACCATCTCGTTATCTGAGGTACAGCTGTTGTAAATTTAACATTGGTGGAGGTAATTTGATCATACATGAAAATATTTATCTCGAAAAATAATAAAGAAAAGAACATACACTTATTGCGTCGTAAAGTAAATACCACACCGTTTTCTGGGAGCATTTCTGTATACAAATATAACTTTTATATTTAGGTTTGTGTTTTGAAACGGCTAAATAACCCAAAGCTTAAAGAAGCTTTACTAGCGGTTACAAACTTATCAGCTTAACTTCTACTTCTTGTAAAAATATATACACTTCAGAACAAACAATATGCTGTCTTAAATTTAAAGGAAATATCTTTTGGAAAAGTTGCATAAACAACTTCATATTCTTAAACTTAATATATTGTACAATTGTTAACACGTGCCATTGTCTTGCTCCCAGGTCACTTAAGACACACACATTCCGTGACGTACTTCAATGCTTTGAATAAATTATGACTTTTAAATAAGTTTCCAACCTTCCCACAAAATTTTCGCATTTATGTCATATTACGCCAATAAACGAATTTGCAGCACAAAGAAAGTTACCTGTCATGTATGCTATCTATCAGCTATACTGGTCAATGTTGGTTAAGTTACGCTCAAATTTTTGACACTGAAGGAGAAAATCGTCAATTATTGTTGTTTATATTCTGAATTGTTTTTAATTTTTGTATTGCGAGTGTCATCGCAGCTACAAAAAATATCGGTGAACTAAATCTGGTTCTCTTATCAGCTCAACATAGGATCCAATTATGTTTTATATAAGGTTTAGGATCACTTGCTGTGTATAAAATCACAAATTTTTAAAGATCAATATATTCACCATAAATTTTATTGGAAACCTTTTTGTTTAATTTTCATACTTTTTTATCTATCAGTGTTTTGTGATTTTATACTCAGTAAGTCATCCTAAAGCTTATATAAAACAAACATTGGCTCAGTAATTTAGTACGAAGTTAAATTCTATTTTTGCTGACCTTTTTACCATGTTTATCTTAACAGTGATTCTGAACGAATTTTGGCAGAAATGGTAGTAACGTCTCAATTGGCGGATAACACTACTGCCGGATAACACTACACCCACAGTTAGTGCAACAACAAAAATACTAGTTCGCCCTCGCCTCCGAACACGGCGAGACCAACACAACGCGCACACAAGGTACTCCCGCGTTCCGGGGCGGTTCTCACCGCTCCCAGCCACCGATTAGCTAATTGCACAGTCGACGGCCATCGGGGTTTCGGTCCGAACCGCGACCACGATGGCCATTAGATGACACACCATACTTAAACGCACACATGAGCACATGCGTGGCCACAGCGGAGGGCCCAAACCCGTGGGTTCTGGCTAGCCCACCGGTTCTGCGTCAGTTACTGAAAGCAAAAACATCAGTTAATACAAGATACAAGAACGTCTCAATTTGAGACTAGCAAGCATGATTAATCGATGGTGCTACATATTTGAGTTATTGCATAATATTGTTACGTGTTAGGGGTTCGAAGGATTTGGAGAGAAAGACCTGCTGACTCTTTTGAAGACTTTATTCAATAGCACTAGGTCCAACACGAAGCACTAGGTCCAAACACTAAGCACTAACGATGTCCTGTTTTGTAGCCAAGTCGTAGGTTTCACTGGTATCGCTCTTGATCACTAGTTTTCGCTCCGAAGTCGCCTCGAAGGTAGCTCAAACTGGACTGTCATCGCTCGCCTCCCTGCGGCTTTTTATATGAGCCGAGACCGGTTCCGGAATAATCCAGAAAGATCATTCCTGGAACGTACCCGACACGCACGAACATGTTCGTGATTCCGGAAAGTTCGCGAATGTACCCGGTTTTCGAGACAGCAGTTCCTCTAACGCCATCTAGTGTTGAATAGGGGGTTTTATGTCGTCTTTGTTCTTTAGTGGTTTTGATAGTTGACGCTAGATGGCGTTAGTTCCTTTGTGTGTTCATAACAATATAGTCCGTAGCTCTTGTCTATGTTCTAGTAGCGCTGTCTTTAGTAAGTTAATTGTAACCATAATTTTAACAGTTGTTTTGATACAAAATAGCTTATTACATTAAAATCAATACAAATAAAACAATCGCCGTCTTTTTCATTCGTTTTAATATGCAAAATAATTGATACAGAACTAATCTGATTTAGATCTGTTATTTTTATGGCTACTTAAAAATTTTACGCTCAACAATAATAAAAATATTAAATTATATAATAATTTATAACCGATATTGTATTAATAATTTTGTTAATGTTATCTAGCCGACAACAATTATTTTTTTGTTATTATTTCGAAAATATGCAGGTTTCCTTACGATGTTTTCGTTCATTGCTAAGGAAGTGATAAGTAAGCACTTAAAACTAACAGTTTCATTAATACCAGCATCGGGGACTGAACTCGCATTGCTCTAGTGAGCTGTCACAGCTTCTAAATATAGTTGTATAGAAAGTAATTAGAATAAAATTTATTAATTGTAAATCTAAAACATGTAATTATTACATGTAATACTAATTTACTTGTTAAGAATTAAATGCGTACACTCGGCAATATTAAATGTCAAGTGAGGGGATAAATTGTTACTGAAAAAAATCACTTGAAATATTCTACAAAAGTTGTCCATTCAAGGTCAGCTAAATATGCCAACGACACCCAATAATCTACTCGAGTATATATAAGGACCTCGATTTGCCAAATACATCAGTGTTTCTCCGTTCCGAAATCCAGCACAATGATGAAATTCGTGGTATTCTCCTGCCTCGTGGCCGTTGCGTTCGCAAGCGCATACGCCCCGGGCCTAGCGTACGGTGCTTTCCCATACGCGTACGGTGCTCCATACGCGTACGGTGCTCCGTACGGCTATGGGGCGCCATTGCTGAGCGGGGACTGGTTCCAGGCACGCAACTACCGTGGGCCCCTGTCCCTCGCCCCCGGCCAGCCCGCCGACGTCCTTGGCGCCGACGGCAGGCCCCTCGACACCTTGGACGTCAACTTGGACCGCTCCGCACACTTCACCGCTAAGGCCCTCGACAGCGGCCTCCATCTTTTGAAGAAACGGTCGGTCCCAGCTGCAGTCGTAGCGACCCTCATTGGCGGACCTGTAGCCACGCCTGTAGCCACGCCTGTGGTTGCCCCCGTTGCCACCCCTGCAGTCACCCCCATCGCAACTCCACTGATCACCCCTGCGACACCCATAACGTACACCGCGCCACTCGTCGCTCCAGTCGCCGCAGCCGCCGCCGGTTATGGCCCAACTTACACTCGTTACTTGTAAATGGATATAATGATCTTTCGGAATTTAAAAAAGGACTATGACATGAAATAAACGCCTTATGACTATACTTTGTTTGTTAATGTCACCTTTCCTACTTGGAATTTAATTGAAAAGTGTTTTCATTAAATTAAAACACAGTCAGCATGTAATAATATAAACATACTATTAGTTATTTAACTGAAAACTTTGCATAATTTATACATAATTAAATAATCTAACAATTTGTTTGATTTTTAAACTTATTTTGATCTCAGAACCAAGCTTGAATTGACTTTTCTAACAATTGTATCACAAAAGAGCCTCTTTAAAATTTTAGTACATCTTTTTCTATTTATTAACATAATATTTTGGATGTTTCTTTCTACTCAATCGAAAACTCGTCTTTGTTTGCTGCCAGCTACAAGAATTTATTTAGTTTTATTAATTATTAATTATTAATTATTAATTATTGTTTAAAAATATGTTTTATTTATTATATAACATATTTATATAATAAGGAACCACGATAGCCCATTTTCCGGATACTTTTAATTCAATGGAGTAACCTGAGTTCGATACCCGGTATCGGCACCAATGGAATTGTGCAGTCTAATTGTGTGCTGTCTAATCCTGCGCCTAACGGTGAAAGAAAACATCTTGAGAAGCCTGCATATTTTCAAAATTATAACAAAAAAGTCCACCAATATGCCATGCGGTCGCGTGGTGGTCTATCCCCTAATATCCACTGCACAGAAGAGGCCTTTTGCCCAGCAGTGGGGCATATAATCATAGGCTGTTAGTTTACTTTTTACTTTTATATTTATTTAAGTAAATAAATGATATAAATTGGAAAAATAAAATAAAGTAGCTGTTAACTGCGGTTTCACCCTCGCGGCCAAAGGCAATTAACATGAGTTTTTTTATTGTACACCAGAATATCTCGCAGATGGCTGATTTTTTTCCTACTAAGTGGACACTTACCATTATGTTGGACCTATATGTTTGATAATTCACACATATATTTATAAATTATAGCCTATGTTAACACATTCTGATGTATAAGCTATATTATTGTAAAATTTCAATAAAATCTATTTAGCAGTTTTTGCGTGAAAGAGTAACAAATATCTATCCATACATACAAACTTTCGCGTTTATAATATTATAGTAAGTTAGTAGTAGTAAGTAGTTTTATTGACACTCACAAATTTGAATGGCGATGTGACTATCGCCGTAATATAAGGTGAGCATCCTGCTCGCTTGCCCTTTTTCTGTAAAACAAAAAAATAAAAATAAATATTTTTCCCTTAATAGTAAAAAAAACTAGCAAAAACGTTAATTGAAACTACTATGCTACATTGAAATTAAAAATCGTTCAAGTTCCGTAACTATCCATTATACCACCGTAATAAAATTGATAAATAATCACCACCGATTTTTTTTAGGAACGGGTGGACCTAGCAAGTTGAAATTTATACCAGTTACTCAGTATCTGGTATAAATTTCAACTGTATAGTCCCTATTACTTGTATAAAATCAAGATCCTGAGTCAACACGATTAAAAGAACGAAATAAAAACACAAAATCTTGTATGTGTCAATGTTTACCTTAATTTTCAACTTTTTTTATTTTACCTATACAGTTCCCGTTCATTACATTTCAAATAAAGGAAAAAATCCACTAGCTAGGTCCGCCCGTTCCTAAGAAAATCGGTGACTACACACGGACATACAGAAGGACAAGAGTGCGATCTATAAGGGTTCCTTTTTTACCTTTTAAGGTGCAGAACCCTAAATACCAGTATTTCTGATTACCAGTAATCTACAAGCCATAAAGGCATCACTATCTTTTGGACTTGTATGTGAAAAGTACGACTATGACACGTATTCATGTTATCTATTCCATCGTATTAAATATTCTGTTTTATTTTGTTATAAACTCTTGTAGAAACTTCTTTCTGTACATTGTTCCTTTCCTCACGTTACCTAGGTATACGTTTTTAAATTATAGTTATTTTAATAAAGATGTGTATTTATAAAAAGTAATGATTAATTGTATCCACCTGAATATGAAACTTACTTGCCAAAGAAATTAACCCTCTAAAAATTTTTCAGCTTTGATGAAAATATTTTTATAAAATTACTAACGTTACAGTATACTATGATTTATTCAGCTATAGTATATGCATTTATTGCTCGACAAAATCCCTCTCAGGATATTACGAAAAATTCACCCTCGATTAGGCGACTTCATATTATGCCCATAAAGGCTTTCATATGTTTTATATTTAAAAAGACATACTACCGACCTTGAGAGGCTTTATCCCGTCATTAAGTATTAACAAATCAAATTGTAAGCAATGAATTGGTGTTCTGTGCCTCGTTCGAACATGAATTTCATATTCAATTTAAATCATCATCTTGATAGGATTAATGATTTGAATAATTGATTGAGATAATTGTGAGCACATCTAATAATATAATCTTAAATATGGTCATTTTGCATTTTCTCGTCCCTATACAATAATTACCTTATATAATGTCCGCAAAAATTATAGCATAATTCAAAACACATTCCATCTTGAGGCACTTCCTAGTAGGTGACATTCAAACAAAACCACCCAGGGCGGTGCCAGCGCTTTCAGTTCATTTCACGTTTCAATATTATGCTCACAATCTCACGGTCGACGAGATCTTCCGTCGACATGTTTCCAGTTAAATTCGAGTATAAAAGCTCATTTCATTCGGTGAACTGCATCAGTGTTCTTCTCGTGCAGCAAACAACACAGACCACTTACAAAATGATGAAGCTGGTGGTGTTGTCCTGCCTTCTGGCCGCCGCGTCTGCGGGTCTCATCGCGCCCCTCGCTTACACCGCACCGTTCGCCTACAGTGCAGCCCTCCTCGGGCCCTCCAACTACCGTGGACCGCTGTCCCTGGCCCCCGGTCAGCCCGCCAACATCCTCGCTGCCGACGGCCGCCCTCTCGACACCCTGGACGTCAATTTGGACCGCTCCGCTCACTACACCGCAAAGGCTCTCGAGAACGGCTTTCATCTGCTGAAGAAGCGTTCCGTCCTTGCAGCCCCCATCATCGCAGCCCCCATCGCCCGATATGCCACACCTCTGATCACCCCCGCTGTGCCTGTCGCCTACACTGCACCCATCGCGACCGTCTCTCACATCGCACCTGTTACCTACACGCGCACAGCTATTACTCATGTCTTATAAATTCGACGATAATATATTTTCTTCAATAAACTAAATGATTGAAATTTGAATTTATAAAAGTTTTATTTCAACATAGAATTACTAGGATCATTAATACTTTAAATCTGTATGGCTTTATCACAAGCGTATCACGAAGGTAGAGGATAAGAAGAATTTTTCCTGCAATTTTTTTATATATTGTTGACGGCAGTCAACAAAAATATAAACAAATTTTTCGTGAACAAAGCTCATTCAATGACAGACCTGACTCATTCAATGAGAGACTGCCGATAAGTAATTTTAAAGACTACAATATTAAAAATATCTTCCACATCAAAGCTGATGCTTTTAAAGAGATAACTAATTAATGCCATAATACACAAACTAGTACTCGCTGACAAGTATAACCGAACCTGAGTAATAATCTTAAAATTTAGTAAATGGTGCTCCGTGATAGCTTAGTATATAGTATATAGATGATTTCAAATCCTGGTGCTAGCGCTGATGAAGTTTTTAGTTAAAATTTGAAATGCTAATTTATCACGTGTTGACGGCGAAGGAAAACATCCAAAAAAGTCATAATATCAATGGGCGGTGGTGAGCAATTTTATGGGAACCGCTATTTCTCTTGCCAATTTCTCGCATGAAAATAGAAAAAGAAAACTTTTCTGTGTATTTTTACTTATTACCTATGATTAGTATCTAACAAAATAAAACTAGAAGTACCTAAGCATATACAAAAGTTGCTGTGCAACATCTGTTATACAATGACGAAGTTAAACGCATTAAATTAAAGTATGACTTTTACATAAAGCCACATGTAAGAAGCTCGGACTGAATCACCTGCAGTGGACTGTAAAATAATGGGGTTAAATATTTGTTTGTACCTATAGTGTTGACTGTAGAAGAAAAGTCTATCGTCGATTTAGTATGCCGGAAGTTGCTTTAGCGAATGTTTTTTTTTTATCTGAACCATAATATACAGTTTAGGATATAGCTAAAAGTATTCTTTAATGGAAAAAAGGGGCAAACGAGCAGGACGGTCACCTGATGGTAAGTCATCACCGCCGCCTATGAACATATGCAACACCGGAGGGCCTGCAAAAAACATGCTCTCTTCTTGAAGGATCCCAGGCCGTAACGGTTCGGAAAGACCGTTCGACCGAAGAAAGCTTACATCTACTTTTCAACTTAACAAGGTTTGACTGGTAGAAAATACATTAGGCATTAAGTCGTCTATTGTAGCCCTTAGTTTAAGGTATAGCAATGAAGCTTAAATAATTATGTTCAGTCAACCCCATTCTGAGACTTTCGTTAACAAAGTCTCGACTTCCGACACAAGCTTGTTCTGCCTCTCGTCTATCAGTGCTATCGTCTGCATATCAATGCTGACATGCATCATGTCATTGATATGTTTAAGAAACAAAGTAGGAGACTCTTACGGTGGTAGGGCCACGCAGCAGCCTAACTGTTGCACGAATGGGCAGGCCCGTGCGGGTAAGTACCACGACCTCACAGAAGACCGGCGTAAAGTGGAAGTATGACAAATACTTTCGCGTTTCGTCTGGTGAGTGAGGTAGCCGGAGCCCAATTTTCAAAAGGTTGTCAACGCATCTGTAACCCTCGAGTGTAGCAGATGTCCATGGGCGGCGGTATTCACTTACATCAGGTGAACCGTCTGCTCGTTTGACAACTTTTTCGCATAAAAAAAAAAAAAAAAAAAAAAAAAAGACAGCCTTGTGGAACACTAGCATTGACAAATTAAGGATCAGAGCATGCACCGTCGACGACGACCTTATGCTCCGATCTGCCAAAAAGTGCGAACAGAACTTGTAATCCTCGAAATATTACTAGACAGTAGTGTTCGCCGTGATTTGACAACACATCGGTATATAAACCCATTTTATATTATATGTGGTAGGAGTTGGTTAGTCATTCCCAACAACCTAGAAGATCTGTTGTAGTCTTCCCTTCGAAAACATTGCCCCCTTACTATAGAATAACATTATCCTGTGTTGTAACGTATATAAATCCCATAAAATTTATATAAATCCAGTACAAAGCTCAACCTGAACTCAACATGAACTCTAGATCAGGTTAGTATACCAACATATACAATGGGATTAATTTAACTTCATTTGATCATTTTGAAACTGTATTTGCAAGAAATCAAACCATACAAAAACTGCGGAACTTAAAATTGCACTAACACAAGAATGGGACGCTATTGCGCAACATTTGTAATAGCTTTCATTAGGTTTATGCGAATCCGGGTAATATCATGATTCGTGATAAAGTTTCTTTTTTTTTTCATCCAATTTTAATTAAACTTATTATTTAAAAATGACATCTATTGTATTATTTAAAAATGACAACGATATTATAAAGATGTGTGTCGATTTTAATAAACGATCTTTAGCTACTCCCAGGATAGCAGATAATGAACTAATCTTTACTTATTAAATCTTTAAAAAAAATAATCTGTAAATATTTTTTTTTATTTTGTAAATAACTTTATTTAAGAGCAATGTCCCTAATATGTTGTGTTTTCAGTTTTTTAGTTTATAAAGAAAAAATAAACTTACTAGATGTAACAGATATAAAGGTTCCATTAAAACTTTATCCAGTTTCAAGAGTACCGTCGCTAAGGAAATCAATATTTACCACAAATGTCCTTTTTGGTATAGACAGGTAACTGACTAGTCATAATTGATTGAACTTCATTAATATTCTCGATATTTATCATTTAATAGCGTCAGCCTGTGCAAAGGCTTTGCAAAGGGTACGATCCAGCCGTTTTAACATCCACGGGGAACAAACATGTATACATGCATCTATTTAGTTTGTTAGTTTATCGTATTTATTTAGTTATTATATTCGAGAAGTTTATAAAATATGCTATGGAACTAAGGGTATTTTTTCTTTGCTTTCTTAATCTATTTGTTATACATAAAATAACATGGGTACAGTGTTTAGAAAACAACCCATACAAATAGAATTTAAATGAAGATTCTAACCACTACCGAAAATCATAGAGATAAAGATTTGTTTCGGATAGAACACGGGATCTATCACAAGGAACATCGGACTGCTGCTATCTGGCGAGAGGATGGTTCCTATGATGATGCGCCGTTTTGTCTACCCTCCGTGGTGTAGAAAAGACTAGGTCCAACGCTGGCCGAGAGGTTTGCTGCTTGTTAAGACTGACTCTCCTGACTGTCATGGCCTCTGAGAATCACACTTGTAGGAGTCCGTTGCCTATTTAAAATGGTTTGATTAGACCTTCTTTAAGTTCTGGTGCAAATAACGTGAAGCGGTAAGTATTCCCGTGGCTCCTAGAAACCCTAGTTGGAGCATCGCGGGGGCTTTAGCCATTTCGATTCATCGTGTCTACCCCTTAAATTAGTACCCCACTAATATACGTACCTTACGTATATTTTCCCCACAACGAAAAAATCCTCGGTTAACAATGACACTAGGACGTAAAAAAACTCGCACTGTTAATATGTTTAAACATTTTAAAATCCATAAAATAATTTCATTTAAGCCGCGTATCAGCAGTCTGTTACCAAATTTAGATTCTATTCGTATTTACAATCCAGACACAACCATACACGACATCGAAATTCATTATTTGTTTTTATTTTACACTTCTATTTTTATCCCTTGGCTATCGTCAAAAAGCGTTGATTTAGTTCTGTATTCTATTTATAAAAACATTCTTGGAATTCCATCTTGCAAAGAAGTTATGCAAAAAAATCGAACTTATATCTCATTAGGTATTCGACTACAAAAGTTGTCTTCTCACGGTCAGTATTATCTTCCGCTGACGCTTGTTCGGTACATGCTCGATTCATATATAAACAGACTGCAGCCGAGTGGAGGCATCAGTGTTCTTTCGTCCAGAAAAAAACACAGACCACTCTTAAAATGATGAAGTTGGTGGTGTTGACTTGCCTGCTAGCTGCCGCATCGGCTGGACTTATCGCGCCGCTTGCATATTCCGCACCTTTCGGTTACGCTGCTGCCATTCCATATGCTGCTCCGCTCCTGGCGCCCTCCAATTACCGAGGACCTCTGTCACTGGCCCCCGGCCAGCCAGCCAACATCCTTGGAGCCGACGGCAGGCCTTTGGACACCTTGGACGTCAATCTGGACCGCTCTGCGCACATCACCGCTAAGGCCCTAAACAATGGATTCCATCTCCTGAAGAAGCGCTCCGTCATCACCCCACTGATAAGCCCCATCAACCGTGCTGCCACTCCGTTGGTTACACCGGCTTACTCCTTTGGCGCTCGATATGCTTCATCTTTATCTCACTTCGCCCCTATTTCATACGGACCCTCCGTCTACAGCTATGTCTTCTAAACTATGTACATATCTATTCATCGATGACCTGTAAATATTAAAACACAACATGAATGAACCAACTTTGGACTGTTATTCATATTCCAAAAACCCATATATATGTAACGCCATACAAAATTTCAAGTCAGATCTAGTTTGTATTTTTTGTGCCATAAAAATTTATTCAGTCTGTGTGACATTTGCTGCGTGTTGATGTCAATGAGAAATTTAAGCTCGTTTTATACATTTATTTTTATAATATATACAGACTTACCTCTAATTAATCAAAGCTTTTGTGAGCTTTTTTAAATCTGGTAAAATTTTATAATTTATCAAAAGTACTCATTATGGTTGTTACCGATTACAATCTGATAATGCAGGAAAAGCTGACGGTTTCCTTAAGATATATGAAGAAAAAAGTACTTATTTGTACCTTTATGCTTCTTATAGCATACCGGTGCGTATATAAATATAAAGCGATTTCTTCTCACACTACTTTCATTAATCTTGCCAGTTGGCATAATAAAATGACTTAAAATAACGAAGACGTTACGAATTTTTATCTTACTTATTGTTCCTTTGTACGGAAATTAAATTAAGTTATAAGTCATAAGAAAATCGAGTCGTTTACAGTAATGATAACCTAGATAATGATGTACTTTAACCCGCTCTAGTGATAGAACAGCTGAAACTGTTCAATACATTTACGAGCAGCCACACAACAGCTTCGAGTGCTGCATGAATTGACACGCTAAGCCCGGGGAAGTACCGCAGCCTCACAGAAGACTGACGTGGAGTTAAAGTATAAGTATACCTTTGCATTTCATGTCATGAGTAAGGTGAACAGAAAACCATTTTATAAATATAACCGTTAGAAAGAAAGAAAGAGAAAGAAAAACTAAAAATACCAAAAATAAAGTAAAAACCAAAAAAATACTTATAAATAATTCATTAAACCAAAAGAAGACAAGTACGTAATTAGAATATAAAACAAATGAAAAAAAACTTTAAAAAACCAAAAATATTGTACGCCCTATTCCGGTAAATTAGGTTAGCAGCTCAGCATTATGCTATGCCGGAAATCAAGGCCCCAACACAACGCTGATATTCAGTGCTAAGCTTTTTTTTTTTATAGAGAAAAGGGGCAAACGAGCAGGAGGCTCACCTGATGGTAAGTGATTAGCGCCGCCCATGAACACCTGCAACACCCGAGGGCTCACAAATGCGTTGCCGGCCTTTTAAGAAAGAGTACGCTCTCTTTTTGAAGGTTCCCAGGTCGTAACGGTTCGGAAAGACCGCCGGCGGCAGTTGGTTCCACAGAGTGGTTGTGCGAGGCAAGAAATGCCTTAAAAATCGCGCTGTTGTGGAACATTGGACATCGAGGTGGTGTGGATGAAATTTTTGGTTCTGGCGCGATGTCCGATGGTGGAATTCAGCCGCCGGGATCAATCCAAACAATTCCTCAGAACACTCCCCGTGATAAATGCGGTAGAAGATGCAGAGTGATCCAACATCTCTACGCAGAGCCATAGGATTAATCCGATCGGAAAGACTTTGATCGTCGATAACCCTAGCCGCCCTACGTTTAATGCGGTCAAATGGAAGAAGCTGGTAATAGGGGGCTCCCGCCCAGAGGTGAGAACAGTACTCCATGTGGGGCCGAATTTGCGCCTTATAGAGGTTTAGGCGTTGGGCAGCCGTGAAGTACCGTCTCGCCTTGCTGAGCACACCAAGCTTCTAGCTTTGTATTACTTCGGTGCCTTACTTGACCCATACACAGCGAAGTAACACTAATACCAATTATTATTTAACTTATTAAAATTAATGATATAACAAAAGAAAATCTTTACAATATTATATCAAACATTAACATTATGGCGGACAATCTCTCCTCCATGCGCTCCATCTAAAAGAAAATTAAATTCTATTTTATATTACCGTGTAAATATTATGTACAGTTCTTTTATAAAAATATAATACGATGTATCTATATGAATGACTACCGCATTGTCAACAAGTTCTGTTTTTTAGGAAATAGAATGGCATTTTTTAAAGTTTGTTTTTTATTTCAATAAACGATTATACTACCGAGTCTGAACCTCCTGTGTAAATTTGGGCACTTCTCAAAACATCTCCGTGTATAAACTAAATATTATGAATAAAAATAAATATATAAATATTGTATATAATACATATATAAATAGGACCCAACCAGACGGAAGCCCTCGGCAGGGGAGACCAAACGTCCGAGGGTTAGGGTGAAAGGGAGAGAAACCGGCGGACGATGCGGGCGGTGTTGAGGAGCACCACCTTCTGTATTTCAGCCTGAAGCGTTCCGTCCCGGTCGCCTCAGATGCCCGAAGAGGCGGACTGGGATCAACTCATTCGCAGACACGACTATCGGGATAATTTCGGTCAGCACACCACCCCACATGTCGGTCACCTCGTGAGCCAAGTCCAGATACTTCGTTTTCTTATCTATTTCGCCTTTCACGAGGTTTTCGTCATATGGTAATATCGACTACAAATACCCGCGCCTGTGCCCGGTCCATCAACACGATATCAGGTTTGTTTGCGATAATCGTCCTGTCCGTGATGATGGGCCGGTCCCAACAGAGCCTGGCGTGGTCATTTTCGTGCACGGCCTCCGGAGAGTACTTATAGTACGGCAGTTTCCGTTACTCGAGGCTGTATTTCAGAGTGAGCTGCTGGTGTAGGATTCTGGCTACTAGGTTTTGTCTATGCAGATACTCAGAGTTAGAAAGCATGGAACAACCAGAGATAACATGCCGAAGCGACTCCCCGGGATGGCGACAAGCTCGACAAATGTTGACGGTGCCGTCCCTTAGAATGTATTTCCGATATTTGTTCGTCGTAATAACCTGATCCTGTATCGCACAGACAAAACCTTCGGTTTCCCCAAAGAGGTCACCGAAACTTAGCGAGTTAAGGGAGGTAACACTATCCACGAAAGGCTCGTGTAGAGCCTTGTAGAACCTCGCGTGGAGCTCTTTTTCCTTCCATACCCTCAATACTCCCGGGTCCTGCCGTTGTGGGTAAGTCCTTTATCACAACTAATGACGTCTCGCCAGAAAGTAGTTACGGAGGCTGCACACCTCGCGATTGTGCATGGTGAGGGCGCTTAGAAAGCCACTCCCGCCATGCTTCCGCGGCAGGTACAGCCTCATCACTGACGATCTCGGAAGATGCATCCTGTGGGACGTTATATGTAGTTGTGCGGACTTTTCGGTTCAGGATGGTGAGCTCAGTATGAGTCCACCTGAGTATGCCAAAGGTATACACATGGGGACTGGCATGACCCAGCCGTTAAATGCGCGCGCCTTGTTCACGCCTGACAAATAGCTGTTAAACAGAAGGTATGTATCATTATTATTAGACAACTATTTGTTGGCATTTATAAATAAGTACCTGGAGGACCGAGCTTTGCTCGGTTTGTTTTTTTTTTTTTTTGGTAAATCGTGTATTTTGGAAATTTACCGTCGTATTCGAATAATATTTTTCATTCCCTGAAAAGTGGGATAAAACGACATATTCTAAAAATGAAACCTAGTCAGATCGATTTCTCGCCCTATATATATATACAAGAATTGCTCGTTTAAAGGATAACATTAAAGGCAGAATCTAATAAAAAACCCACGTTGGCAACTCATCTGCTAATGATATTGTAGATGTCGATGGGTATCCTCGGCAGTATTCTCATCAGGTTAACCGCCCGCTCGCTTGCCATATTTAACATTAATAAACTGTAAGCTAAGCTCCGTGGAAACAAAAGCTAGGGAAAATTACTTTGTACAGCCGTCTAGTCAATTGGAAGAAAACTTAGGAGGGCCGAATCCATCTTGTAGTGTAAAATATATTTGAGACGACTACGTCTACGATTAGGTAAGATGGTATCAACGTAACGTAGATCTGCGCTACGATGTTGCACCTGTCTCTCTCGCACCGGGAACACGAAGACGCAATATTCCGCGACCGCAGGAAATCTTACCATCCTACGAGTTCTGTGTTCTATTAAGCTTTAATTTATTTACAAAGGTGACATCTCTAGTTTTTAAATATTCATTGTAAAGATGTAATTTGAGAAATTGTGATTGCTTTAATCTGTTATTTCAATATAATTTCTTAATTTCAGTTTCAATATTATTATTTTTTCCAACCAACAGAAGTTCAAAAATCTCCGAACGGAAGGTGTATTTTTTTCCAACAAAAGGTCTAAAAATACAGCTTCCAACAGTATGTATATTTTTAGACTTTCTAGTCATATCGAATACGACTACTGCATTGCAACATTTTTTTTTAATTGGACAGCTGTTTTGTACATGGCTTCGAAGGCCTCATGGCACTTTACATACCTTATTTTAAACTGACTAAATTTGACGGCAGAAAAATTTGTCTCTCTAGTACTAATCAAAAGTCAAAGTAAACTTTGGGTAATTTGAAATTTTTTTTACTTGTGTCAGCAAAATTATAAACATGAAATAGAAGAATAACTAATGACAGAATAACTAAAAAAAAACTTGTGGACAGTTAACACGTAAATGTCGGTGAATAGTATATGTGAATACTAATAAAAGTTAATTATTTTAATGTTTATGTGAGGGCTAGCAACATTTATATGTAGTTTATCGGATTTCTATTATGGTATAGGTATTGGATTTCTATTTATATGACAAATGAATATTGCGATTAAATAATCAAACATCGAACTTGAATTTGAAATTTGAAATTGCACTCACGATTAAAGTTTCCAAAACTTATATTAAATTAGTATCCAAAAAATTAAACCTTTCAATCAAGTTTCGAAGATTACATCTAATAAATAATTAGACAGAAAGGTACAAAAAAAGGAAATTAATAAAACTCGTCGAAGATTCAACCAGTAAAACTAAAAATGCATTTATTGCGGAATCACACACAATAATATAAAAATACTTACATTACATTTGCTTAATAGACTAGATGCAGTAACGACCTGTGCAAATGTCTAAGTCAATAAATGGAATATATATATATATATATATATATATATATATATATATATATAGACATTTATATTTATAGACATGCATTATAATTAAAATGTAAATTTAGAATTTGACACCGTTTTAAATTCCGTTCGCCACATTCACACGTTTTATTCTTTTTTTTACACATACACGCACTGATATTATCACGTAAACTATTTATATACATGTTCTCAAAATAACGATTAAACAAAAGAATTTTTAAAAGATTCGAACTTTTATTTAATTAGGTATTGAACTAAAAAAAGTCTCATGGTCAGTATTGTTTTCCGGTGAGGACTAATTGGTAAATGCTCTTTGCATATATAAACAGACTGCACTTGACCAGAGGCATTAGTGTTTCATTGTCCAGTAAAAAACACAGAACACCCTCAAAATGCTCAAGTTTGTGGTGTTGACTTACCTGTTGGCAGCCGCGTCGGCTGGGGTTATCGCGCCGCTTGTATATTCCGCACCTGGTCACACCACCCTCGGATACGCTTCACCTCTTCTGGAACCTTACAACTACCGCGGACCTCTGTCACTAGCCCCGGGCCAGCCGGCCAACATCCTCGGATCCGATGGCAGGCCTTTGGACACCCTGGACGTCAATCTGGACCGCTCTGCGCACATCACGGCCAAGGCCCTCAGCAACGGCTTCCATCTCCTGAAGAAGCGCTCCATCCTTGTACCTGTGGTTGGCCCCATAAACCGCGTTGCCACTCCGCTGAATCCACACTCCGTGCCCTTCGCCTACCGATATGCAACTCAATTTACCCCAATCTCATATGTCCCCTTCGCCTTGAACCACGTCTTCTAAGCTCTGTATATATGAGATATGAATAGTAATATATTATAAATATTGAAATATATCATACAAAACAAACAACCTTGTAGTATCACTCATTAGTAAAACATAAAAGAAATTTGTTATTTTTCACGTTTTTATACCGAATGTGACAATACTTCGAAACAAAGTGCACTTATCTGATGGTAAGTTGTCGACTCTCATCATCTCCATTCGAAACATCAGAGAAGTTGCAGATAATCGGAGGAGCCATCCGCTCCGGTAAAGTATTACTGGAACCAATGAAACAGTTCGGTCAAATGGAGGAAGTAGTATTTGACTGGCCCAGCCCAGTGACGAGATAATCTCTCTAACCTATCGACCTTCATCATCATCATCCTTCTGCCCTTATCCAACTTAGGTGGGGTCATATGAGGGCTATATACAACATGTTAATCAAGTTGTAAGTTGTTTTACCTTGTTTTTTTACGACCGGCCGCCTGCTTGATATCAACGCTCCTTGGTCACACATATACTTGTCCTGTTTGGAAATGGGACCCACGACTCTCGCCGTCGAAGCCAAAAGCTTAGCAACTGCACCACTAATTCATAAAGTTATAAAATGTTGGGCCAGCGAGAAATAGTCTCGCTATATTTAACGTATCAAACTTTTAAGGTAGCAGAAGGTCTTAGTCAATTTGGTATACACCTATACTGTGTAATCATTTGCACGTTTTACAGGTATTTAGATATAATTATACGAGTATACGGACGTTACAATGTCTTAAAAGTTTTACAACATTTGTCATTTGACGTCCAGGATGTCAAATGAATAATAGCTTGAAACTTTTACGACATTGCAACGTCCGTATACTCGTATAATTATATCTAAATACCTGTAAAACGTGTAAATGATTACATAATTTATATAGACGTTTGAAGCTAAGCGCAAGCTCTTGGCTACATATATTATTTTCCCTGCCCTGCGTCAACCGAGTCTGATCATCAGTGTTCGGGATTCGCGCCCAACAAGCTTTACGGCGGGTTTTGCGCTTAACTTCAAACGTCTATATAAATTATGTAATCATTTGCATATTTTACAGGTATTTAGGTATTATACGAGTATACGGACGTTGCAATGTCGTAAAAGTTTCAAACTATTCATTTATTATTTTCAACTTATTCATTTGACATCCTGGACGTCAAATGACAAATGTTCTAAAACTTTTACGACATTGTAACGTCCGTATATGTGTATATACATTATATGTCTTAATTTAAAGCCTGCTAAAACATAAACAGAAAAAATCTAACATTAATAAAATCGCGGATTGAAATATAACATTATAATTTTATATTAAAAATTACACATTAATATTTTTATATAATTTGACCCATTTAACGTATTAATTAATGCTATCGAAATAAATGACATTTGAACTCATGTTTTATTTTTCATAACCATAAACTTCACATTTACTCTAGCATGCCTGTTCTATATATATATATATATAGTAATTATCCACCAACTTATTATATCTTAATACAGAAAGCACAGCGGCAATCAAAATGCCACAATAATAAAAAAAAAAAAGACCACAGCGGCAACATCGCACTGTTCATAGGAGTTTTAATAGATAGGAAAATGTAAATAAAATTATGTATATTATGGGAAGCCAGATAATTGATAGTGTTGGGTGGAGTCCTAATTGATTTCACTATGCTTGTTAATGTACGTATATTTGTATATATATTAAGAATTAAAATTTCTGAAAAATAAGTTGTAAGCAGTGTTTGACACTGCCCTAGCGACTAATATTCGCAGTAAAAGTTGAAAATTTTTTAGTGGAACTGGTGGACGTCACAATAATGCCAAATGAAAGGGTGCCCAAAAGGTAGCGTGATGTATATATATATATATATATATATATATATATACATATATATATACACATATATCCATAAACATAGTTAATACATTCTGTATCTAAACCAGATTTAGTGACAAATAGTGACTCTTGACAAGGTTTTTAAAAGTGGAAAGTGGCATTTCGCAACTTGAACCATAAAGGACTTAGCCATAATTTTTTTTGTGAGCAGGTACTTTTAATTTCAAATTCTCTGATAAACTAAAAAAAATTAAAGTATAAATATTATAGTGCATCATCAATGTGTTTACATTTACTGTTTTAGTGATGATATAACAACATAACCGTCAACGTTATTTCCAAGGAAGCTTTATAAATTAAACCATCTACCCAATATCCCTTTTTTGATAAATCTACTGTTTACATATTGTATACGTAAAATAACGGTTTTTATACATAATGCAACACCTTTCCAAATTCCTGCAATACCCTGTGAAAAATGTTTTGCCGAGCACATAGCACTTAACTGTGGTAGGGCCACGCCGCAGCCACGGCTGTTGCTCGAATGGGCAGGATAAGTACGTCGTCCGGGTAAGTACCACGACCTCACAGAAGACCGGCGTAAACTGGAAGTATAACAAATACTTTCTCGTTTCGTCTGGTGAGTGAGGTAGCCGGAGCACAATCTCCAAAAGGTTCTCAACACATATGCAACCCTCGGGTGTAGCAGATACCCATTGGCGGCGGTATTTACTAAACATCAGGTGAACCGCCTGCTAGCTTGGCAACTTTTTACATATAATAAAAGCATCTTTTGGCAGATCTTTAAAATGGGTCAATAGGTATTCCGGGACGAAATTAATACTTATTTATTATATTTCTGTAAAACTTAAAAAACAAGCAAATTGCCAAGGACAACGAACCAAATAACATGTTATCAGTTCACTCTCACAATTTCATCTAGGATGTTTTAATAAAGTATTATTTGAATGTCACATGTAATAAAACATATTGAACGTTTTAATGAAACAGTGCGCACAACATCACAATTATAAAATCAGAGTAAAAGTAGTTTGAATTTTGAAGCAGTCTAGGAAGAACTATGTTCAGTAGTGAAATAAACATACTGAAATGATGGTGATAATGATTATAGGACAACCTGTCCAAGAAGTTTAAAAAAATCATATACTAGTGAAATATAATTAAAATAATGAATTTCAAATTAATATTTTATCCAAGAATACCTTCTACATCGACTGCTCATACGTCTGGAAAAAATAAGTTAAGATAACGCGTAAAATCACATGGATTTGCTTTGTACAAACTATTTAAAAGTTTAGTTTGGCAAATGGTCCCATTGTTTATTCACTTCAAGACCTGGGTTGACAATTTTTGCAACCAAAAAAATAACAGCAGGATGACACTCGTTGGCTAAAGAGTGGAATATGAAAAAAATTAAAGGAAAAAATAAATTACGGGCGATCTGAGTTCGGGAAGTGGGGAGTCGGGTGAGTTTTTAAGGGTAAAGACGGTTTATCTCGATTTCCGCCAAAACTACAAGGCATTTGCTGTAGCCCTATTTACAATAGCATTGTATATGAGGCTACAGCAAAACAAATATAGTTCCTCCTTTTTTACTACGGAGAAAAAGGGGCAAACGTGCAGGAGGCTCAACTGATGGTAAGTGATTACCGTCGCCCATGAACACCTGCAACAGCTGCTTCAGCGCATAAAATAATTCTTGGCACTATGTATGGCACTGTACACAAGGAGCATATAAAAGTGTTGTAAATTTAAACTTACAATGTCAATTAAATTATAACTTAGAATGAAAGTTTAAGCTTAGACCAAGCATAGACCTTATTTAAATGTGTAATGGAATTTTTTTTTCATTTATTTAACTAAATAGGTACTGTGTGGCGTGTTTTATTCATTGCTACATTTCTTATATGAGTTTCATTTTAAACGTCACAGCATATAGCATTCAGCATATACAAAAGCTTTATCAAATAAAATAACCAAGAGAAGTTTAATCTTGGTCAATATCTATTGATTACAATATAACTATTAATAAGACTTTAATGTTTAATTCAATATAATGTAATCAAGGCTGAATAAGTTATGAATTTCACGCAACTTGATTGCGTAAAATTGATTTAAATATGAATTTACAATATTACCTAAAAGAAATAAAATTAAAATACGTCTCATCAACTTATGTGCGTAAAGTAACGCCAGAGATATTTGAACCATCTTAAACACAAAGTTGCATATTTTACTGCATAAAATTATATTAATCGGATAAAAACAGCTTAATATAAAAAGTACTTCATAAGTATTAAGCATAAAGTATAAAAACGACGAATTATGATCTTCAGTTATAATTATAACTCAAAACAATTAATTGAGTTATAAATAAAATTCAAATGGTATTAAAAAGTAGTAAATCTGATTGACAACATTGAAAGGCAAAATATACCTTTAAAACGACTGTCATTTGCTAATAGAATAATATAATAATCCTTGCAACACAAAGGTCCGGATTAATCATGGCTGTACTATAGAACTTAGCTTGTCCTGCAAAAGTTGTCTCGTCATGGTCAACGATGCATTCCGGCAACGCCCATCAGTGTCTCTCATAATATATAAGTGAATCAGCAGTATGTGAGAACATCAGTCTTATCACGTTCAGTAAACAACACAGACCACTTACAAAATGATGAAGCTGGTGGTGTTGTCTTGCCTAATGGCCGCCGCGTCTGCGGGTATCATCGCGCCTCTCGCTTACACCGCACCGTTCGCCTACAGCGCAGCCCTCCTGGGGCCCTCCAACTACCGCGGACCGCTGTCCCTGGCCCCAGGTCAGCCCGCCAATATCCTCGCTGCCGACGGCCGCCCACTCGACACCCTGGACGTCAATTTGGACCGCTCCGCTCACTACACCGCCAAGGCCTTGAACAACGGCATCCATCTCCTGAAGAAGCGCTCCGTCGTCGCTCCTGTCGTGGCCACCCCTATCGCCTCTCCACTGATCACTCACGCCGTGCCCCTCACCTACGCTGCACCAATCGCCGCAACTGCCCGTCTTGCACCTCTTGTCTACGGTCACTCTGCAATCACACACGTGTTTTAAACATGAACAAAAGGGTTGTTATAATGGTAAAACAGTACAAATAAACATTTCCCGGATGTAAAAACACATTGATTTCAAATTTGAAGCACTTCTCCCAGTATTAAGTATCTACTATTGCCCATATATAAGCTCTCACCTCTTATATTCCGGGAAGAGGTGGGAAAGTCATGAATAACATTGGTATCCAATTTTAATTAGGTTTATTAAGTCCCCAAACATGAGGCAGCAGAAGTTGGCGGCTCTTACTAATTATCAATAAATTAATAAATGTCTTATTTGAAATTGAATAGTTTATATCTCAAAATGAAGTAAATCAATTGCATTGTCTCAGATAAAAATATTGGTGTATATGTTTTTTACATCGTGGGACATTCCATCAGTACTCTCATATCTTTCTCGAATAAAACATATCGTAATGTAGGTTATTGAGGTTCATAATTGCTAAAAATCTACTTTGGATACCTGGTAAACGTTGAAGATTCAACAGATAGGCTTAGACACTCTACTTAGACATAAAAATTGTCCAAAGTTGAGCAGTCACAATATAAAACTATACACTTGTAATCCGACTTCTTCATTGATCTTCAAAGACCTTTAACTAATTACACATTAAAATATTACTATTATGAACGGGTCAGCTAGTAAAACATTATTACTTAAAGATGACGTCACTTGAAATGAGAAAAAACTAGCAAAGCCTAGAATTTAGAGAGAAAGTTATCAAAAACTTGCTGTAGCTATTACTCAGAGCATGATGACAGTAAGTTCTTTGAACACACTGATATTACTGGCAGTGTGGCTTAGCGCCATAAAATACTATCTCGGATACACACGGAAAATTGAAAATTGCACCGATGTTACAAAGTTTCATATAGGGATACAGCTATTTAGCTATTTTATTAAGCTATAGAACCATTAGAAATCAGTAGCCACGCAATCTTGCACGTAAGTCGTAAGTCGTAAGTCTTGTAGTACTTAAGTGTAATTCTGTTTGTCAATAAACATATTTTCATTTTCATTTTCATTTTCAATCACAAGTTCATTACAATGGTCTTATATTAAAAGAAAGAAAACCGAAGCAGAGGGGCTTCGTTTGTTTTCCTGACGAACTACTTTAGCATGAGCCCTGTTATTGGAGAACCGGAGTATTGGAGAACCTCTGGACTTAACTCGATTAATTATGCCAACAAGTCAATGTATGCTGAAACAATCTGAACGGTTATTTGGATTGATAGAAAAACCAGAATATTTATTTATTAATTAGCATTAAACGCATTTCTGTATTTTGAATAACAGGTTTATGCTAACTGATTATATCAGATGTATCCATTCCTTTGCGGACCCACCAGTCTACATTCTTTGATCGAACGCAAGATATAGCACATCACACACTGCCGGAAACAACATCAAATGTCCTAGCAACTATTCGATCGCCAGACTTAGATCCCATTGAGCGAGTAAGGGGTATGCTTCAAAATTATGTGCTGTATCAGAAAAATTTTTCACTGTTATTTCTGTTACAGCGTATAATATATATGATATATAGGCTACCATGCCCCAATGTAATTGGTGCGGCTGTTACGTAAACAGGTTAATACTATTGGGCATTATACCCATTAGTATTATCCTACGTGTAAATGGCGGTATTTCATCACTTCGACAATTTAAAATTTTCGCCTGGCTTTCCTATACCAAAGGACAGTTTCGAAGTTACTTACGGTAGTAATTTAGTCCTTATCACAAATATGCCCTAATAATGACTTGTAATTGCGAATTTAAATATAACTTAAATTGAAAATTTCAATGTCATTTAAGCGAAATACAAAAACAAAACAATATAAAGCTCACATGCCTTTAGCTCAATGCAGGGAATGCTATCACAGTTTCATCGAATTTACTTCCAAATATGGACGGTACATGGAATTATAAACCTAGGTGGTGTGGAATTCAAATGAAATCCTTTAGCGATTCTAAAGATTTATTCATTCTTAGAATATTAACTACCACTATTATTTATTATAATTATTAAAATAAAGTAGCGTTGATTTATTGAAATATTTTTACTTTGGTAGGGCCACGCAACAGCTTCCGCTGTTGCACAAATGGGCGGGCTCGTCCAGGGAAGTACCAAGGCCTCGCAGAAAACTGGCGTTAAGTGGAAGTTATTATACTTTCACGTTTCGTTTTGTGACTGAGGTAACCGGGGCCAACTTTTTGAAATGTTGTCAACGCATCTGCAACCCGCTCAGGAGCTGTAGATATCCATGAGTGGCAGTATCCAATGAGGTGGACCACCTGCTCGCTTTTCAAGTTGACTTTTAACATACAGAAAATAAAAAATTAATTTTTTTTTCTTTAATTTTTTTATTTGAGTTATTTTTTTGTTTTTTAATTTTGCCACCTCTCAATATGTACCTCTCCTAGGCACAAGTTTCGTAAGCCTAATGGGTCATCCAGCAATAGGTATTTTTTATTACCTCCGCCGCTGGGATATAATGATTATCGTGATTTTTTTTTTATTATCACCACAACCCATAGACACGTCTTATAACATCGAAGAAGTCGCTGCTCGTGTCAACAGAAAATGCGAAGAGATACAACATCTCTTCACATGGCCAAATGATCGAATCAAATGGAAAGAGCTGGTGTTGCCGTGCCCCAGACAAGAGATAATAACGGCCTTTGTTACCGAATCTATGTTTTCTAGAGATGTAAGCGATGGCCTGGCGGAAATTTCTCTCTTGCTCTACATAGGACACTAAGCTTTAGAAGAATTAGGCTTTCCCTTCAAAATAACTGCGAAATTAAGAGCTGGTGTTGCGGTGCCCCAGACAAGAGATAATAACGGCCTTTGTTACCGAATCTATGTTTTCTAGAGATGTAAGCGATGGACTGGCGGAAATTTCTCTCTTGCTCTACATAGGACACTAAGCTTTAGAAGAATTAGGCTTTCCCATGAATTCCAAGTAGCAATAAAGGGATTGAAATTAACAATTTATTTATTAACAATTTTAGGCAAGGGCTGAAAAATTGGAGACGTGTATATGTTACGAATGCCTCAGGTGGAATAGAAGACAGAAATTTCCGAATTTCAATATATTTCTTCGGAATTAAAAAACAAACTGAAAAAAAATTTCCTAAAAATTAATAAAGCTTAAATAGAAATTTCAAAAATAAAACTTAACTAATTTTTATTTTGCAGGTTTCTATTTAAAAACACCCAGAGCACAAGTGAATACGTACAATGAATTATTAAATAGACATACAAAATGTTTTCAATTTTAATAAATTACATTCTTATTACTAAAAAAAATATGTAAATATGATCAAAAGTAAAAAATCCTTTAATTTTAACATCCTCGTATTTTTCTGATCATCTGAATCCAGAGACGAACGTATTCAAGTTTCGTTTAATTTATAGCCCAGAAGGGTTTTGTTTCAATCTGCTTCAGAACAGTATGTTATTTACGAGTGTAGCCCTAGAAAAAATTGAACTCTACTTGTAGCGCAAAACTTGTCCCGTCACGGCCAGCGATGCATTCCGGTGACGGCTATCAATTTAACTTCGGAGTGCAAGTATATAAGTGAATGAGAACTATGTGGCGGTATCAGTGTTATCCCACACAGTGAACAGCACAGACCACTCACAAAATGATGAAGCTGGTGGTGTTGTCTTGTCTTCTGGCCGCCGCGTCTGCGGGTATCATCGCGCCTTTCGCCTACACCGCGCCATTCGCCTACAGTGCAGCCCTCCTTGGGCCGTCCAACTACCGTGGACCGCTGTCCCTGGCCCCCGGTCAGCCCGCCAACATCCTCGCTGCCGACGGCCGCCCTCTCGACACCCTGGACGTCAATTTGGACCGCTCCGCTCACTACACCGCCAAGGCTTTGAACAACGGCATCCATTTCCTGAAGAAGCGCTCAATCGTTGCTCCTGTAGTAGCCACCCCCATCGCCTCTCCACTGATCACTCACGCCGTGCCCCTCACCTACGCTGCACCAATCGCCGCAACTGCCCGTCTTGCACCTCTTGTGTACGGTCACTCAGCAATCACACACGTGTTATAAAACGCATGCTAAGTGGGACACCACGGAAATGATAACATCAAAGTACAAATAATAAATATACGCGAAGATTAACCTTCATTTTCTTTAACTTTGAAATTCAGGCATACTTCTATTTCTTATTACGTTTAATAGCTTATTTAACTCAATAATTGATAAGTTGAGATGCCAATAATTAAATGATTATTAAGCCAAAAATATATATGAACTTTCCTTAAAACTGTTTTTTTGTCTCTAGCGAAAAATAACAAAGGTTAAAGGTTCTATTTAAATATACTGTGCTGAAATACATTGTAACTAACTGTTATGTAGGACTTATGAGGCTAACGATTATAACAGTTACTTAATAAATGATAAGCGTTCGCGTCCCTTGTTTTTCAACCGTTCCAAAAGTAAATAACCTCAGGAACGTGTTACAATTACCACTTATAGTGTAACCTAATTTGCTTCTTTTTTATAATAATGCACATTTTTAAGTGGTAGTGGCACGCGAGAGAGCTGGCGGTTCATACTTAATCTTGAATGATAATTATCGCCGCCCATTGTCATTTGCAACGCCCGTTGCAGATACGTTGCCACCTTTTAATAAAGCGGACCCCTGCTACTTCACTCATCTTAAACTTATTAATACAACAATAATTTATTACTTACTTAATTTCAGTAGTTACACAGGTTGTTGCCAGCCGTGATAGGTTACTGTCCGGACGCTGGCTTTTAATTCAATATACTTGAGGAACCTGGGTCCACAATTTCATTGGTGCCGGCACCGGGATCTGAATCGGAAACTTTAAGTGCTGACTTTGTACGTGCTTAGCGTAATAAAATAAAAATGTTTCCAATATAATATGTGACGTCCGCCAATCCGCCAGTGGGGCCGAGTGGTCGACTATCCCTAATAATATCTGTACAGAGGAGGCCTTTGCCCAGCAGTGGAACATGAATAGGCTGTTACTCTTTACTCAGATTGTTTCTTAATAATTTAAGTGCTAAACCGGAAAAATTGTAAAATTATTTTATATTCATTATACATATGTCACTCAATACGTTGTTCTGAAATATGTATGGCAACATTGTTGACAGATCCACCCGTGTTTTCCTGATTATACTAATCTTCAAACAGTACGTGTCAAAATTTTATGGCATTCTGACCGTCAATTTAGAGGTTACAGTCGTTTTACGGCCGGTTACAACATTCTATCAGTAGATTTGGTTACTAACTATAGGTATTTGACATTAGCTCCTAATTCTCTCCCCAAATTCAATCTCTAAATACAAATAAAAATATGAATAATTAATTTGCACTCACCGTTTGATGACCCAAAATTAAAATCGGTGTAAGCTGAATTTAAGCGTAATCATTTAGATACGATGGCACGTAAAAAGATAAATCGTAAAGACTTCAAATGGCATTTACAGATCTTTTTTAAATAAGTATTTTGATCAAACAACTGGGAATCGTCGTATGATCTAATATGTACTATATTAATGTACATAAATTTCCTTTTCTCATTTCGATGATACCAATATCAGCTAACCCCACGTTTGATACCGTTAAACAATCCTAAAGGGTAAGAAAAGTTTACTAACTACTATTTTTAATATATCATAATGATTCTTAGACATAGACCTCACTCAAGGCACGTCATGTATTAAGTAGTAGAAGACTTATGGGAGTGCAATCATCACCCAAGAAATTGACTAGCCCAGATTCTGTAGCAAATTATGACCAGCCTTGTTCAGCCTTGTTTATGCATTGAACATAAGCAATGTGGCAACTTTAATTCTGTGGCGAAGTTCTTTCTTCCGGATGCATCCTCATAGGTACGTCGATAATAAATGTTTCCTTTGTTTAATCAACATTTCAAATTATATGTCTAGTATATTTTTTATATTTTCGATTTAGTATTTAGTAAACTTGTTTTGCCGTATGAGGAAACTCAAAGTCGCTCAGCGAGCTAAGGAGCGGGCTATGCTCGGTATTTCTCTGCGTGCTAGAGTTCGCAATGAAGACATCCGCAGTAGAACAAAGGTAACCGACATAGCTCAGAAGGTTAGTAAGTCATATAGCTCGTAGAACTGATAGCCGTTAGGGAAAAAAGGTTCTTGAGTGGCAGCCGCTAGTGGCTCCAACTAGATGGAGCGAGCGGATTTATAATTCAGACACGAAGCTCACATTAAAATTATAAAACACCATTACAAAATAATATAATCGCCCATATTGAAGTAATAATCATCTTGCTGAAATTATATGTCTTCCTTTTTCCTTCTGCCTAAATTATTTTGTATTTAAGTGAGCCGTTTAATGAAAATAAACCTTATTTTTTATCTTGAGATTGCCAATAAACAAAAATCTGTTCTTTCCAAACATCTTAAGAATTAATGGATGTTTTATAAATAAAATTAAAGGCTCAGACAAATAAGGCAGGAATCCCCCATCTATTAAACGGTTAATTTGAAGACTAAAAAAGTGGTCCTAATTGGCCATAAATAGTCAGACACTAACTACAGTGAGTTCTACATTCTAAGATCATCGGAAACCTTTTGGCGGCTCTAACTAATCCTAGAGATCGGATTTAAAATTATTTCAAATGGTCAAAATTGGTCAATTAATGTTGATAATTGTTAAGTTACCTTTTTCTGATCAGCACCTTAAAATATTAATTTTGAAACAATAGGCGAAACACACAATTGGTCGGAAGCTTGCAATAATTGGTCAACAGTATAAAAATTATCTCAAGGAATTGAAAATTTCATGGACGTCCCAATCAGTCAGCAAGGCAATTGTTCAGCATTTAGTTCTCTTACATACCAAAATATATAATTTGACGTCAATTAGCTGCCAATCGCTAACAACTAAGATGGACCCGACGAAACATTACAATACCTTTTCATTTCTCGTGTACCAACTTATTTACATTAAAATACTTTCGGTATGGGTTATAAAATGAAAATAAATTAATATAGGTAACTCTCTTTTTAATTTTCTTATAATTACAAGTCGCTTTACACATTAATAATAATTATTACCAGTGAGCCAGGGGTGCACCGTGTCCCCAAGCACCCAAACCAATGGGGGCTCGTAAACCGACTGCTGCGAGAGGAGCTGGCACTATTAAGCGGGCAGAGTGAGACCAAGCGGTTGCCAAGGGAGCCGCAGCCAGAAGGGGAGCGGAACGTTTCTTCAAGATGTGAAGTCCGGCAGAATCCACAGCCCTCGCGGTCAAATGGGCAGCGCGATCCAAGTTCACACTTAGAGTGTCCAGGGGCCTGCCGTCAGCAGCCAAGATGCTAGCAGGCTGGCCAGGTGCCAGTGACAGGGGACCACGGTAGTTGTACGGACGAAGAGCTGGAGCCGCGATTGCCAGAGGAGCAGCAACCGGAGCACCGAGCAAGGGAGCACCCCATCCTAATCCCGCAAGACCCCATGGCGCAAGACCACTTGGGCTGGCAGCCACTAGGGCGAGCACGGAAGACAACACCACCAGCTTGAACATTGTGGTCTGTGTTGTTATCGGTTCAGAGAGTAACTGTTGCATGTTTCTTAGAAATCATAGCTTATATACCAGTCGGTTCGGTAGGCGTTATCCTAGATTCCTTTGTGCCGACAGAAATTATTCTGTTAGGCGTTAGCCAGCGATCAATCTCGGAAAAGGAACCTCTGGGGGCAGCAATCACTTAAGTAAAGATTCTTTCGTAATTTTACATTTAACTCTAAGTGTATCGGAATAAAACCTTTAATTAAGTCAGTAATAGCATAGTACCATTCCTATCATGGTGATTTTGTTAAAGGACCATTCACTTCACTAAGTACACGTTGACCTAGCGATGTCAGTTAAAAATGCTGTTTGTACAAGAGGTTAATTAATACGTTTATTACCACATATTTCTGTAAATTGCGCATAAATTTGATTTCAGTTACCGTGTATTAGTTTAAACTGTCCAGGGTTTTTAAACAGTGATCGCTATGAAAATATTTATGCTATAAGATTTTTTTATTAGCAAAGTAATATTTTTGGTCGATTGCAAACACGAATATAAGATGTATAAGTATTATATATTCATAACCAGAATAATAACGAGTATCTTTATTAAACTAAAAGAAAGTGCCTTGTTTGATTAGGCTCCCTTCTTCTTGTTAGCTTCTTTCTTCTTGTCTTGCGAGTGAATAATAGGAGATGATATCACAACCCAACTGGCGTTGCAGGCATCATCTTCAGTTATTGCACGAGTGACAATATTTTCTTTAATCCCGTGAATTCGCAACCACAATTACGATTTCGGTATAAAAATAATTTGATGAATCCGTGGCGCAGTTGCCAAAGTATTGGCTTCGGCGTCGGGGGTCGTGGGTTCGATTCCCACACGGGACAACTATTTGTGTGACCCACAGATAGTTGTTTCGCATCTGAGTGTTTGTCCGCGTGAAATTTATGTTTGTAAAACGTCCCTACAACACAGGATAATGTTATCCTAAAGTAAGGGCAATGTTTTTTTAATTAAAAAAAATGAAACATATCACTATTTCACAGATTTTATTTAATGTCACCTGGATTCTAGTTAATTTTCATGATGTATTGACATCGTACATGAATGACAAATAATAATCAATGAAAAATCATCCTGGACTGATTGAGTGTTTTATTGTTATAATTAAAGTAGTTAGTTAGTAGTAGCACAGCCCAGTTATATTTACATTTTTTCTAATTTATATTATGGTACCAATAACTGTTAGCTGTTTATGTAAATTAGGTAAATGCGTCTATCAATTACTAAAATGATTGTGTGGGCTCTTGGACCCAAAAAAATATACATATAAAAAGCAAATTACAAATAAAAGTAAAAGGAAATACAATAGGCGGTCTTATCGCTCAGAAAGTCTTTCTTCCAGACATCCATTGCGAAAATAATTTTTGCTAAAGAGACATAAAGAAGAGAGCAGATATAATTATACTATTATACCCATTATTATACATTCCAGTGTTTGTTTTATAATAACAATTTTTTTATATAAAAAGTTGCCAAGCGAGCAGATGGTTCACCTGATGGTAAGTGACTAGCGCCGCCCATGGACATCTGCTGTAGCATCTTCATCTGGAACCCTCGGGTGTACCCGAGGGTTCGGGTGTACCCAAGGGTTCCAGATGCGTTGACAACCTTTTGAAAATTTAAAATCTTTAAAGTTCATTAAAAAGCGCCAATTTTTCTTACGAAGTTTGAATTTGTTTCAATGATTCATCAATAGGAACGACTACCGAGACGAACAGATTTCATAACGTATGTACTGAAAGGACCCTAAACTCTGGCAACCAGCGGTATATCTGTATCAATACGACTTAAAAGACCTGATAGAAGGTCGCCTATTCTTACTTTGTTTGCCAGCAACGCTTTTCCATCTTCCTGGTGTTCTGCAATGGCTGCAGGTGGCAGTGGCCAATTGCCATTCCTTACCAGATCCGCCGCTGCTCATTTGAACTGCCTTAATTTCTTCTCCATTTCGATTATCATGTGGCAAGACTGTAGCGTATAGGACCTAAATTGAGCAATATGCCAATAATAAATAATGCGTGAAAACCTCCTAAACACCCTAAATATGTAATTTATATTCATGCATATTTATATAGATTTAATAATATATAGATTTAATAAATAAATATATAAATATATGTTATTAATAAATAAATGTATAGATTTAATAATAATATATGCATTTTATTTATTTATTATTCATTGAGAACACCTTTAAAAAGGGTTGCAATAGTAGGACTTAGAGCCATTGTCATTCTCTAACAGCCAACCCGAAGTATGAGCATAAATTTTGGTAGGTGCAATAAATGAAATTGCAATATGGATTTATGTGAATGATTTTAGCACCTCATTTTAATCTTTTTAGCACCTTAGAGTATTTTGAGGTCTTGCAGTGTTGGTGTACTTGCATGTAATAACATATCCTATAATTCAGGATCCCAAACTGATGATAACCCCCAACATCTTCTCAATTGAAATAAGAATTTTCTTAATAGCCATAAGTCTTGGGTGAAATATGTTTTTTTTGCGAGGATTTGAATTACATCGAATCTTATGTAAAAGTTTTTTTTTTATTATGTTAACAATCTTCTTCTACAGACTCGTGGTCCGTACTCTTTTTTGATTAGCTTTTTTTATATAGGAGCCAGTATAGGTGGTTTGTCCTAAATAGAAAAGACTACATTCACAGTCAAATTAGTACACTCCGGGATCTCTTGACGGATGGTGAAAATTGACTAATCTTATAATCGAAGAACGCTTCAAAGTATATCAAATTTTGTCTCTAACACCAAAAAGTTCGGAAATAAAACTATTTAAGACGAAAAACATTCGCGTAAATGAAATAATTAAGCAATGGCCTGTTATATTGACAAAACATATTTTGAGCGTAAAGGAACAGGGTGTTTATATTAATATCTATGATTAATTTTACTCTATTTCCTGAGAATAATAGGGCAAGAAACCGTTGGCCGTTTCATAAAATGTTTTCTCTTTTACTAAAAATATTTTTCAGAAATATGTTGTTTATCAAGATTTTAGCCGTTAGACATGGTACTACTTAGTGTGGTTCAAAACTTACTTTTAAACGATAACATAACGAGATTCACGTACCAATATTACAAGCATAATTGTATCGCTGAATAACCTAAGATAGGGATAATATATATACCTACTTATATAATTAAAATAACAATAAAGTTTGAATGTTTTATTTTGTTTTGGTGTAAACCAATGCTTACTATACTTTCAAGTTACAAATTACACGACAGTTGACATAACACTAGTCTAATGAGCGAGTAAACAGGCAGATCTTAATTTTAAGAGATGGGTTCATGGCACTTGATAAAGGAAGTAAGGAAGAATGTAATTTAGAAAGATTTAGAATATAATTTTAGTCTCTCTTATTTCTAAAGATAAATGATCCATCAATATTTATATACAAAGTTACATATTTTTACCAGTGAGCCAGAGGGGCACCATGTCCCCAAGCTCCCAAGCCTAACGGAGCAATTGGAGCCCGCAAGCCCAGGTGTGCTACAGCAGGCACAGCAAGAGGCGCTGGTGCTACCAATCGGGCGGCCGGTATGTCTAGACGAGCAGAGTGAGACCAAGCAGTTGCCAAGGGAGCCGCCGCCAGAAGGGGAGCGGAACGTTTCTTCAAGATGTGAAGTCCGGCAGAATCCACAGCCCTCGCGGTCAAATGGGCAGCACGGTCCAAGTTTACGCTTAGAGTGTCCAGGGGCCTGCCGTCAGCAGCCAAGATACTAGCAGGCTGGCCAGGTGCCAGCGACAGGGGACCACGGTAGTTGTACGGACGAAGAGCTGGAGCCGTGATTGCCAGAGGAGCAGCAACCGGAGCATGTACTGCACCGAGCAAGGGAGCACCCCATCCTAATCCCGCAAGACCCCATGGCGCAAGACCACTTGGGCTGGCAGCCACTAGGGCGAGCACGGAAGACAACACCACCAGCTTGAACATTGTGGTCTGTGTTGTTATCGGTTCAGAGAGAAACTGTTGCATGTTCCAAATAAGCCACAGCTTATATACCAGTTTGTAAGGTAGGCATTAACCAAACTATTTGCGTGACGTCACAAATTATGCTATAGGGCGTTGGCTCGCGATCAGTGCCAGAAAAGAATTTTAGTAAAGCAGCGTAAATCGGTTGACACGTAGAACAATCAATTTTAACTCTAAACGCAAGGTGATAAATTCTATAAGCTCAGTTTATGGAAGCAATGTTTGCATGCTTACCTTGGACAAATGTCTAGATAAAGGGCCATTCACTAGATGATAACATCAAGATGCTAAACTAGCTAAAGTAACTCCTAAAAACAATTCAGCAATGAAAAAAAATTGTTTGTTTGTACTTCTGCGTTTCGTTTCGTAACCGGGGCCTAATAATTTAAAGGTTGGTTCTGTGATCTCAAAGGTGTTACTATTATGTGAACGGGGGGAATCGATTCATATAAAAAAATAGATTATTATGATGATACTACCTAATAGTTTTTGTAATTACTACCTAATTGCTTTTTTTTATTTAGGTTCAATTCTCATCCTAAATTTTTTAAAATTTCAGATTTAAGATAAAAAAAGCAAATTTCTTTTGTAACGATTCTACGATAACAGGTCTTCTTATAAAAAAGTTACCTAAATTATTAATATTACCCTCCATTACTACTAAATTAGCAAAATATGTGCTTAAGCGGTCAATGATCCCGACCGTAATAACAAGCCCTTTGAAATAATTAACTCTTTAATTAAAACAAATTTCCTTTCGGTTAGGTAGAAAAATTAACGTTAACATTAGGACGATAAAAGCTGCTATAGTATTTAACTATTGTATTGTTTTCTTATTTTTGAATTTTCGTGTATGATTAAGTTATTTAATACAAATTTACCATATTTTGTTTGTAAGCTAATTGTTTGCTAAACGTTACACACTCATTTTAAAACATTCACGATGATGTATGTAACATTTCAAATTATAGATGGATTAGTTTTGCATTTTCCGTTAAGTATTTGTTTGAATTTTAATGTGATCCATGTATAAAACCGTCCCACTCGTGTATCATGGACTGTGCCAACTTATTCATTATAGATGCGACCCGAATGGCGTAGCGGGTAGTGTACCTGCCTTCTGCGCCAGAGGGTGTGGGTTCGATCCCCACTACTGGAAAAATATGGTGTGATGAGCATAGTGTTTTTCTAGTGTCTGGGTGTTTATATTAGTATTAATTTACAAAAGAATAGTATGTTTAAGTATGTCTATCAGTTTTCTAGTACCCATAGTACAAGCGTTGCTTAGTTTGAAACTAGAGAACTTTGTGTAAAAATGTGTCCTGAAATATAAAAAAAAAAAAGATTATCAATTACTTAGTTATATTGTTAACAATTGCAAATTTGAAGCCCCGGGCGTGACTTATTATTTGATATATTCCACCGGTTGATGATAAACTCTACTGAAAAGTTTGTTGATTGCGAATGCCAAAAACGTCAAACATCAACTATAATGACCAATACAACAGAATTTTCCCCATAAAAGATATTTTGATCATTTAAGCCGCTATTTGAGCATTTAACTGCGAACGCTAGCTTTTAGTTCGATATACTCGAGCAACTTAGGTTCAAAGGCCAGTGTTGAATTATTAAGGTATTAAGTGCAATTTTAATTGCTGACTCCTCACTACTAATCACGACTGACTAATCACGACCTCAACAGTGAAGGAAATCTTATTTTTTTATGTGAGATTTACCAATCTTCGGAGGGGTCACGTAATGGAGTATGCCCAATTTCTTTCGTTCTTTCTTTCTATATTGGCTCTTCATTCTTAGAGCAGGTTTGCAAATCCTTGGTAAATTTATACGATCGTGTGTTGAAAAGTCCAAGTCGACTTTTACAAAATTTTTGCATTAGCTTTGACTATGAACAATTTAGTGACTGTAGAACTTACATGGGTTAGATTATGCCACCATTATATTAGGCCACCTCATATTTCTCAAAGCCTTTCACGTTTGGAACTTTAAAAAATTGACGATTATACATTTGTACGTTTATTATTTATGTGTAGCAGCACATATATCAATCATTGTATATTAGAAATGTTATCTTCATGTATGTACACGCGGCTTTGGCATATTTAAAGTTTATTAGGAAATAATTGAGTGCAAAGTCGAAAATGTAAAACCTGTCAACATCACACTTATAATTTTCTATTGTGAAACAGTTGCTTATGAAAAATTACAACGACTCTAACAAAAATAATAATTAATTTAATTTTTAAATTAATTATTATTTTTAAATTCTTAGGTAATGGTAACTACTACTCTTATTTATTACAATGTTATTTATAATATTAATTATAATACAAACTTTAGTACAATATTATTTATAATATATACTTTAGTGTATTATGTAGAAAGAAACTAATGTATATTATGATTATGTAATGCTTACAGCACATCATAAATTGAGCAATGAAATCGGTGTGCGTCCCGAAGCTAGTAATTAATCAAACCAAATAAACGAAATGCATTTATATGTTTCACTCATTGTTACTCGTATATTGGCATGTGACATTACGTCATATCGCGGCATGAACTTGAACGCCGTTACCGCTAGTTGCAACATGTGCATTCGTGAACAAAACCAGTTGGTCGTATTCGACTGCCGCTGCCTCGCGGGTTTTCTTCTATGTTACTAAGACTTACCAACAAGTTGTATATGTTGAAAAATTACATTTCTTAATATTTTTATAGTACTCGTATTTTGACCATTTTGTATACTAGTTTGTTATATACGAGTCTGTTCAAAAAGTATCGCGAATTTTTAATTTCCACCGGTTACGTATTTTCGATTTTCGATTTTTTGTGGCATTATGTTGATGCTAATGTCTCTAACTCATACCGACAAAAACGGGCATGTAGAAAGTTCAGTTAATTTTTTACAGCTGCTTTTTTTGGATGTGTTTTGGCTCGTCTTCGATATTTGCCTATTCCAAAAAATGTATCAAAGAATCTGTATTAAATTTTGTGTTGAAAACAAAATTAAGTGCGCAAACGCATTCCGAATGTTGACTGTGGCATATGTTGCAGCTACCTTGGAGAAGCAACGTTTATCGGTGGTACAAAATGTTCACAGAGAGTCGAGAAGATGTGAACGATGAAGAGCGTGTTGGACGCCCGAGCACTTCAACAACAGACGAAAGCATTGATGAAGTGAAGAAAACAGTATTCGGCCAATCGTCGAATCACCGTGAGAGAAGTTGCTGAGGACCTAAACATATCGATTGGCTCATGCCATTTGATTTTTACCAATGATTTAGGCATGAGACGGGTCGCCGCAAAATTCGTAGCAAAATTGCTCAATTTTATTTAAAACAGAACTGCATTAACATTGCTAACGAGCTGTTGGAGTTTGTCCGCGGTGATCCAAATTTGCTCCAGAGGGTCACAACTGGTGATGAAACATGGATTTATGGTTATGACGGGGAAATCAGAGCCCAATCATCCCAATGGAAGCTGTCCCACGAGCCGAGACCGAAAGAAGCGCGCCAAGTTAGGTCGAATGTGAAGGTTTTGCTTAGAGTTTTCTTTGATTGCAGGGGCGTGGTGCAACATGAGTTCTTGCCACCGGGTAGAACGCTCAATAAGGAATATTATCTGCAAGTAATGCGCAATTTACGCGAAACAATCTGCCAGAAACGGCCGGAATTGTGGAAGAACAAAAATTGACTTTTGCACCATGGTAACGCCTCTTCTCGCACATCGTAGCTCGTGCGCGAATTTTTGGCTCAAAACAACACACTAATAATACCACAGCATCCGTATTCCCCAGATCTGACCCCTGCGACTTTTTCTTGTTCCCGAAACTAAAGAGGCCCATGAAAGGACGACGCTACGCTACGATTGAGGAGATAAAGACGGCATCGAAGGAGGAACTGAACAAGGTCACAAAAAATGAGTTTTCGAAGTGTTTCAAGGATTAGAAAAAACGTTGGCACTAGTGTATAATATCTGGAGGGGATTACTTTGAAGGGGACAAAATAGGTATTCATGAATAAATAAGTAATTTTTGAAAAAACACAAAATTCGCGATACTTTTTGAACAGACCTTGTATATACATTTACTTGCGCTAACTCCAACATCGCTATTCTGTTAGAGCTCTTATAAACTATAGTAATAAAAAGTAGGCACATATTATGCGCCTTTGAAGGTGATTCTAAGTTTTTTTTCGTGACGATTAAGAATTATAAATTTAAACGAGATCAAATCCAAAATCTAATTTTTATTTTATTTCAATATTTTGTAATTTAAAGATTTTGTCTAACGTTTCTATAAACTATAATAGTTTTAATTGTCCGAGCGTTTTTGCCGATTATATTATTACATTGAATGAAGCCGTTGTCATATTTGATTATCGAAAGTTTATAGTCATTTTGTCATTATTTTTTTAACGTGCTGAAAGAACAAACAAACTTTATATTTATAACTTTGTATACATAATGTGAGTAGAACTTAATTTCATAATTGAGATGCAAGAACCGTAAGAAAACTGGTTCCAATAGCGTTGAAGATCGATGTCAAGATCACGGCGAAGCTAGCTTTCTACACGTTTAAATAATAAATGTAATGAAAGAAATATGGCGTTTCAAAACTTAATCAAGATTTATCTTTTCCTTTTTCAAAAATTTCGTACTATCAATTTGGAAATGATATCACTTCAAAAAAAACCTCAAAATGTGATATACAATAAAAGGCTAACCTTATTTAACTATAACCTAACACTTAACTCGTATCTAAACATAACAACGAAGAATTTTGATCAACATAATTTATATACAGCATGTCGTTACCATCGCGACAATAAACGAACACACATATAGAGGATAACTTTTTAAAGTTGTATTAAACATTTAAATTCTTTAAACATCAATATTTACAGAGTTATTAAATTTTCCAAAACATAGAATTTAAGAACACCCTTACCTATAAAAGCATAACGTAAAGTTCATTTGTAAAG